TATTTATAATATGATAAAATAAACAAACATTAATAACAATATAAAATATATATTTTAAAAATAAAAATAATTAGGTTAATAACAATTGGTAATAATTTGGTACATAATTAAAGTTGTAAATAAAACAATAAAACCTCTTATTAATATTTAATATTCATAAACTATTTTTTTACAAACTTATAATACTAATATCAAAATTTTATACTGCATATTTTAGCATATTCTGACGTTAATGAATTTTCTGCATATTTTTGCATATTTTATCAAAAAACCTGTACAAATATACACCTAATAATCCAAAAAAGTGTTGAGTAAAAAAAACTAATTATATGTAGGTTACTAAACTTCCATAGGTTGGTTATACAAGTTTTATAGTGGAGACGTGGCTATACCTATTTAATCTAATCTTGTTAATAAAATACCCAAAACAATATAAATAGGTGCATTAATACAACCACTGCTACATTTATACAATTATTGGTAAGAATTACGTTAAAGTTAACCAAATCAGCGCTGAGCGTCCCCATTGGGGGTGCACATGTATTGCTTTTTTTACAACACGTTTGGAAAAATTTGTATCGATATTTGTCATGTATTATTATTACATGAGTTTGTATGTTATCTCCTCTTCATTTTTATATAATATTTAATTCGTAAACAATATCTATTGACGATATATTATTTCAACTAACATTTTAAAATAAGCGATTTTTCTGATTTTTCTGGTATTCGACTACAGTAAGTATAAACTATTATTATTTATAAATGAGTGATCAAATATTTACATCTTATATGTTCTTACAAACATTTATTTGGATATTTTTTGCATGCATATTTTATAATTTAAAATGCATATAAATCCAGTCTTAAGTTATAACCCTTTAACTCCCCCCTCCCTAAGGTACGTTACTGAAATATATCATACGTATTCGTAATTTATTTTAATTCTCTCAGAAGGGAAGGAAAAATATTAAAAAATACGATTTGATATACAGAAAGAAACAAAATGGAAAAAAATTTATGATTTTTTTGTTTTGGTTTTATACCTGCAGTGTACTACTAATAATAATATAAAATTATTAGGTAAACCTATAAAACTATTTGGCACATGGTAATGTAGGTAGTACAACATGGGTACGTGTCTTAACAATTTTTTTAAAATCAAATTACAATTTTGAAGAGGATATACAAAATCAGCTTTGTATAATATGCAAATTGTAATTAACGTATCTACCATAAAAAGGTTCAAATTATTCATTTTTTATGGGGCTTGAAAATTGATGATATATGAGTAATGGTAATAAATAACTATTTCTTTCTGACAGATACTAATATTTATTACGAAACCAAAATTGTTTTACATATTTAAATGTCGTTTATTTATTACGGATATAAAAAAGAAAATACGTACCTTCAAAACTGCTAGAAAGAATTAAAACCAGTTGAAAATGAGTGTAGGGTATATAAAATGTGTTTTAAGTATCCAAACACATGTAACATAGTGCAACTAATAAATATTCAACAAATTTAAGAAATGCAATTAAATTAGGTATTTATTCCAATTGCAGTTCATATTGTATATCATATATACTTCATAATATACATATTATACATAGGTATACATGTATATGGAAGTATTTTGCGCGTGTTATTAAAAGTTTAAAGTAGATCATAAGCGAAAAAATCGCGGATTAGCTGAAACATGATAAATAAATTATTATTTGCGTATTATGTGTAGTGTTTAACGTTAGTACCTGCCGTTTTTTCTTCTGTGGACAGATTGGCTATAGCGAATGAATCTGCTTAAATGGTAGGAAGAATCCGGATTTACCGACGTTCGCATACCTAGATTCATTAAATTCTAAATCCGAAATCCAGATTTTATCACGAAATCGGATTTTGGATTTTGAAATACGGATTCTGTTCTAAATTCAAGTATAGGATTTAGAAAAATTGAATTATCATTCTTTTATGTATGACTTCTAATAAAGTTTTGATAACTACATGTATTTTGTAATAAATTGACTTTTTAATTGGAATTCAGAATTCCACAATGTTAAATCCAAAATTCGAATATTGAAATACATAAATACCAGTTTTGAATTTTGAATTTTAAATTCCGAGATCCGGATTTCTTAGCGTGAAATCAAAAATTTGTATTTAATTTCACATCACTAATAATCTGTATAGTATAAAGGAGCTTCAACACATATATCATAGCCCCGGATAGTAATTAATTTCAACTACATATACCGTCCGTGGAGTACAATTATATGTTTTACATGATATAAACTTAAACAACCTATACTTCAATGATAAATCACGAAAAATAAGATATTTACCGTCGTTAATTATACATTTGCGTAACACAATAATGATGTCTGCTCTTTACTATTAGCACTCGAAATGTATGTGTTATCGTCGATGATTATAATGTACATATTCTATAATACATGCGTTGTAAATAATATATGCGTTGTCAAATATACGACGTCTTGCGGGAAATCTTCAATAGTTTAAGTACGTAATAAATTATAAATACAAATTTGTGTACGTATTAAGACGCGCGTAAATGCGTACACTGTTCACACGTATTTAAATATAGTATAACCATTATAATGAAATAATATTTTACGACCTAATTTTATTTCGTGAGGCAGTGACTCTGTTGACTTATAATACAAAATCGAACACGAGTACATTATATTTCACTTCATACGTTTTATATTGATTTATACAGTGGCGTATTTTATTTATTTATTTTTCTTTTTTTTTTTTTTTTGAGGTGGGGTCTCGAGTCTCAACTCTCCCATAAGAAAAAAAAGGTTCAAAAATCATAAATGAGTTGTTACAAAATTACCAAGAAAAAAAGAACATTAGTTTATATCATGTGGTTATAAATAACTCTTACTTTGTATCTATAATAATATTAATAGGATGATACCACAATTAATTCATACCTTATATGTACTTTTTATAATATTATAAAATCACTTAGTTTTTGAAAAAACTTTGAACCCCTTCCCCAAACAATTTGAAAATACTTCACTAGATGTATACATATATATTATACGTATCAACAGATTTTGCATTTTTATTTATTTTTATTTATTTTAAATAAACAATCTATATCATAGGGGCACAATATGTTTATATGGTCAGTGTAGAATATATACTAATTAGTTTATTTAATCACATACGAAGTTAATAATATAATTAAATATTTACATGCAATGCTTGATGTGAGAAATCAGTCACTAATGACCGGATTTACTTTATTTATTTATTTTTTTGTATTAACTATACTGGTAGAGCAACAGTTCCTAAACTTTTTTTTTCAGTGGTGCCTTTTTTTGGACCCAATTTAGCCACGGTGCCCTGCTGTGAACTACATTACAGAGCAAAAAAAAACCTATTGATAACCAATTTTATTAATTTAATTAAAATTGCATTTAATTAAAAATTAATATATTTTTAAACTTAAAAAATAAATAAATAAAAATTATTGTTATTATGAATATAATTATTATATAAAATTATTATTAGGTTAAAATTAGAATATCCGAATATACAATAGAAAATATTACATTATTTGCTATAAAGTTTTTACAAAAACCATAAGTAAAAACAATTTTATACATTTTAAACTATTAGTTATGAACCGTAAACTATGGTGCCTTTACACAGTGGTCGTGGTTCCCCTAGGGCATTGTGGTGCACAGTTTGGGAATCGCTGTGGTAGAGAATCTGACTTTTCTATTTTGAATTACCTCATTATTGTATGTCATACGTCTGACTAGTTTGATTAGTGACTTATTGACAGTGTCTATACGCGCGCGTAAGTAATTATTCACTGCCAACACGACACGTCATCGGATTGAATAAATTGGATTTGGCAATTTAAAATAGGTACCGATTTTTTTTACCATTTACGTGATAAAAACCGGCAATTTAATTCAAACAACAGTTAATATGTTGCATATATATGTACTATCTGTACATTATACATATAGTAGAAGTCACTATATAATTAATCTCACGTGTCACTGTAGCGACGACGTACCCAGACTCCTAAATAATTGGTGCCACGCTCACCTAATATAATCTGTCCTTGTCGATTACATTTTATACAACGATCGAATTTCAAAATTAACTATTCTCGGCGTAGTGCATCAACTGCGCTGGGTAAACGGATAAAAAACATGTATCCATCGGTTAATACTTGTATTCTTTATAAAATAATACTTTTACGTAACCACTATTACTGCAGTTCGAATGTAAACCAATTTAAAATGTACGTAAAATAAACTATTATTTTTAAACAAACTCTATTTTTAATTTGAAGAGAAAAAAAGGTAAGGACAAGAGATACAGATATTGTAAGATATTAGTTGTATAAAAATTTGATTTTAGTATAGTACGATAAATCAACAGCAGACGCGATATATTCAACTGCGAGAATCTTTTCATAACCTACACCGAGTGATTATGCGCTTATACGTTTAGTAGGAGATGGATTTTACCACGTCATATATAGTGATGATAAAATATCAAAACATCAAAAATCTCGGACGAAAAAACGCAAGCATTGAATAATGTAACAAGAAAGCAGTGAATTAACGTCGTACGCGATATCTTGAATCGTTCTACGGTGATCGCTATAGCCTTTCAGGTTCGCACTTTATGCATGTTTTTGCAGAACACGAGTATAAAATAATATTTTCTAACAATTTTCTAACCATTAGAACGAATAATATTTTAAATTGAACCATCTTTGTGTTATGATAAGCGTAAAAATCAATCGACGTACAACACAGTTTTCGGTTAAGAAAACTTAATGTAACTGTTGCAGTCGTTCATTTTAGAAGATCGATTGCACATACGAAACAGACGAAATTATAATTACAATCGAAACCACAGTTATTATTTTTTAATTTCCGCGAATAATAACATTTTTCTCTGGTTTTTATTTTATATTTCATTTTTTTTTTTTCGCGCAGGAATGAGAAACTTTGGGAGATCGTCTTTGTGGACCGTGTTGTTGTTACTGTTGATGTGGTTCGAGAGCAACGTTACTGGTGCCTACGACGACAGCGATGAGAAATCGTCTGCGCCCGGGAAGGACACGCCTCACTCGCGGCAAAAACGTCTGCTGTGGATCACCACGGACGGTCGACTGGCCTTGCCACCCGGCACCAGACTGACCATAACGCCATCGTTGTCCCTTCCGTTCGTCAGGTATCCACCGGACGGGTTCCTGTCCAACATGTCCATCAGCTTGCCGTTCACCAGTTAGTAGTGATCACTATAATAATCATTGCTATTGTTACGTTTTCCGGAGAGACGTGCGCGAAATGTTCTCTTAACCGCGGCACGGTTCGGCGCACGATAACAATAAAAAATTTTCCAACAAACCCGGTGCGCAGCAGCCGTGCGTCACCGAATCGTCAACAGCCCAACTGCGTTCCCGACAACTCGCACATCGCATTGTTCAAAAACGTAATCAAACTTTTGTTACGATTCTCGAAACCCTAGGCGAATCCCATAAGTATTTGATTATATTTATACAAAGAAGAATAAATAATTCGCGAATAATTTCGTCGATAAACTCCAATCGTATCCTGTAGGCCGCTTCGTTTAGGTCGACTATTTTTGGGGGGGGGGGGGCTTCAGAAAAACGGTAAAGTTTTATGCTCCTTTCGAATTTCCTTTGCCGCTTTTAAAACCTGTTTGATTGTGTTTTGATGTGATTTCCGGGCGTGGGGGTTTAACAATATTACACGATTAACATAAAAGTAGTCGCTCGGTCTGTCGCATAAAAAACCTGGACGTGACTACATCAATAGTATAAACAATGAATACTCGAACGATCAACTTCAATCTCATCGTTTATAACGATAGTGTACAATTAAAAAAAAAAAATTACCCATTTATTATTGTGTTTACTGCGATGTCTGCAATTATAAGAACGAAACAATTCATCCGCGTATAATAATTTACATTTTTTTAAATTTATTGCACTTTTCGGGAAAGTTTTTCATTGCTCACACGATACGGAATGCAGAACTATTATATTTTTCCAACAGCGGTTGATCACATTGTCCGGTATTTTGAATTATTATTATTCGAATTATTCCTGTGGTTCACGCAGTGTTTGTGTAACACATATAGTTACACAATACTTAATGCACAGACCGTATAGATAACTTTACTAAAGTTATTCGGTCGGCTGATCATAATGACAACCCTACTTCTGATTAACGAATCACGTCTGATCCTGGGGTGCTGAAAAACAGTCTATCGAATAACTAGTTTAATTAAACAGCTATAGCTGTGCCTACGTATGATATAATTTCACATCGGTAACTACATTATATATGGCACATGTAATGAGTATGGTAAAAAATAGAATCAATGGAAAATTACATACGTGCACGTAACGTGAATTACATGCTAGACGTATGTCTGTGATGAATGTATCCTATATCGGAATTATCAATATCGGTCCAATTTGTTGCTATAAAAATACCTGTATATTAATTTCTTTAGAATCCCATAGAACTAACGAGAGACAATTCATTGAAATCGAAATAAATACTTTTTATTTCCAAGTTAAAAATATAAGGAAAAATAACATTTTGTATAATAGTTATGAATACTACTTTTCTGACACAATATAATAAACCGAATTCAAGAGTGTGCTTAGGACATTTTAAAATTTTCTACAGTAGTGTTTTTAATTTAGAAATATAATAGGGATATAGTTCGACCAGTATTTTAATCACGGTTTACTGAGTTATAACTCAGCTTTTATAGAAGCTTTAGATATGTGTGCTGCAGATGTTGTTTCTAAAATACCCAAACAACTAGGAATAATCACGAGCAAAAATACATTTTTGTAGACTAAAAAATAAATAAATAAATAAAAATCAATACAAAATAGTTGTTATCAATATTTCCGTTTTCAAACGAACAAAGGGCTTTTGTACAAGGGTTTTCGAAGATTGTTTATGCATTTCCAAGAGTAACGTTGTACAGTACATAATGCCTTCTTACGCCTATCAATACTAAAAACATTTTGAACCAACCGATTGATAACCAGTTAAAAGTAAACGGGCTACAATTGCGTGAAAAATATAAAAAAAACCTTGTCTGGATAGCGTGTAAAGTCGTTTGAAACGTATGATCGCATACACTGCACGCAGTAGATACACACCTCGGTCCGACTAAAATTCAATATTCGCACAACGCGTAGTCTTATCCAATTAAAGTCAGGTCAAGTTTCGCAGCGGTAGTTTACCTTTTTATAGAGATATGTACGATATGAATCCGCGGGATCCGTTCACGTTGAAAAATAGATTTTTTTTCTCCGTTTTTTACGTAACGGTCATCATTATCGCCGGTGTCTGGAACAACCGAGAGAATGGCAGTTGGACAATACAAACTTGATTGACTTCCCAGAAGGGTCACTGCCAACGGTTAGACGATTCCGCGAGACTTGTATAATAATACATCATGCGCCAGAAAAGCTAATCAATTAGATAATAAATATTCCGTACTCTACACGCCCTATCGTAACGCATGGACTTTGGGAAAGTTCGCAAAAGTTCCGCAGGCCGAACGCATTTTACGGTCCACAAAAATGCGTGCGTTCTTATCGGCCAGAAACGTCCGCAGTCGCATCGTCGCGGTAATAAAAAAAAAAAAATTAATTATAATCAAAGAGTCCGGCGTAAAGTGACGAGCGCTCGCGATCAAACTTCAACGTACCATGCGCGAGGTGCGAACCACATTTTTCGTAACATCAACCCCCGAATCGTAAATATACATATATGCATATATTCAATGTTCGCACGCGTTGTTAACTTGTGCTAATCTGTGTGCTAATGCGATGTTTTAATGTGTACCGCAGTCGATTTTGACGCCCTGGGACTGACCGACAACCAGAATCCGTTTGGCGCCTTTCCGCCGATACTGGCCAGGAGCATGGGCAGGCAAGCGGGCGTGATGCTCTCCGACTACGTGGCTAGCCTGATGGACGGCCGGAGATCGACCAGGTCCGTGCCCACGTTACCCAAACCGATACACTCGTACTTCCAAGGAGGTGAAAGGTAAAAAAAAGTCCACTTGATACACGTTATAATAAACATACGTATAATGTATTACGAAATGTAAGATCGAGTCGACGACGACGCATGCGTCCGTTTCGCACGTTGTCGACGTTGTACATACAATGTATATTATACATATTAATGATTAGCAGAAGTATAACCAAATTACATTTTAAAATATTTACATAAATAAATTAGATTCAGTTGCATCATCAAATATATTGATATTAATATCTCCACAAAAAATATGATTACCTATGAGATTCTCATTTGATAGATATTCACATAATGAGGTAATAAATTGATATTTTTTATGGCATTGCGACCTATATACCCCGGTAACAGTGGAATTATAACCGCTTTTATTGACAGATTGATCGAATTACAATCATTTATAACATGTGTTTCCACGTTATCTACAGTTATTGTTTACTAGGACGGATACACCGTCACAATGGTTAAGTATACCTAACGAGTGAATAATTTGATTAAAGCTTTTGATTATTTAATTCTAATTTTCTGTCAACCAAGTGTCACTAAGTACAATAACATCAAATTAATTTTAAATACTTTCCAGTAAAATTATTAGTTCATTAATGAGCGCTTTAAAACTTCTAATATTCATAGAAAATATAGTTATTAATAAAATTAATATTTAAATTAACAGTCTTAATGCGTTCTACTGATAATATTTTTATACAATTTATAATATTAATACAATTAAATAAACAGTTTAATTTAAAATTATCCATAGTATTAGGCTCAATGAGTTATAAACAACAATTAATTAAAGTTAAAATGTAAACAAAGAAAAAAATAAAATACAATTATAAATTAAACAAGTCTAAATTTATTGTCGGCTATAAACTTTTTTTGCAATATTAATACTTTGTAATTATGAAAATGAACTTACTCTAACGTCAATATCCCCATCTAATTTTTTTAAAAACACACCACTGTTATTTATCCAAACGTATTTGAAATGATAAATAACTGCAAGTTGTTTTGTCATCCACAGCAGTCTTCTATTGTCCGTTGATAGTTGATGATTTAAGTATATTTTACGGTCAAGAAATGAAGTATGAATTTCATTGGCTGTAATTTGACCTGTCTTAAACTTTGATTTAAATATTTCTTCTTTTTTATTTTTGTCATTAAATCCAATAATAATTCTACTGGTATCATTACTCTTAGGTAAGATTACTATAGACGCGACTGTAAACGCACCGCGCTGGACCGCGGCGAACCATTAGCAGTAATTATCTGTAAGCAATATATGAGTGGTAGTATTAGTGTAACGTCTACTGTGGACAAGATTATTTGAGCATGTGATGAGACGAAAAATGTAGAAAAATGTTGTTATAATGAAAATTAACATTGAAGGGTGAAAATGAAATGGAAGGCCAAAAAAGAGATTGTTGGATACGATTAAGAATAATATGAGGGCCATTGATGTGTGCGTAGAGAATATAGAAAATCAAGATTAGTGGAGGTTAAGACAAGGGTGGCCGACCCGAAATAGTTGGGAGAAAGGCGAAGGAAAAAAAGAAGTGGTGCCCAACCCATGGCTCGCGAACGTATTCAATGTGGTCCGTTACAATTTTTTTGAAATAAAACAAAATATTAAAAACAAAAGTAAAAATGCAATTTTTTTTAAATTTATTAATTTTACTTTCAAAAATATTCAAATAGAAATTTCACGATAAAACCATGCACTTAAAAGAGCGTACTAATCACATTAATGTATACCTATAGCGTGTACCTCAATCTTTATTCTTTTCAGAAGTCAATAAAATATTTAAAAACAAATTCAACACTCGTATATACATATACTGTATACCTACTATTTAATAAAATAATAAAATAACATAATTAGATTAATATCGATACCGTTCGTACTTTTATACTTGGTGGCCAGCTCTAAAATAATAATTATTGTTTACCAAAGTAAGCCCGCCGAGGAAAAAGATACATCACTGATCTAAATGAATTATGAATATGAATATACAAATTTATTTATAAAGAAACAACTGAGTGCAAACTATACCGAATTAAATTAAAAATTAAAAATGTTAAGTAATGACGTATATTAAAATTGTATTTTAAAATACATATGAATCTCTTGATTTATCTTCCATGCCATATCTATAATCATACGTACAGAAACCTATAGATCAATAGAAATTACTGATACATAAAAATGTGATAGATTAATACAATCTTATTATTACTCTTAACATATAAGGCCCTACAATAATATATCATATTTAACCAATAGTTACTTTGTTTTATTTTCTTTAAATATACATGGAACTTGATCCTATATGATGACAAAAAGTATTTTAATGATTCCGTACATAGATAATTTTGTATTATATTCATTATTTTCTATTCGTAGTTCATAATAATACAATACACAAAACATACTACAGGCTATGGATTTATTTATTTATTGGCAATAATAATGTGTTTGTTAATTTTGAAAATTTTTAATAATTTTACCCAAAAATTAACAAATGATAAAAACAAAAGGTTATCGAGTACAAGAGTATTATTAAAAACAATGTTTTAGATTTATGTTAGAAATGTTAAATACTACACGACAACACAATGTCTTATCAGCTATTATATTATACATTTAATTAGAACTTGCGAGTAAGTTTATCGCTAGATAAGCAATACCCCTTAAATTGAGAAACTGGGAAAGTTTACACGAAGAATTATAGCCATATGATTTATGCGTTAGAATAAATGAAAAAATAATATTCACATCTAATTGATAATTAAAAAAAAATTGAATCAAATAAACTAAATAAATTATTTTATTAGAATATATTTAGTAAGGGCAGAAAATGTGTTTTCTATATACCTTTTATAATAATAAATCATTTAAGTGCTTCATGGAAGCCCATTGTCTTTTTATTAATTTCATAATCAAGAAAAGGCGGTAAATTAGAAAACTTTTCAAATGCTTTAATAGTTTCTTGAAAACTCAAAAACATTATACAAAAAAAAAACCATTAAATCAATTGAGTCAATTATATCATTGTTTCTACATCATTGTTTATTTTAAGAAATCTGTGCCCAAATGAAGATCAATAATTTCGATCATATTATAACATACACTTACGTTATACAATGTATTATATTATAGTGAAAATATAATTTGATAGTGTACTACTGCTCGAGTAAGGTAGCTTTGAGCTATCTTTAGAGTCTAATAAACTTAATGAAAATCAATTATTTTATTACAAAACACAATAAAATTAATATCATACGCTTTCGAGCAATCAAAAGTACGAAAATATCTTATAAATGTATACAAACATTAGAATTTTAAATAAATAGACAATCAACTTTGATTATAGACCCAATATTTAGATATGATTATTAATCTATTTTATTATATTCAACTCAACAGATTTTAAATGGTTTATGCTTAAGAAATTCAACTCACAAAAAACGTGATATTGTTATGATTGTGTTTTTCTCGTTTCTAAATCTTAAGAACAAGCCTTGCGCCGTACTTAAAAATAATACTCTATAAACATTTAAATACGCTGCTGAAAAGTAAATTAATGACATGCACTCGATTTTCTCAAAGATAATTTATTAAATTAACATTACGTACGTGTACAATATATTTGCTTGTTCATTAGATAGTTATTATGTTCGACTCGGCAGTTTTATTCAATTCTAAATGATTATTTTTAGAAGCGGTTGACTACAAAGCATAATAATATGAACAGAAAAATTTGTTTTTATTACAATTTCCAGTATTGCCGTTGTTGTTTGTGTACCAATTCAATGTGTAAATAGAACACGAAAATTCACATTTTACTGATATTCCAAATATTCGATGCGCGTTCAGACGAAAGTAAAATATAGTAAAACCCTGATGAAAATAGGTACTGTCCAATTAGAGAAGTCTGATTCTGTGCATACTACAATCGCTGCGCAATATTGGATTTCCTATAGCACGACTTGCTTAGCCATTTTTGATGACCTTTAGTGTGGTTAGGTTAGGTGGCGTACTTTCAATTTTCTTATATGGGGGTAGAGAATAAAATTATATTCATAGTTTTTATGTTAATATCAAACGTTTATTTTTACACCTCATCGAACAAAAAAATGTATGTTTTTTTTTATGATTACACCATAATTAACAAATAGATATATTTATACACCTATTAAAATATTTACGATGTGCATAATTTTCATTCTAACCATTTGAAAACGGATTTTTTTTCTTGTACTCGGGGGGGGGGGGGGATCTCATATATTTCATATTTTCACACGACTGGTTAAGTATAGTATGAACATTCCGAATGCGTTGGAACGGCTGAATTTGATTTGATTTTCATGTTTTCATCTTGTACACACGTAATATGACGTCAAAGGACGAATACGTTTGAACAAGGCTTTGTAACAGGATAGAGTTCAATTGAAAAATCGAAAATGTCGTTTTCACACACTATTTGATTGTAACCTACTTAACAGCAAAAAATCGAATAAATAACATTTTGAAATACATTATATATAAAAAACATGTTTACGTTAGAATAATTATTATTCTTATTTGAGCTGATGAGTGTTGTGCACGTCATCCGGTAAAATAAGTTTAACCGGTCGAACATACAGAACCGGCTATTGGAAGCCGTAATGTGCATAAAATTCTAATTATTATTATTACTTTATAATATTTAGCACGCATTATGATAGCATGTACGCGCGTAATAAAATGTAATTTTGTCCGACGACTGTTCCACGTTCGAACTAATCAATCGCTGCTTCTTCACCCTGATCGCATATTAAACACTCACTATTAGCAGTGCTCACTATTATTAATACTCACTACGCTGGAGAGTGTAATATACATTCCGATTGACCGACATTTAGACACGTACAGTCAGTGTTTTATAATTATTATTATATAGGCGTAATAACATAAAACTAGGTAGGTACTGGCGCTAGGTTAGGCGCTGGCCAACGATGTGTTATTATAATTTTAACCGTCGATAATATCAATATTTAATTATATCGATGTCGTAATGGTCCGTTTAAACGTTCAGTTAGACTGAGAAAACAGACTGCGTGTACGATAGCAAATGTTGACAAGCCTCAAATTTGAGTAAACAACCGAATGTGTGGATCTAAATATTTTCTCAGTTCATTAGCTCAAACAAATATCGCAAATTAGTTTTTTGCAGTTTAACAGCACGTGTAAACGTTAACGTTTATGTCTAGACGTCGAATAAAAAAATTCAGTGAGCGGAAATAAAAACAATGAAACGTTTAAGATTAAAAAAAAAAAGAACGTACCCGGAACTTTTTTCAAACTACGAATTACTGAAATTTTAATATTACTAATAATAATTTTATCATAATATCGCAGTCGTGTTCAGTCGTTATATTTTATTTTATTTTTTTACTACCAAAATTAAATAATTTAAATTTTGTATTAAATTCTTTTCTTATAATCCAAAATAGCTATTTTATAAATAAGTATTTAAAAACAATTTTGGCGTTTAAAACTTTTAATTTGGTTTCATCATTAATTTTTAAACAATTTTCAAAGTGTGTTCAAATTCAAATTTATTTCTTGTTAATCAGTGTCACTGCTGCAGTCGATTTTGAATTATTTTTTTCCAAGAAATAATAAATTTGTTATTATTAAAAGGTAGTGTATATTATGATACTCGAGTTCTTCTGAAATGATAAGAAAAAAATAGATTGTTGAATTGTTTTTTTCTTTGTTGAATAATTTGGAATGTAGCTTTTAAATTTTTTAGATTGAGCTCCTTTACTTATTTTTTCCCGCTTCAAGCACTGATTAGGTACATTATTTATAATACTAATTTTATTGGAAATGTTATTGAAATTAAGTATGATTTTATATTATTAGTATCATTGTATTTTATTTTAATATTAAATATGTACATTTACATTTATAAAATGTATACTTAAATAAATTAAAAATTTTACACGTTTTACGTAATTTTGTTTCTATATTACAAAATATGTTTTTAGATGGCTGTTTCCTTTCTGAAAATTTTTGTAAATACAGGCGAGAAGCTTTTAACTGTACTTTTTCCTCCACTTTCATAAAAGACTTTCAACATATCACAGTACTCTAAATTACTATAAATATTAGGCATATGTATTTAAGAAAGATAAAAACAAAAAAATATTAAATTTAATATTTAAAAAGTTGACTAATAAATTATGTGCCTATGTTAATAATTTAATTAATAAGTATTTTAGTTTTAATTTAATGGTCTTCAGAGTATTATTATATGTTTAATAATAATTACTTGTTAAAGTTGCTAGTATATTTAATAAGGCAATAGATATAGACCGGTTCATTTTATACCCATAAACATTACATTTAATAAAAATGTATTTATAGATTATTCAAATATGCAATAAAATCATTAAAATAGTTTAGTTTTAGAATATGTATATAATTAATGTCACCCTATGAAAATAATTCTCAATTCACATAATATTATAATTGATCTTTCAAGATTTACATTTCGTATGAGCTACAGTATATTAATATTATTAATTGTGTTTCTATTCATATAGTAAATATTTTCGTCGATCATAATTGTTTTCATAATTCAGAGTTAAAACAGGTGATATATAAATAAATAGACAATTATTTACGAGATTATTAAAAAAAAAAAAGATATGTTATTTATAATGAATGACATGCGTTTTTTTCTGACTAGCAAATTAAATAAAAAAAAAATATGTTTTAAACAAATATTTAGCAACTGTAAAAATTACTATTACACATTGAATGTTACAATTAATTTTTCCAACAATTCTGCCTCTCCTAATTGCTGGGTACAATATAAAAAAAAATTCAACAACAATAGCACTGGCAGTAAAAATATGTCAATAACTATTGATGATGATATAACTTATATCATATAAGTAAATAATAATTAAAGTAAAATGTTTAGTTATTTTTTAATTTTTGCTTATATATCTCCAAGCTGAGTAAAAAACTTATTTTTAGCTACTTACTAATTGCCATTCAAAAACATTCCCTGTTATAATTAAGGTTCTTTCACTAGTGTCGCTAACTGAAAAAAAAATTTATCGACAACTAATAATATAAATTAACAATTCATTGTTAAAAGAAAATTTTCAAAAAAAATAAAAGTTTTATTACAGTAATATTATATAATATTACGAAACTAGCAAAGTATTCATGTATAAAACAATAAACTATTAAGTGTTTCAAATAATTTAACCATCAGATGGAAAATAAATATCAAAAATGTCATGTAGAAAGTTTAAAAATATATATACATACATATTATGTATATATTTATGTTTAGAAAAATTATTAATTTTATCTGGTTTTTACTTGAACTCTGGCATTATGGATATCTTAAAAAGAGATTTTAATTAAATGTTGTATTCATTTTCTAATACAAGAAGATCTGCAATAAAACAACAATGAAGTGTTGTAACTATATTTTTTCTAATAAAAAAAAAAGCTTACAAATATTGAATAGAAAAAAAGTTATTGCATTAGTCAAATAAACCTGTTACACCTTGTATATAATATTGCATATCACGCATTCATCAACTTGATGTATAATGAAATGATATGGCATACTAATATCTATTCGGTCTTCAGAATGCATGAAACACATCGCATTTTAATCTATTTTCATTATTTTCCATTTTGTGAATTATAAATTATAAAAAAATTTCTCAGTACTGCAATAGGTCCTGGAATACCATTTATGAGATGCATTTATAAAACCATTTTTTATTTTTATTATTCAATAAAAGTTATTTACAACCTGTAAATTAAAACCATAAACAAATTTGATGATATTAGGAAAAAAAGTCTCCGGATAAAAAATCTCGGAAAAAAGTCCTCGGTAAGAAAGTCACAAGAAAAAAAGTTTACCGTTGCATTTAATTAAAAATTAAAAAAAATAATAAATATCTTATAAAAATATTATTTAAAAAGATAAAAATTATTTATTCAGATATAAAAGATCTCTTTGAGCTATTAGTTTTAAAAAATTAGGAATATCTGCAGATTTGTCTGCACCAAAACTGTATGTGTAACTGTATATCAAACTATAGCTTACGAGTATGTTAGTAAATTGTCATTTACTATCTACAGATAAGATGTGTCAACCCAATTTATTTTATAAATAAGATAACAAGTGTAGTGGAAATATAGTTATATTTACACTGCAACGGGAGATTTTTTTCCGTTTATCAGATTTTATGACTAGGAGAGATAAAAAAAAAATACAAACTAATAACTTGGAGAGGAGCCGTTCGCTGGCACCTTAGAATTTTAAAATTTGCAAAACCTAAAAATAAATCACCGTCGGTCAACGATAACCGAAACAGGATATACAATATGACCGTAGGCCGTACGTGAACCGACGCCACGACTAACGCGCTAACCTTGGTCCAAGTTCAAATGCGCAACACAAGTGCCTCAGCTACGCACACACTATACAAACACGTTTCGGTCGCGTCCGACGCAATATGAATGCGTAGTCGAGACTATTTAATAAAAATAATAACGAGAACCGTTTTCGCCGACGGGATACGGATAATAATATTACGTGGCAATGCTGCGTGTACCGGTCCGGTGTAGATCATGAATAATAACCAGGACGAGAGCGGTCAATATAAAATGGGATAACCCGAACGTCGACGAAATCGTCCGGGTGGGCGTTTCCGCGGACAACATTTAATGGCAGTCGTATATTAATGTAAATGCCGCGGTCGCAATTATAACGATATTAATACGCATATGTTTAAGTGTATGTAAGTCGTACGTGCTTAAAAAATTTAAGAAAAAACCCGTCGAACGCGCGGTATTTACTTCTTCTCGGAACGTGACTCTTACGGAGTCAGCGCGCGTATTTAGTTGGTTTTTAAAAGTATAACATACGCAGACGAGTAATTATAGTTCGATTCGAATAGAACTCCCGAAACGAGTTCGCAGTGAAATGTTAGCCCTTTTGAACCACCAGATAATTGTCATGATTTACACGGTTTATATTTCAGTTCGAATTAATAATACACCAGTAAACATCAACCGTACACATTTAACTCCGTGGTTTAAATATAATTTCGAATTAAAAATGAACAAAAAAAAAAAAAAATTCGGAAGCTAATCGTTTCCGATTTGGTTGGGCTCTGGAAATATACGTAGGGGATAAGCCACTCCCTCCACCTTCGTTGCTCTTACGGACAATATAATTTTGTTATAAACTCTCAAGTTTAATTTAAGTTAATATTCGATCGGAATAATTATGATTTATCGATTTATCTGTTAGCCGTCGGATAACCAATAAAATATGTCAAATTCGTCGTCACAACGGATATCGTGGAGAGGTTTAAAGAATGTAATCATAGCGCCGGTGGCCTGTAGTTGATTAACTTTTAATCTTCATTTTTTTTTTTTTTTTTGTGCTCCTGTTCTCCAGAGCTTTGCTGTACACCGTAGTGGAAGACCTGTTGACGAACTTCGGGATGGATGGCAGAGCGTGTCTCCTGCGAGCCATATGCGAAGTTCACGGACACAAGTCCATTCACAAATTCGGTTTCATCGGCGAATTTCTACAGTTGTTCCTGACGTGAGTATAATATTATTCAATTATACAATTTCAATCCAATCAAATCATTGCATTTTATAATACGTATTATATATTAATGAGAACTTTACTTTCTTTTTAACGACGTTAAACGTCCAATCGAGCATACGTTATCTATATGCATACGGTTTTTATATCATACTCGAATACTCTTCCGTTATTCGACCGCGGAAAAGAACAAAAAATATTTTAATGCAGTGGTTTACCTGTTCATGAGCCTAAAAAGACGCCCTATTGACCTGCAAAGCCGCTTTTCCATGTGTGGGAAAAACAACTATGCGACGAAACGTAATAAAAAAAAAGTCGTCAATATAGCAATATGCAGTTACGAGGATGCAACTTTAACAAGGTTAGGTCATAGCATAAAATGTGAGCCGGTTTTTACTAATCGTTTTTTGCAATCGCTGTATTTCTAAAACTATGTGCTAAGCCGGAAATGCCATCCGTGCGCGAACACACAGCCGTCCGAATAAACTAGTATATCAAAAACGATGAATATGCATTAGAGTTGAATAATCTGGATAAGTGTGTCAGATATTATATGATAAGGGAAGAATAAATAAAAGAAAATTTAAAAATATCGTATTAGATATTAAAAAATTTAATGATCCAGTATTCGAGTAAAGCCGGTACAAAAATGGTTAAATTCGTGTCATATTGTATTTGTTTTTGATTAAAATGTGATCTAAAATTGTTTCACAAAAAAATATAATGAAAAGAAAAAATTTGCATCAAGTGCGAATTCAAATCTTTATTTTGATACATAAGCTAATGCGCAAATAAAGTTTATACAAAAATCAATAATATTAGCTGTTTCCGATAAACTAATAACTATATTTGTTCAATCATTTAAAAAACATCATATATACGTAAATATACCGTTGTTAGTATTCGTCAGTATAATATTTATGAAAATATTTCTCGTATAATAATGTATACAAGTGTGACTATGAAGTAGGTACCCAGTTAGATTTATTGGAAATATTCTTATGAGATCCTATTGAAAAGTTAGTAATACGTGTACAGCAATATACAGGTGTGTAAAAAATTATAATCCATGGGGCGTCAATATCAGATAGTACACTGACCTAAAATGCAATGCCATCAAAACCCATTCGAGCGTTAAAAATATTATAATAAATTATATAAATTAGAAATATTTAAGTATAGTAGAAACTAAGGGCATGTCTTAAGCGATCGATAATGATTTCTTAAATTGTTCCGTATACATTAATATAAAATGTATTAATACATCATTTATTATAAATGTATGCTGAACGAATTTTAGAGATCGATAGTTGTATAACATTATTATAACATATTATTATGATTTAGGGGAGGAGATCGTTTTAGGCCTCTTTAACCATGACCACGCCTGTCACATAATTATTTATTCATTAATTCATCTGTTGAAGTCTAACAGGTTTGGTTGTAGGAAGATTTTTAATTTATTATACACATCCCTTGAATGTATTCTCGTTATAGTTAATTTATAAAAACCGGTATTTCTTCGAAAACGTCTAATTCTAACGAATATATATAGGATGTCCCACGTAGGGCCGTGTTAAGGGGGGTCAAAGGGGGCAATTGCCCCCGGCGCCGTAGTTTTTTAAAAATAATGGGACGCCCTTATCTGCACTTAATATGCTACCTGTGCCCAATGGCCCCGTAGAAAAAATTTTGCCCCGGGGCGCTGAAATAATTAATACGGCTCTGGTTCCACGAAGATATAGGTTCCCATCACAATATCCTCTGAAGTAATGAAAATATAATCAAATTTTTTTTTTTTTTATATATATATGACTTACAGGTATACATTATGAAAACAAAATATTTTCGTACTGAATTAAATTTTGAGGTTTTATTAAGAATTTTGAAAAAAATTTATTATTTTCAATCAATTTAAAAATTTCAAAGAATATATTCTTTAAAATTTTAACGTCTCAAACTATTATTTTCATTAATTTCGTGATATTAATGTACTCGTATTTATATACATATATTTATATATCGTCTTGATATTACATCTTATCTTATTTTCTTAAGATGTTTGTCTTACATAATACATCTGTTAACTAAAAAACGTATTTAAAATCATAGGTTTGATAAAAATAATGATCTATTTATACTCGAAACACAGATAATATAGTCAACTGTGGATTTGAAGTCCAATTTGTATAAATATATCAAATTCAACGTAAAAGTATATGAACACGCACAATGCCAAAATGTTATAAAAAACGAATTAGTTTTTCAAACCTTTCAAATGTCATCGAAAAATATTTATCATTACCTATTCCCAAAAACCACTTATGTCACAATAGGCTCAAAATGAAATGATGCCATGAGCCGGTGATCTACTTTCCACATAATCCCTAGAAAATGTATAATCCAAAGCCCAGCTATAAGGAGTGTCACCTGCAGTGGGCGACTTCTCTAAATCAAGTCTTTACTGCCAATTTAGTATATCTATTATCACTTATGTGTTCATCATACTTGTATTGTGTGGTAGGTTGTATAACACGAATAAGAAAACTGGAAAATCGTTGGACGTTCCAAAATTCACTTTGTATCTAATAAACTTAGCTAATAATATAATATGCATTATACACGCACTGATTTTCTCTTTTTATTGTGCCGTGTCCGATAGGGGATTGTAAACGCTTCAAAACGAACGTCGAAACTATGAAAAAAAAAAAAAAAAAAAAAACAACAGCGCGACAATAGACGACGGATTATATGTTTTACGTTTTTCGTCGAAAACCACGCGTAAATCATAAAGCGGGAACTATGTAAATATTATATTATATCGCACGGACGACGGTCCGGCCATTAGTATTTTACGCATATATTATATAGATCGTCTCGGACACGTGCAAACGCAATAATAATAAGAAAAATAAAATATGCCACCTTTCGTTTATAGAAACCGCGATCGACAGCGGATGGACGGACGGGCGATTTTACTGTGGTGAGAATTCGATTGGAATTTCAACGTCGTAATTGCGATATTATTATGCTGTTGTTGTTACATTAAAGGGTGGCTATTATAATTGTTCAAACTTGTCCACATAGGCGCACGTTAACGATGACGACCAACGGAGATGCGATTCCGTCGAAACATGTACTGCAAGTACCATCCCGTTTTAATCGCATTTCGACTCGGTCAAGCCGTCGTCTTCGTCATCATTGTAATTGATCCACACAAATCATTGATTCTCTCTCCCTTTCGTTTATACACCTGTTATTTAATGATGTTAAATCTATTATATCGCTAACATTTCGAATTCTCATTACCCGTAGTCGTTTCTATTTGCACTTAATAATACCTACAACCCCGCCTATCACTTATAGCGGTAGAATACACGAAATGTCATAGACTATCCTTCCAATCGGAACACTGACCAAAAGGATAAGGTGCGATGCCTTAGGTTTCTCACAGAAAGTCTCAAACAATTCAGTTTCGTATCCGAACAAGATATTAAAAATTCAACAATACTACAACGGAATCGCAAACGTGAATACAGTTCGACGAAGGTCGCCTTGCAACACAGTTTTACCGAGGGATTAAGTTAGATTATACGGGGAAACGTTGGCCAAATTTTAACGGATCGCGAAAAAAAGATATTAAACATATAATGATAACTTTTATCGAGATTGTTGCAATTAATTGTTGAGCACAATAATTTGGCTACTGTACACACACCATGCATTGTATTCGCACAAAAAATGCAAAAAATATATTGCGCGATTTCTTATCGTTGCAAATATTATTTATTCATCATCGATTCAACTACACCGTCACTATATTAATTCGATTCGGAACGAAAATTCGAGACAAAAGAATGCATTTACGTATCCGATAAAAATTGGCTCGAATATCATTTCGATTTGTTCGGTTCGATGTAGGCGTAGCTTTAACAGGTTATTTCGATTGTAATATATAGACTGTGGTATGTTTATTTATCCATGCGCATACCCATACCCATACTCGACGCGTGAAATATATTTTGAAAATTTAAGCGCGTTAGCCTTATTGAAATGATCCTGCGGCTTAGGAATCGGCCTAGGAATCACCGGATCGTATCGCTTCGATCCATTCGTCTCGAACAGCCGATATACGAATAGGTACGTTTTTATCGCACGAACGGCGAACGATAACGGACGAAAACCATTCAATAACGCCGCGCACGTGAACGCGATAGTATAACATTATTATTATAAATAGCTAATATGGCCAACGGTTGTTTTTCAGGGCAAGTAGATCAACGTACGCCGATTTGATGGAGGATTACGTGACCGCCGAGACAGTTGGGAAACGCAGTAAAGAATGTTACCCGTACTTTAAGGAATGCCCAAAATCGTTGTTTACGTACAACCATAATTATTCGTAAGTGCGACTTCATTAAACATACTTAATAATAAAATGCCATATCTTAAGGGAGATCAATGGGGTCCGGGCCTCCCCTCCGAAATATTTTCTATATTTTACAAATAATTTATATTTGGATCACAATATGCATTTTTTCGGAAGACCTATACGTGTTATTGGTATCCGATTAAATATTAGGATCGGTGAGATTAAAAATTGTGCTTAAAGGTACGATTTCCAAGGTGCGGCTGGCTGATCTCAACGATCAGCCGTAATTATTAAAAGCTGTGTGTCGACGACTGGTTTTCTAAAATTCATCTAAACGTTGCGACCGGAGTTCATGTTATCCTAATATTATGTAGAGTACAGAAGTGTTTTTTGGTAAATAATTTTTTTGTTATTATAATTATTATTAACTAAAAAGCGATAGAGGAAATCATTATAAGTTTCAATTCATAATTTCTATTTACCGATGATTTATTTTCTATATTTTATTCTACATGTTGTAATTGCACAAGCTATTAAAGGTATACATTTTTTAATTGCACTTGTAAAAAAAACTAATAAATTTTCTTTTTGCTATATTTTATAAATCTATTAAACAATTTAGACCCCTCCCCCTGAAAAAACTCTAGATTCAAGCTTGATGTATTGCTGTACGTTAAGCGTAACAACGCGGATATTATGTAGTATAATCTAGGATAGGGATGGCAAAACTTTTGAACACTGCGTGCCCAAAGTTACCTTTTTTTTTTTTTTTTATAGAGCGTGTCATGAAAAAAATATTAAAAGTACTATATTTTGTTATAATTAAAATTTGTATAATTAGATTAGTATAAAAAGGTTAATTTAGGTATATAATAATAATAATAATAATAATAATAATAATATTGTTTTGTTAATTATTTATATTATATTATAGATCCTATAATATTATATAATATATAATGGTAAAAATTTTCGCGTGCCATGGATTTGCCATCCCTGATCTAGGGCAACAAGGACTTGTAGCGTTTTTTGCGTATTTGTGTTTTACAAAACCGTACAAATACGGCAAATTAAGAAACAATAGTATATTTTACCTTAAGACAAAGCTACTTATACAATTTTGTTTTGCAAATAAATGCATACTTTAGGGGGCTTGCTTTCCGGACATATTTCTTTCTTCTTATACTTTTTAAAATGTAGATTCATCATACTTAAAAATAATGTAATTGATATAATTTGTATCAATGTCTTTTACCCCATGCAAAATGATACTAATTAGTCAATCATTATTTTTATCGAGTTTGAAATTATTTTACATTTTTAATACGAGTATGGTATTAGTTGTCACAATGTTGGCGTATTATATTATTGATGGATTGCAGAACCTAGGAAGCGTTTGGAGATTGATTGTTAACATTTTGTGGCGGTGATTGACGAAAAATTATATTTAAAAACGTAAAAACCGTACAATGAATATAAGAGATAAACCCCTACTAGAGTTTGTTTTTTCCTATAAGTATTATTAAGCCAGGCAAAACGTTTGTAATGAGCTGATCACGTTTGACAAGCTGTCGAAAGTCTTACAAAAAATATATTAATCAAAAATCCCCCAAAAAAGCGATCAAGAGAAATACCTCACCAGAGATGATTAGATAGGGTGAAGATGAATATTTAGATGCCGACAATTCAAAACGATTGGATGACGCAATGGACCGGAATGGACGGAAAAACTTGGGGGAAGCATGCAAAAAGCTTTAATGAGCTGTATAGCATAAAAAAATATTATTAAACGACCATACTACTTTAATCCTTTCGTAATAATTGACATTCTTAGAAGTCCTGAGAGTCAATTATTATATTTATCTGAATTCAACTACATTATAACTAAAAATATTTTAATTTCGTAATTAGAGTAATTAGTAAGTAGATATCCGAGAACCACTGTACTTTAAATCTCAAAAATCGTTAATACGCCACCGCGTATAGTTGTTGACGTAATCACTAACTATTGGGATAATCGAACTCGAAAGTTAGGGCACCAAAGCGGTTCCGGCGAAGGAGTGTACGTAAACCAACTGGCGTCAATGTATCCGACGGTGAAATAGAAAAGAAACGCGTATTCTCAAGATGGTCAGAGGGAAAATGATCTACATTCGTTCATCGATCGGTACATTATAATATTATTATAAGTATCAGATTGACGGCTTCTCGTTTAATGGGAAATCAGCGCGCGCCTATTGAATAGCGAAATTAAAAAAATACACTAATTTCACGCGTCGCGTCGGCGGCATTTCAATGAAAATCTCTTGCGGACCGGTTACCGCAATGGCGGCGATGACACATGATGCGCGGACCGTCGCGTGTGAAAGTGTAACATCAGCTATGTACGATAATGATAATAATAATAAAAATAAAAATACTGTGTCCTTCGCACGATTTTATATCGGAATGCGTGTACCTACCAATACCGAAACGTTATGTTACATACTATATTAGCATCGGAACGCGGACGAGTCCCCCCCGTACACTGTTATCGGCTGCGGCAGTGATTCGATTTAGGAAATTTTTCATGCGCCACCGTCGCCGGACGGCATTTATATATTATGGTATTATAACGACGCGTAAGTAATAAACGTGTGTTATCTTATCGGGATCGAATAGTTTGGAAAATAAAAACCGCAGCGTTGCGGGGTCGCAGCGAGATGACATTGAGTTCTGGTTACACGTGGACGAAAGGGAGCAAAAATCGGTAGTTTTTCTTGGAGGGGAGGGGAAGATTTCAAAATCGTACAGGTACGACTGCTATCGCAGTCCGATAAACTTAGGGTTTGGTGTTCAATGTTCGTGATACGTTTGATCTACGAACCAAAATAAAATCATAAACAATTTTCTTTTTTTACACGTTTACTTACACGGATATTTCTCTTTGACCGAAACATGTCACATATAACGCCCGTTCGTCGATAAGATGTTCGAATTATGTTTAGTTAAATATACCATGTGTTCAATTTTAAAGGTAACAGGAAATATTTCGAACGCAAGACCTTGAATTTAATTCGTGTTTTTTTACAGGGTACAGGATTTATAAATACATATGTTTTTGATTTATTCTAATTTTTAACTTTTTTTTATTTGCGCATACGCAGTAAAATAAAAATTTCTTAAATAGGAACCACCATCTTTGACACTGAATTTGGTTTGCTCTATTTTTTTTTAACAACTTTGATTTTTACAGTTTTTTGATATGTTCAAAATTGACATTTTTAAGATGGTTGAAAGTTTTAAATTAGGTAATTCGTATTTATCGCATATTTCAACGTTCTACGTATCTTAATCAAGCATTTACAGATATCATTATAACAATTTATTTTTATTAAAACTACAAGGTGTATTTATTATAACATTAAATTTATAAACAAATATCATAAGATAATAATAATAATAAAAATATATTATTCCATAAACTTCAAAATTATTGTCATTATTTTCAACACATGCTTCCATTCGTCTAAGTAGTTCTCTTTGTGTAGCTGCTATGATTTCATCTTCAATGAATTCATTACACGCAATAATTATTTTATTTTTCAAATCATCAAGATTAATAGGTAGATTTTCATAAACTACTGTTTTTAAATGTCCCCATAAAAAATAATCCAACGATGTTATATCAGGTAATCTAGCGAGCCATTTTACTGGACCATATATGTATTTATAAGTCCTGTACCCTGTAAAAAAAACCCGAATTCAATTCAAGGTCTTGCGTTCGAAATATTTCCTGTTACCTTTAAAATTGAATACATAGTATACATATTGCGTTAAATAAAACCAAAAAAAGAATAAAAACTTTCATGAGTCACACTGCTTTTACAAAATAAATATATCAAAACCCTTGTGCGTTTTATGTGCGAATTTTCCAATGAATAACAATACAACCGCGATTTATTTAAAATTGCTCTTATTCGTTACAAACATAACGCCAACAAAAAAAAAAAAAAAAAAACCCCTGATAAATAATGTTAATTCTAAATTTAAAAAATATGTATAAACTTTACAATAAAAATCATAATTCTTCGAAACCACCAAAATTTAACCGGATAGAGTATAAAGAAATGTTTCCGAAAAATAGTTTCACATAACTGTTATCTGCAGGATATTGTACAGAAAATAAATCACCTATCGTTCCGTGTGCGGATTTTACCGGATTTTAGCCTATTTATGCAATGTACGCCGGAAACACATCCTCTGATGATCCTCGCGTATCACGCGATCGTGATTTTTTCACTAAGCAATTTGTATTGTACATATAATTTAACTCGAAATCATCGAGACAAAATATTAACAAGACGAGTACGAAAAAAAGCAGATGTCGTATTCAATTGCTCATCTTATTCAATCATTTTTCAATCGTTTTCTGCTTAATCGATATCATTTTCAAATGTTTAACTACTTCGGTATGCTAAGTAAACATATTAATATAACCGTTTACACAATTATATATATAAATATACACACAATATTTTAATATGATTAAAAAAAATTGAAAGTTTGCGAAAGTAAGTAAAACAGAAATAGAAATGAATTTTCAACTGTCAAATAAATAATATATATTCGATTAGTGTTGATGAGTCGTGGTAGATTGACACTTTAAGATGAACCACATACATTATACCTACTAGCACGTTTTCTAATTCAACCGATATTACAACGATCGCCGGAAATTTGATTTAAGTGATATACATACTTTGTATATAGGTCAACGAATAAATTATAGTTTTTATTTATTTTTCAAATAAATCATCGGAAAACTTTCGCCTTTTCAGCAGTAAGTAGTGGATACGCAGTGGAATTTCTGAAATCAAGAAAACCGTTTTGCATTATTTATATTCACCATATTATTGCACTGTTTTCATTGTTTTCCATTATCTCTGACTTAACTGTTTTAAATACCGTACACGGTTCCATTTTAAAAACATTTTTGCCATTTAACAGGCACTCAGTTAAAATTAATATCGCAAATATTTGTTGTATAATTGGATTTATCCTTGGACGAAAGCTAGTACTTTTGTACATACAGCGTCATATAAAGCTTGACTGTACTTCAGTATAGTCAAGTTTATTACACACCGTTATTTTCATCATTAAATTTTTAAAATTTTTCTTCACACAATATTTTACCATCACGTTGAGAGTTGAAACGTTATTTTATTTACACTCCAAATAATAAGCCACTGCTCGGAATTTTATTTATTTAGATTTCAACCTAAACATGGAATGAATGTTAATTATAGTTTTATAAATAACTAATAAATCCTAAATAATAATTCCTACTCATGTTCCGCGAGTACTAACTTTTACGAATTTTATAAATCTCCATCAAGTCTTACGAATTTAGAATGTATTTTTTTTTAAATGAGACATTATGAGAACGTTTGCCAAGAAATCAAAATGTTTTTCAATTTTATAGTAACGAGTGGTGTAAAGAAAACAACGAAAAAAAAACTTGAAAATAATGTAAAATTTCTTCTCGGGCAGCCTCTCAATATACACTCTTAAATTAACTTCTTTTGACAAAACACCAAAAATAATTCGAGTATTTTTTAATGCTTTCAAAATATTGTCTTTTTTTACAAGGTTATCTTATATGGTATTTTTTTATTTACAAATAGTTTTAAAAATACAGAGGTAAACATATTCGATTCAGCAATTTTCGTTATAAACATTTAAAGTTCAAAATTACAAATTAAACATCTTCTTGAGTGTTATGCATTTTTTTTTTTTTTATGTACATTGAATCATTCGAGAAATATTTAGTGTAGGAAAAATACTGTTTTTGTGCTTGTCGATTGGTATTTGAATACTACGAACGTATCATTACATCATTTTGGAATGGTAATTTTTCAAACGCGAAAGTTCATCATCGATTTAAAATATTTAATCAAATGATTAATACGATCAGTGCCGGCTCAAGGATTTGCGGGGCCTGGTGCGAAATGTATTTTTTTTATGAAAAGCTACTCCTTCTAGACGCTTGTACCGAATAAATCACGCTCACATTTAATACATTTATAAGGTTTAAAGTATTGTTGCTCGAGAGTAAAAAGTTTTATTTTTTGTTTGTGGAATTGTTGCAAGGTAAAGCGCGGGACCTTTGAAATTGCAGGGTACTCGGACACATTTCGCCCCCCTCCTTGATCAGTACCCTGAACATGACATATAAACAATTTACTCAATATTATACACTGGAACCAAAATTATATACTACCTACCGGAGAGTACGTATATGAATTCACTGGATAGTTCATTCTAATTTCGAACACTAAAAGTATTTTATTATATTTTCTTCGAATATACATACTAATTCATACCAATATAAGAACTCGTGCTGTCATGTGCGAGAACGCGTCTATAATTTAGCATGGCGTAATAATCCTGTAGATAGCTAATTTTTTATTATTAATTCTCTTTTAACTCAATAATATCAAATATTTAAAATCAGAAGCTTTTCCCGAAAATGTATGCATAGACTTGATTTTATTGCATTAACCAAAACAATTATACGTAAAAAAAAACCAAAATAATGAAACTACTTAAATCAAACAATATTATTTTTCATCCATGGGTATAGACACACGCAATGGAATTAGGTTCAGTATACTTCGAATAAATATAATAGGGTGCGCTTATGAAAACTGTACAATCAGGTTAATTATAAATTACTTTTTGTTTGTACGCTTAAATGGCGACATCCAAAAGAATGTGGTATGTAATTCGATCGTTCAACGAATTTTAAATCGACGTAAAAAAAAATAAATAATGGTCATGAAAGTACAATTAAAGTCGTTTTCAATTAATTGTATAGATTTTTCGAAAACTGTTATTTTAATCTATACATTACACAGGTTCTCCGCGTACAAATTGTTATCATACTTGTTGATTTTTTCATTTATATCGGTATATTTATCTCATAACAGCATTATTTGACCGAGAAACATTTGTATACTTTTTCGTGCGGACATACCTATTAATACTGTTGGCTTTGGCACGATTGTTTTTTTTTTTTTTTTTATTAAACCCTACTGACCCGCGAATACAATTGATTACTTCAATGGAGGAAAACAGATTATCACATCTTATTTTTTCAATCCTTATTTGGTGAAATATCTTATAATGAAACCGTCGATGCTGGTGTACCGTTATCCGCATAAAAGTGCGATTCGTAGAAGATAAAAAAAAAAAAAAAGGAGTCGTATTACAAAATCGATTCGCTCAGAACTTTGATGGGGATGTGAAAAAAGAGTGTAGCTTACGTACAACGTACACTAACTTATTCTTTTTCTCCTTCGCCTTTCTCCCAACTATTTGGGATCGGCCACCCTTGTCCTAAAACTCTACTCATCTCGATTTTCTACATCACTTACGCACACACCAAAAACTCTCATATCATTCTCAATCGTATCCAACCATCTCTTTTTCGGTCTTCCTCTTTTCGCTTCAATGTTCATTTTCATTACAACTCTTACTGCATTTGTTTCCTCTCGTCTCATCTCATGCCCAAACAATCTCAGTCTATTTTCCCTCATCTTGTCCACTGTTAACGCTACACCAATACTACATAATAATACATATACGTTTCTTATTCTATCTTCTCTTGTCACTCTACTCGTCCATCTTATCGCATAAAACGCTCCACGCTTATCTCTATTTCATCCAACCGCACTTAATCCTACGTTTTACATCTATGCCAAAACACCCGTCTTGTTGTACAAATGGTCCTAAATATTTAAGTTCTCGATTTCACCTATCATATCATCACTTATTGTCGTTGGTCATCTTGTACCCTCAACTTCATATCTTCCTCCAAAATCATACTCTATATACTCTGTTTTATTTCTCCTAATTCTCAATCCTTTTTAACGTACACCAACTGAGTGTACTTATATTACGAGTGTATCATGATATCATCATTACACAATTGTATCATAACCTCACGAATGCGCAGCTGTGAGTCCATCGACGGAGCTTTTAGCGATTCATTTTCATTGAAAACGTGATATATTTCTCCACACCCTTACAACTCTGTAGTCATTATACGTAATAGCAGTGCAACACCACGTCGAATGTCGTTAGCACGCGTTTGCACATCATTTTTTGGTTAAGGTTTTTTCCTGGTTGTAACGGTGTTTGTTTGTTTTTAGAAACCAACCGTCGTCTGTAAGTTTTAAAAATTCCGCACTAAGGGTGATCAAAATGGCTTTTTAAAGAAACTAAACGTTGCATGTGCGTGTTGCAGGAAAAACGATTTGTCACCGGAGGACGAAGGAGAAGAACACGATGACGAATCGGTGCTGGCCGACGAAGATGACAACAACATACAGAACGACGGCGATAACGACGTCGACCGGAGGAAGTCGAGCGGCGGATCAAAAGTGACGGTGAATCCGGCACCGTTGGCCATGTGACCCGGTTAAAACGCGAGTGTAAATAATCATACTCTTCGGCTAGTAACGATCGTGTTGCAAACCGTCCGTCAACCGCGGATTTCGCTTTTACGCAACAATGATAAAATGTGTATCGACCGTGAAAAAAAAAACTAATTATCCTTTTCACCCCTTATCAATTATTTCATCCCATTCCGGTCCGCAACCGGTTCCTTTCGATTTTTCTTCGTCCCTGATTCAGTACTTACGGTTTTCTCCGTCGCATTGTGGCACTTTATCGATAATAATTGTTAAGATTTAATAACACGTCGCGAGGCATAGCTATACCCGTTGACTGCGATTCGGCCGCGAACAGCGGTTACGGTAGGAAACCAAGAACTATTAGAGAACCGACAAAAAAATTACCGTTCAACTGAAACGACAAATATACGTTTTTTCCGACGCGCTCGTTCCGCGACCGTGAAATACTTCTTGGGAAATGCAGTTTTCCGCGATTACCAAACCTCAACACCGTATAGTAATATATAGGAACGTGTAGTAATATATCAACGATTTTCTGTGATACAAATATCAGCGTATTTCCGGTGTAGCATTAATCATTATTTGACAACTTGTACTGATTCTTCGACCTCACCATATCATTAAACGAATGCTTTGATTCACGCATCGTCTGTTCGAAATATACTTGAATTTGCAGCTGCTATATTGTGTTTCTTTACTAGACGATTCATTAAATTTCAAATTTTTTAATGATTTAATGATATTAATTTATTTTTTCTCCGGGTAAAATGAAAAACACTTTCAAAACGGTTTGCGAGCAAATCGTTTAATTCTTCGAGCGTCCCGTCAACTGCTAGCAATAATCCGAATCGACGCCTCGATTAACTTACAAGCATCAGTTGTGATTCGGTATACTAATATACTGCAGTCGACGGTCGCTAGAACACCACGGTTTGTTGACCGAGAAATAATTGTACTCTCAACCGTCAGTCCCGGCTTCTGATTTTCAGCCGTTACTCTTTTCGGATGGCTCTATAACAGAACTTTCAATAAAATAGAATTTTCAAAATGAACATATAAAATGGAAACGTGAACGTTCCTTTGTGTCAGTTTTATGTAGAAATGTTCGAACATATTCCTCTGATCGGAGGGATGTCACTGATTGTTGGTTGTTGGTTCATTCAGCTGTAAATCACTCGTGTAACACAACGAAGTTTATCAGCTGACCACGTTTAAACGTTGGCGTTTAATATTTTTTATTTCATTCATTTTTATACCTCTCCTCCCCTCATCAGCCTTACCGAAGGTTTCACTTCCGCTGTGCCTTACAACGTTTCACACCACGAATATCGTTACATATTTTATTATTGGTTTTTTTTATTTTTATTAAATAATAATCATTAATTTATTCGTAATACGTGTATTTTATTAATCCTTGAAACGGAACAAAAAGAGGACTATTTCAAAATGTTGTTTTTTCTCTTTTTGTTTCGTTTCTGACTTTAAATTATTTATATTATACATTTAACACGCGATCGCGAACAAAATATGTATAGCTGTAGACATAAAGAATAACTCAAGTATAATCAGTTAAAATATAAATATATTATAGAATTAGATATATTAAGTAAAATTATAGTAACTGTCAGTGCCGGATTACCCATTAGGTGGAGTAGGCGCCCGCCTTAGAGTCTCACTCATTTAAGGGGCCCTATGAAAACGGAAAACTATACTTTTTTTTATTTATTAATACCCGTATTTTATTTACGAATTTACGGGATAAAAGTCATTATGAAATATAATGTATATTAAGTTGTAGGTGTTATATGCAGTAATAATAATAAATAAATTTGAAAAAAATAGAAATAATATAATTAATTAATTTTTCTCGTAAATAAAAAAATTTAATGAACACGATTTTATTTATTAATAGTAGTCGATTATTATTAAAGCTGTTTATCTTAATTATTTGATTGCAATTTCTCATACAGATGTATGTAAAAAATAATTTTGTAGGGCCCAAAATTTTAATTGCCTAGGGGTTCACAAATGTTTAATCCGGCACTGGTAACTGCAGTTTGTATATGTGTCCGGTAATGCACACAAATATCATATAGCATAATAGTGGTAGTATATAATGTATCATATAGATAAGGAGCGAATGTATTCTCAAATGTAGCTTAGGTTGTGCCATCGTTTATTTAGTTTAATTTCATAATCAACCTATATATATATATATATTATAATATTTATTTATTTTATTATTTTGTAAACAAACGACCAAATCGTTGTAGATATTATACACGTGTAGACTATTTATTATTACATAAATATATATGTATACATATTTATACCCCAATTGTACTGTTATTTAAAAATACTACTTGTGTGTGAATATCGTTTATTATTTTTATTTATAAAATTCATCTTGATCTATACGCAACATACACAGTTTTAAATTACGATTTTCGTATACATTTAATTAATAAAACGAAAGTTGGACAGTGATGATAATGTGGAATCGAAAGATAGTAAATTCCTACGCAAAGCATAGTAGGTAAACGTTTACATATATAAATTCTAACACGAAAAAAAATAAATATTGATACGTGAGATCCTATATGAACAAAAATATATGTATGTTTCATAGCTGAAAAACCAGAAAACTGTAAAATAATAAAATAAACAAACTTAGCCATTATTTAGTGACAAATTACGTAGAAAAAAAAATACTTTGCCCCCTAGTATTTGGACTAACGTTAGTTCTTGTAAGTCTTACTACAAATGCTAGTGAAAGTTTTCACTCCGAATTCAATTCACAATGTTATCACCACCATTCTAGTATAATCGTATTTAAAAATAATAGATGTGTTAAAATATTTTCAAAACAAATACATATATTAAAATAAGAACATCAGATACTTATCAATAGAACTAAAAAATAAGCAAAATAAAATAAATAATATAAACAATAAATTATTATAATACAACTTAAAACAAAAGTCTAAAGTCCTAAGTCTGAATAAAGTGGGAAGACAATTTGTAATCGTAATAATTTTTATCCGTGTACTTACATAACGGTTTATTTTTTTTTATAGCCCCCCTAAAAATTTATGATTTCACTGAATGTTTTGTTATGACGTAAAAGCATACAGCATAGACCTAAGATTCAGCCCTCTTCTCAAATTTCAAACACTATTTGCACCTATCTATGTTGGCGAAGTTCTTTTCTTTAGGCATACATTGAGTTCTATAAAATTATTAGAAAAGAATACATTTTTATGTACGTACGTTATAATAGGAAATATGAATTCAAAATTTTAATATTGCCTTTCGTCAAAATAATCAAAAGAGCCTTCAGGTCTTTGCTGTTCAGGAAGAAATGTTTTTTTTTTTTTTTTGAAGACATTGCAGATCCGGACCACTTGAATTATTGAAGTATCTTAAATCGTTCTCATGAAGATTCAAAAAAATTTTTTGACATAATTCGTGTGTTATATTCGGCTTTTCAGATGACATCGTTAGGTGTAACAAAAATTAAACAGGGAAAATAAATGCCGTCATTTAAAGGTGTTCAAGATGTTAGCGGATGGCCACATTGCCGGGAGTCATACCGACGCGCGACTCGCCCGGTGCCCTGTTCTGTGTGTATTCTACTCTCGTAACACTCAATGTTTCTGATGTACACAAAGTCCTTATTCTCGACCATTATAAAATACACTTATATTACTCATTTATTTCAATAAATGTGTTTTGTTGTTATTAATCACCATGACTAGATCTTTTTTAACAAAGGTTAAGTTTACCAATTGGCTATTTTTCTATTACCCAGTAATCCAAAAAAACCAAAGTTTTATAAATATACTTCATAGGTGACTGGGTAAATTAAGTAGCATTAAGTAAAACAGAAGCGTCTACACTTGAATAGTTTCGTGTTGCGCACGGTATCGGTCATTGTGTAATACGTTATTCGACCGCGTAATTAGTTTGGTATGGCTATAGTGAACTATTCGTTTACTGTGGATTGTGATATTTATTGATATTGTTAAATTAAATTGTAATGATTAATATGATAGGTCAATTTCCATTTATAATATTTGATTTTATAAACCATATAAAAATAAATAATAATCTATAATGCTCACAGTTATACAGATGAAAAGTTCTTAATAAAGCCTTTATTCGGTTCTCTTTATTTCAATATAAAAAAAATTAATATTAAAAATAAAAAAATCGTTATTTCTAGACGGTATTCATGCAATAATTATTGGACCCTCTGGATCGGGAAAAACAAATGTTATATATAATTTAATTATGCATAAAAATGGATTAAAATTTGAAAATATATATTTATACGCAAAAACATTATATCAAGGAAAATATACTTTGCTAAAAAATATAATCAACGGTAAAACAATAGCAAATATTGATAATTCAACAATTTCTGCCTTTGAACATTTTTTAAATACACATTTTGGAATCTAAAAAATATGATAAATCATTCGGATTACATTATAATAAAACCGATGACAAACTTAAAATAGAAAATTACTCTGTAATTTTTATAAATGGTCATCTACACGTTTTCGGTAAACATTTTCCTTGGACGATTGGTCTTTGGTCGTTATTATGTGAGAAAGTATCAATACAAAATCTTTTGAAGACATACTATTAAATTTTAAAAACTACAAAAGTTCATCTTAAATCAGATAGAAAACCTAAAACTAATAGCAATTTTAAATGGAGGCATGTTATAAAACCATAAAATAAACGAATAAAAAATTATTTAAAACACTCATCTTCTTTAAAACTTCACCTAATTTAAATCTATTTCAATTTGACGATTATCTTTCAAAGAGAAAATAAATTTATCTATAGATGAAGAAATTTTTTTTTAATATTTTTGATTTCTCACCCCCTCATTTTGTTCATTACTTTAAGAATATAAGAAAGTTATTTGGGTTAAATTTGGTCATGATTACTCATCCCTTTCACGTGCCCCAAGAGGATTGAATATTAGTGAAAAAGGGATGTTTTGTCATTTTTTGAGTATATTTAAATAAATATTGCATTTATCTTAAAAATGTATAGAACATATATTATAGATAATTATATTTTTAATAAAAAATATATTCATACAATTTCTCATAAATCTATTATTTCCCAAGAAAAATGATAAAATATCGAATATTTTATTTATTTAAAAAAAAACGATTTTTTACAATTATTTAAATATATTAAAATAATGGTTGATGATACGACAAAATATCTTATATACAATTGATAAAGAATTTGATTTCTTAAAAAAAAATTCATTAGCATAAATTTCATTGGATTGACTGTTCTATTGTAACAGTAAGGCTAACCTAAAAAAATTTAATGTATTTAAAATATTATTATATTAATTTAAGAGTTTCATTAATAATGTTTTAATATAATACAGTTTATACAATATCTTGTAAATCTATTTCTATCTATTATTTATTATTTCATAAGAAAAATTATATAGTTAATATTGAATATTTTAATTATTTAAAAAAATCAATTTTTTATTATTATTTTTGTACATTTGTTATTATTTAAAGCTTTCCTCACTATCCGGAAAAAAATGGTTGACCGCCTATAGGAATTTTAATTATAATAATAATTGCTATCATATAATTTGTCTTATGAAATAATAAATAATAAATAATAATAATAATAGATTTATAAGACATTATATAAAATGTATTATATTAAAACATGTATTAGTAATGAATTGAGCGCGGATTTCTATGCAATTGCATATTTTTTTCCTTTCAATATGTTTTGATTTTTTGTCAGTTATCTCCACGAATCATCATAATTTGAAGCTAATGGTGAAACTTTTTTTTTGCATATTTCTGCATATTTAAAGGTTATTGCATATTTTTCCATATTTTGGCAAAATTCAAAATTTATTGAAGTGAAAGTATATTGAAGTGAAAATTAAAAAAAAAATGTATAAAATAATATTTTGTCAAGTAGAAAAATTAAAAATAGATTTCATAGTCACTAAATAATAATTTATATATATAAATATTTAGTTATAAAATAAATAATCGATTACGACGTAAACTTAATCGCTCTTGCTGTGTCAGTCGGTTATCGACATACCACTTGCTTCAAATATGCTCCAATAACTTCGGTTGACATCGAATGTTCGTTTTCAGTCTTTAAAAATATGTTAATCGATAAACGACACAGCTTCACAAAAGATAAACTTGAAATGCATATGATTATTCATTTTAATAATAAATAAAATTTTAAGAATAAATTAAGTTCATAAAATTCCCTAAATTTTTTTGTATTAAGTATTTAAGTAATTAATTATTATAAATTGAATTATACATTTTAAATAAATAAAAAATTCTTGCATATTCTCGTTTTTTACTGCATATTATATGGCATATTTCAATACTTTTAAGTGCATACAAATCCGCGCTCTGGTAATGAAGCTCTTGAATTAATATAACATTTTAGATACATTAAATTTTTTTACGTTAACCCGACTATTATAATAAAACAGTCAATCCAATAAAATTTATGCTAATTAACTTTTTTTTAGGAAATCAAATTCTTTATCAATTGTATACTATATATTTTGTCGTATCGTCAACCATTATTTTAATATATTTAAAGTACTTTTTAAGATAAATGCAATATTTTTTTGAATATAATTAAAAAATTACGAAACAACCCTTTTTCACTAATATTCAATCCTCTTGGGCCACGTGAAGGGGATGAGTAGTCATGATCAAATTTAACCCAAATAACTTTTTTATAGTAATGAACAAAATGAGGGAGCGAGAAATCAAAAATTCGTGAGTTCAAAAAAAGGACCACCCTAGGCACCTCTTGATGTTTTTGTAGATTAAAGGCAATATTCAACAGATTGGACAAAATCGATTAATGAAAAAAAAGATATACTGTTTATTGGTAATTTAAAAAATCACACATTCAAAGTAAAAGCAAATAACCAGGATTTTGAGAAATCCATACAAAAAAATGGAGTATCCCAAGGTTCTGTATTATCAATAACTTATTTTTTTTATATCTCCATAAATTACACAAACCCCAAAAATTGTTCCTAATCAGTCTATTATTATCACGTACAAATTTCTGCGAAAAGTACTGTTAACAATATGGTCACTACTTGTATCTCGTAAATAATTTGTTTAATTTTAAATTAATTACAGTAGAGTGTAAAGTAAATGACTTAAAAAGGGACAATAATTTCATTGGAGTTGAAAAATCTGTATTAACTGAACTCGTTATACATTAACTGACGAGGACATTTTAATATTTACCTATTTTTTATTTTTTATGAATGCCCTAAAACTGGTTATATGTCTTCTCCTGAATTACATAGTTCTATACACTTTTTCATCATTTAAGTATGCATATCATGAAGATGCGGTGTTGATTTTTTGGTTTTCATTAAATCATTAGTTACACTAAGGGTTGATGTATGAGCACAAGTTGAATATGTTTAGAAATAATGGTATATGGTTATTTTTTTTAAATTTTCGTTATATTCTTCACTCTCATTTAGACAACTTGTAAACACTTGAATTATTATTGTTTTTGTTGATTTCACTAATCTAAAATATGATATATTTATACCAAATACTTTAAATGCTTTGACCATATTACTGCCATTATCTGTAAAGTAAGATCAAATTAATATAACATTAATAATGTGTAATAAACTGTCAATCATAATATTATTATTATAAAATTACAAACTAGTATTAAAACATGATTCTTTATATCACCATATATTCTAGTTTATTTGGTTCAATTAAAAAAAAATAATGAGTGAAATATTTAATTATCAGGAACACAAAACTAACCATTATAGAAATTATTATACCAAAAACAAAGTCATTATAATGATTTAATTCAATATAATATAATGAATAATATTATCATACACTAAAATTAAAATTCACTACCCCTTAAGCATATGTTTAATATTTTTTTACATTTAATAAATATATATATACTTCATACGTTACATGCATTAACAAAAAACCATTTATATATGTAAATATTTTTTTTTAATCTTACATTAACATAATTTTACTCTGTCTTTAAAAATTTGTTTCATAACTTATCACTAACAAACTATAAAACATAAAAAATAAATTTAACTTTATTATACAACTAAATATTTTTGATAAAACGAAAATTTATAAATCTGGTAAATCTCCGCCTTCTGCTGATGAGTTAGGTTGCTTGTGAACCATACATGAACGAGCAACTGATTCAAAAAGTCTAAAATATAAATTAAACAAATTGATAAATTAATTAAATATCAATAACTAAATACATTTATAATACCAAAATAACTTAATTCTTAAAATATGTATTTATTAATTGAGTCAGTTTAAAATGATACAATTCCAAGATAATATTTATATTTTTAAATAATTATAGTATGAAATTATTAAAGAGATTAAGGTATAAATTCAACTAACTTTTCAATTTCTGGGGCACAATGCACAAATTCATGGTTCCAAAACTTGTAAGCTGGATTTTTTATTAACTCAATAAATGTAATCAATAAACCCCATGGATGTGGTCTATTAACAATCAATCTTTCAAGGAGAACTCTGAAATTAAATTAAACATAGTATTAAAATAACAGTAAATTTAATTGAATAAAATGTATATAATTCTTTTAAATACTAACCTTGTTATTTGTTCTTGAATAGCTTCACTGTTAGCTTCAGCAAATAAGTATAAAAGAGTACAACTAAAGTAATGTGTATGGCTATTAGGAAAACGTAACTGGTTTGCAATGGCATTTAAAAACAAATAACGACCTAAATCAATATGATAATTAATTAATGAAAAAACTCATATAAAAAATATAATAAATAATATAATGTATCTTACCTTCTGTATCAAGATCCACAGATAAATTTTGGAAGATATCCATGTGGGCAGAATGTGCAATAGTAGAAGTATTCGGCACTAAACCTTTACTACGAATGTGCTGTATGGCTTGGGTACCGACATACAAGACAATAGCATTTAAAAGTGAAAGATTATAACGCATACCAGGTTCACAACAACTCTGTTGCATTGTGGTACGGATCTCTGATAAGAATGTAACAGGAGCTCGAGTTTTCAAATATAGATCTAAATCCTATAGAATTGAAGATTAACATTAATGTTAAAAAAGTTAATTTAACCAATATATTTAATATTTTTTTACTTTTTTAAAGCTGGGTGGTTGAATGTAACACTGGAAGTCTGGACTAATTTTTGGAGCTAAAGATATTTCTTGAAGTACATCAACTTTTAAATTTGGAGTAAATGGATCTGGTAAGCGCATATTACGTGGAAATGCAGATAAAATTAAATTTCTCATCTAAAAAAATTATTTCAAAATAGTGTCAAAATGAAATGCTTATTACTGAAAACTTCAAACCTGAATGCAATTCGGAGGTATCACATCACAAAATCCATAGTGGAACTCGCACAAGAATTCAGGAAAATCATGGAGCAAAATGAGTAGTACTCTCAATGTTCCTTTATACAATAAATGAACAGGCTTGGCCAGTTCAGCGTTACGTAGGAATGGTGCCAAGTATTTGAATAGGTCAATAAGTAACTGGGCGTAAAAATTCCAACCCTGAACATCAGTAACCGGAGTTTGGTCATAAGCTCGCTGCCGCTAAATTAATGTAATTTTCATAAAGAAAGCGAATAATGAAAGGTTTTTCTCGTAAGAATTAGAAATTAAACAATAAGCACTTGGTACATAAAATTTAGTTTTATTTTTTAAAATATTGATTTATTTATCATCATAACATGGACGATTTTTGTTTTTCCTAGTTAAGATATTTATTTTAATTGGAAAAAAATATTAAAATACAACAGATGTCATAACAGTACTATTTAAAATTTATTTGAAGTTCTTACTTTACATATAACCTTTCATTAAATTTGCTAAATTTTGCTATTAAAGTTACCTTTTGCTGTGGAGTTAATCCTAATAGACGACCAATGAATATACGATGAGATATAAGTTCTAGCCAAGCATAAGCAAAGCCTGGGACTTTCCTTGGTCGAAGAAGGTGGAAAGTATGACAAAAAGCAGCGAGTATCTAAAATAATATTTCTATTAATATTTAATTACATAGAAAAAAACATTTAATTTTTTTTACTAAAATTATGATATATTTAATTGATTATAACTGTATCTTACAGGATAATTAATTGATTCTAATACTGGATCAGGTGCATTCAAATCAAGGAAAAGAGTGATAAGTATCCTATGGTATGGTAATTGATGGAAGTCAGTGACTTGAACATCATGGTCTTGAAGTAAGACACCAACAACAATTCCAAGTACCTATATATATATATATATTATAAGATAAATACAAATTCTAATATACAAAGATAAAAAAATTAATTTACTTTATTTAGTAGATTTGTTTTAGTTGTAATGGCAGTTGCATCACCCGAATGTTTCACTAATAATACGATAAGCTTAACATAAGCATCAATTGTGTGAAAAAGTTTAGCACGTACAGTGGAAGGAGACTGTGATTGATCAGGTATCTGTCTATAACACAGTTCAACCATCATTTGGGTACTGAGTCGGAAAAATCGAGTAATAATATCATCAGATTTCAAAATTCCTTGGACATTCATCTATTTATATACATATAAATATATAATAACATATAAAAAATTAGGTTTTAAAAAGAAAATGCAAAAGTTAACAAACTTGATGAATGTAAACACTAAATGTTTTTCCAGGATCTCTATTGGGTGCTGCACTGTAAATAGTCAACCATTCTTTGAGCAAATACTCAGTTTTCTCCAAGAGCCCAGGAGGATCATCAAAATCTCTACCCTAAATATATGATTCAATATTTGTGATTAATTTAACTTTCTAACATAAAACATTAAAATTTTTATTTTACCTGTAACATTCCATGCTGAATGTGAGCTGAGGAATTACTACTGCCACTAGCTATTCTTTCTGGAGCAGTATTTTCTGTCTGTGATGGTCTAATTACTTCCATAAGTGCTGCCAATCTAGAAGACAAACATGATTGCATTACTCATTAAGATTTTAATTATTTTGTAATAATATATCTATTAATACGATTTAAATTAAGAAAACTAATTACCCATCAGGTACAGGACGACCACTAAGCACAATAGTATTTAATGCATCAATAGTTGCTTGAAGATGGTGTTCAGTTATAGGTGAATTAGAACGATTGTCTATTAGGTAATTTTGCAAAACTTGTTTGACATATGCCATAGATACATAATTTGCACCATTATCCATTGACATAGCCAAATGCATATCATACATACTAATATTCACCATACCAGCACGTATTAACACATCAATTGCATCTATATTAAAACGTAATTCATCCCTCGATTCCATGAGGGCTCTAAAAGAAACACAATTATCATTTCGGCATTCAAGAAATTAATAATATAAACTTACTTAGTAATGGTTTTGTTAGTCCATAGTATGTTATAAGCACGAGGATCCTGAAATGCTCTAAATATATTTAGATGCATATCACGATATCTAATACTCATATCCAAATCATGATTAGCTGGTGGACTAAGGCCATCTAAATAACTTTCCATAGTCTAATAAAAATTGATACCAAAAAGAAGTAAGTTGTATGAATTAATTATATTAAAATAAATTTACTTTATTGATAATATTTGCTGCAGTAGCAATATCACGTGATCTTCTTAATGTTGTCATTACTTCCAAAACTCCATGTAAATTTGCTGGTTGTGTAGTATTAGAAAGAATTCTTTGATTGGTCATGTATAATTGTAAAAGTGCTTCAATTTCACTGATAAGTTTTTCATAAACAACAGTCATCTCATCAGGTGGAAAGCCCTAATATCAAATACATGTATTTGAGTATGATAAAATATATAAATAACTATATAACATTTTAAATAATTACAGATTTAGGAATAAATAATGAAACAGCTTCTCTATCTAATGGCTGAAAACCAGGTATATTTCTTGCAAATTCTTCATATACTCCTATCATTTGAGGTGGAGGTAATCCAACTTTATTGCGTAGAGTATCAGGTAAATATTCAGCTTGACCTCCTATTACTAATGGATCACAATAACGACGACCTTCCATTCTAGATAAACTACGTCTTTCATATTCCTAAAAAAAAATATAAATATTTTAGACAAAAAATTGTAAATCTAATACGAAATTGTAACATAAAATAACACATACATAAATGAATAAATTAAATTCTTTAACAATTTAGTAGAATTTTTAATAAAATCAACATGTCTTACATTTTTTAAATATTTATCAATTTCAATTACTGCTTTTTCGGTTGCTGTTTTTTGTACAAAAGCACATGCTAATTCTAAATTGTCATTTGCACACATGGTGCAAGCTTGGTCAATTAATTCTTTTTGGGCTTGAGATGGTGTCTAAATAAAATTTTTTATAAAACAACTTCAATTATATTTAACTTTTACTAGTAACTCACTAGTAATACATACAATTAAAACGCTCATAAAATGTTGCTTCAAGTTAGTAGTCAATGTTTGAATGACTTGTTCCCGACATGTAATCATTGCCAAACCAGAGGTTAAGTTTCTCACCATACAATGTGCAGCTTTTCGCAAATGAGTATCATCAGGGTCCATACCAAAATCCTAAAATAATTGTAACCAATTAGCATAATTTGTTTGTAGTATAAAAATTATTAAATGAACCTTTTTAACAATATTCTCAGTAGTAATTACTGCAATTTTAACAGATCTTTCAACAACAGGGTTTATCCATTCTTGAATTGACCGTTCTATGGCATTTCGCACAAAAGTTTTAAGTGTAGGTTGACTATGAAACAGCGGTATCTAAATTTAATAATTTAATAAATATATAAACAATTATTAAGATATTTTTATATGATAATAACATAGTAGTAAAACAAATTACTTGAGAATTAATAACAATCATAGACATAATTTGGGATGAATTCGTAGTGTTGAAAGTCACATAGTTAAATTTGGGCTCAACCAAAGGTAATGGTGGAGACATACCTGGTGTACCACTTATACCCATGCTACCTGTAGATGTCAATGTTGTAACTCCACCAGCCGCCACTACATGGCCAACAAGCTCATCATTAAATCTAGTATTAGAACCTATTGATGGAACAGTAGAAGTACTATTCTGTTGTGCCTGGGAAGTAACAATTGCTATAAAAAAATAAAATAGATATAAATAAATCATTAATGATTATTATAAAAAATTAAATTTTAATTAAAATGTAAGTCAAATATTAAACTACTTTTTATATTAAACTAACTGATTTATCTATTTAGCTCAGGTTAATAAAATAATTTATAATTTTACTAAAATTAAGTATTAATCGATGTAGAATAATTTTGATTAACCTATCTTTTGCTAAAATAGATTTGATAGTTTTTCTACACATGAGCATGCAAATATAGCTATGGGAAAAGCAAGGATTTTCCAAGTGCAAATGGACATTATATGGCCTTAAACTTATTTATGGTCATTGCGAAAGTCAAACATATGGGAAATTAAATCCTTTGGAATTATATTGAAGATTCTATCGATATCAATGGAATATGTGGCAACAGGAAAAATTATCCATTAAATTTTCCAATCAAAACTGTTGCTTAAAGAATATTTCTGATGATGTTTTTGATGACCAAATATGCATTGTTGCATATTAAGGCGGATTTAGATTATGCAATAGAATAATTAGTAAATCAATTTTAAGCCAAAGATTGTATGGCAGCATTCCTGGTATATCCAAAGATTTTAAAAATTCAATTGGAAAAATTATGGTTTTTATTTTCATCAATAATAGTGTTGATTGATTTGATAAAAAACTGATTAACTGGAAATAACTGTTAAATCTGGAAGTTAATTTTGTTAACATCAACAATTTTTGATGCTAAAAAAGCACAATTTCTGAGCCAAATGACACCAAATAACCAGCATGTTTTACTGGTGATACTTTGTCGGCTTTAATGACAATTCGTCATTTCATAATTGTCATGATACTCTTTTAAACAATATATAAGTAAATTATGATTTTCAAAAAAACTTCCAACAATTCCACAATTATTCTATCTTCTGATGAAATTTTATTGGCACCGAGATGTCACACATTTTTCACAACTGCCTATAAAATACATTCGGAGAAATACAGGGATATTGGCATTAAATGCTCAATCTTATAGTACACCTGGCTTAGTATTTTGAATGTAGCTTCAAAATGACACCTGTGGATGTAATATCACAAATTTAAGTTGCTTCATATGACAATTTGGAAGTAAGAATTGAATTTGCATACCTTGCACAATAATAATTTTGAATCATTAGATAGGTCAGCAAGTAATTGTAAAAATAGAGTGGGAAGAGATAACAGTAAAACTTTTCCTAATGTGCAACACATGCCAAATTTTTCATTCCTAAATTTTAACGTCTGACAATATGGTATACTTATCCACAGCATCAATTGCAGTCTATTGGAAACTATTGGAAACTTACACATAATAACCACCCTTTGACTTATAAATATTTAATTTGCAACATCGATAGAGAATAAAACTTTCCAATAACACAATATAGACAAGTTTACATACATGAAGTATATTATCTAAATTGACTGTCAAGTAGTTTCTTCTTCAGTTTTGAAAGAAATTGTTCCATAAATATTTAAATAAGCTAATTTTTTAATTAAAAATGTAAACTTAATTATTTTACTTTTATTCTCTTATTTTCTAGTACCACTACTCCTTCCATGATTCTTTGTTTACTTTTGATGTCTTTCACAGAGCTAAATAATGGCAAAAGGTACCCAATTGTGTTAGCTAACAAAAATTATTGATGTCGAAATTTGATTATTATCATAAATCATTGTTCTGGTTTTAAAAGTGAAACGGCTTCCGTTATTTGAACACTGAGGTGTATAATAGTAGGGTTTCATTTTATTTTTTGGGTAGTTAAAGCAACAAAATAATAATTTACATAAAGATAGGACCTTTATCAGGTTTACTGATGCTTCCTTTTCTTTTTATATGCGATAAGTAGCCCAAGTCCTTCACCAAGAATTAATTTATCACTGTACCAAATGTTATCAAAATTGAATAAGTATTTTTATAGTACATTGAAGATAAACTATAGAACATGTCATTTTTATATATGAGACTAGAATTTTTCAACATTAGGTTCTGATCTCCAAATATAACAAGCAATGATAACATTTTTAATCCATAAAATGTATTACTTTGGAGATTAGGTGTTTGACGTTGAGTTGTAGGAACTGATACATTTGGTGGCTCGGGAGCATTAGAATTTTCACCATTCGATAGTTGTTGTTCCAATCTCTTTGCGATTTCTGGATCTTTTAGTACATATCCAGCTTTTAAGTCCTAAAATAAAAATAATTAATTACAAACAAATTGTTGTATAGAAAAATTTTTTTTTTAAATCTTCACCTTGAGATCAATATTCAAAGCTTTACATAATACTTCAACTTCAAATTTCAGTGTTAATTTTAATCCTGGTTCTTGATGAAGTTCAGCAAGACAGTTTAACACAGACATTGTCCAAGGATTTCTTGGTCTAAATACCTAAAATAATCAAAATACTATAGAAATGTCTATGGTAAAAGTTAACAAACTTTAATTTAATAAGCCAACTTACTTTGCTTTTAGCACATGATTCAAGAATTTTAGCAATGAATGGAACTGTAAATAGTAATTCTTGATGACCTTTGTTGTAGGCTTCAACCAGTAACATTTTTAGGTCAATATCATCCAATAATATAGGTTTGTTCTTAGCTAAAGTAATCATACCTAACCAATGGCCTAAATTTTTTAGTAATGATCTATCAGAAAAATTTGCCATTCCTTTATCACTTTTTAATAAAACCTAGAAAAATTGAATAAATTTTATTAATAACAATCTCTACTGATATGATAAAAAATATACTCTATATTTTTACTAACTCGAATATTTCTGAATGTTTCCATTATTATTAAAGAGTTCAAATGTTCATTATTTAAACAATCCAAAAAGTTAGAATATAATGAGTGAAAGTTGAATTCTATGCTAACACGTTTCATAACTAAATACTGAGATAACCATGGTAAACATTCATTGGTAATAATTTCTCTTATTTCATCACACTAAAAAATATATTGCAAAATTTAATTATTATTTTGCATATTTTCTAAAAAAAAAAAAAATTTACAAATATTTACTTTAGTTTGAAGATTCACTTGACTCAAGTTATTAAAGATAAAAGCTATTTTATCTTGAACATTTTCTGCAGGTGCAATAATTAGATCATCTTTCTCTGTAGCTACCAATAAAGTATCAATGTTTGTAGTGTTCGCAATTGATGGCTAAAAATACATAACATATAAAAACAATAATTTTATTTAATTAACATTTAGTTTCACTAACCCTAGATGGTAATACAGCATTGGTAGTAATTAGTTTGGAAGATGAAGATGATACAGTAGTAGTAGTTGTTGTTGTAGTTATACTTTGAGCTTTGAAAGCATTATGAGAGTTTGGCATAAATGATCCTTGTGATATTGTACTACTATTTGTTCCTGCTAATTCATTAACTCGAGAAGATGGAGGTTCTTGGGAATTTTTACCATACTCAACATACTAAAATGATTTAATAATAATAATATATTAATAATTATTTAACAATAGAAAAAATAAATAAAAATGCATGGTAGTCTAAATATCTTTAAAACATAATTTAAGTTTTTAAAAATTTTTATATTATTATTTTTGTATACTGATGTATAATTTTTTTTTTTTTTTTACCTCAATAAGATGTTGAGGAAAGTGTTGGAAATGAGGAATCGTAGATATGTGAGAACAATATTGATGATAATCCTTTAAGCGATGTTTAAAGCGATCCAATGCAGTTATACCAAAATTGTACATTTTTGAGTTAGGACTCTTCTTTAGTGCATCCAAAATAAAACGAAGAGCCAAACCTAAGGCTTTATAATTTCTAAAATTTTTTGATTATTTCAAGAAAAATTTCAATAAATATTCATTGTTATTATAAAGTTTAAAGTATAACTTACGAAACAAGGCCATGCTCTATAATACCACCAAAAAGATGAGCTGTTGTAATTAGTTCTTTTTCTGGATAAGCTGGGAAAAATCTATATTCTTCGAACAAGTTTCTTAACATACAACAAAAAACTTCCTATATAAAAAAGGATATTTTCTAATTATTTTTCAATTAAAAAAAAAGTTTAAGGATGTCATAGAATATATTTATGTTAAAAAATATAGTAGTTGCATCACTAAATATAAAATATTGTATGTTAAATGTATTAATTTAAAAATATTAAAATTATCTAAAAAAAAAAAATTTATCCTCATTAATTATAGATAATATATATAAATTAATATTTAGAACATCAATTAATTTATGTATCAATATAATTAGATATATTTAACTGATAAAAAATTGTAATTACCCTTTCACGTTTAACAGGAGATTCTTGAAACCTTTTTAACATTTCTAATACTTCATCAATAGATAAAGAATGATGAGGTGCCAAATTATAAATTCTTTGAAAATAACTATTTGCTTCATCTTCTATGTCTTTAGGCACTGATACTGGCATATTTCCATCAACAAATAAACTGTTGTCAACTAAAAATCCAATAATTATTAATCTTAGCAATAAATTAGAGAACAATATTTATTCTTAATACTAACTTGGATGATTAGATTTACCAATCGCTAACGGTGTAACTTGTTGAGGTGGTAAACGACCTAACATATTAGAGGGTCCTGACAATTGGCTGGAAATTGCTGGACCCGGAGCATTTGAAGATGAAGGAGTCATAATAGAGAAACCACCATGTCCAGATGCATTACCAACATTATTACGAGAAGGAGAACCAGGTGTTTGAACTAACTGCCCTAACGATCCTATGAGAAAATAAATTTATTATTACCACACAAACATTTAACTTAAAATATAATTGAAACCTGGCAAAGTGAATGTAGATACAGATTGTGCTGAAGGATTTAATCCAAGACTAGCAAGACTTGTGGCCAGTCCTGTAAGTTGGTCAACTAATACTTGTGATGATGAACTCTCTATTGGTCGATGATGTTGTGAAGCACGAAGAATAGTTTGTGGTGGACCTGCTGGATTTATACGTGCTGATGCTACTTTGGACATGTTGTACATATTAGTACAGTTAGTTACCATTTGCATAATTGCATCTGATAATTCTTGTGAAATTGTTCTGAAATTACATTGAACCAATATTTAAATAAAATAGTAAAAGCCAGTAAAATACTAAAAGCTTTAGGTTTTCTAATAAAATTTAACTTCAAATCTATAGCAAGTTAAGAATAACACTTAACTAATTTTAAACTTTTAATTTGAGTATAAGATTAAAATAACTACTGAAAATAATTTCTATATAACAGATTCAAAAATATTAACAAAACACAGAAAATAAACATTATCATTTAGATTTAAATTTTACTAAACTTAGAACTCACCCAGTTACATTACGTAAACAGTTTAACATTGTTAAAATGGTCTCAGAAGACAAAGGAGTAAATTTAGATAAATGTTCATCTTTTGCTGATGATCCAGTTAACTGGGGGCATCTTTTCTAAAATATCAATAAAAATGATGAAACTTAAGTATAAATAATTTATAACTTAAATATTAATAATTGAATAAAATTCAATAACTTACCTGCAAAAATTTAACACAGGCCGATACAAAATTTTCACCATGTTCTCGTATTTTGTCTGATAACCATTTATCAAGTTTTAAATATTCTCGTCGTGAAGCTAAACAAGCTAAGTCAATGACAAATGCAAACTGCTGAACACTTAATAAAAGAGATAAAGCCTAAATAAAAAAAAAAATTAATAATTAATAACTTTCAGAAAGGAAAAGAAAAATTAATAACTAAATAAGAAAAACAATTAAGATTTATGTTAAAGGAATAAAGACAGTCCCTGTGCAAGAAGTTCCCAAAAAATAAAAACAATTTACAATAATAGAAAAAACCAAAAAATAAAATTAATAGTTACTAAAACAGTTGTTCATACTTTTAAATCTTGAGCTATATCTAAAATCCGGGAAAGTTTTACATGGTCGTGATCACTACGCACATACCATTCACTCATGGCTTGTACTAAAGTATGCCGAAGTCCAACATTCTAAACAATATATAAAAAATAATATAAAAATATTTTTTACAAATAATATTTAAAGAACTAAATTATACTTGATGATTCCAAGCATGATGCAAAATAACCGCAGCATTGCTATGATTTCCTAAAAATATCGGTATAAGGCCACTTATCATTTCATGTCGAACCATACTCAAAGGACCATTAGATTGAATAAGAGCTAGTGCCAACAAATCAGGACATTTTTGAGCAGGAAACTTTAAACACTCTTGTACTTGATAATATAAACCACGTTCAGCCAGAAATAACATTAAGTCAACAAGTTCAATTGATCGCCTTAAATATTAACATATTACATTAGATATAATATATACATCAAATATAAATAGAAATAATTTAAGATTTTACCAATTATTTATATCTTTGTTATCGGCTTCCGGTGTTACTTTTAACAAATCTATTGAAACAGAACGATATGGATAATCCGCAAAACAGAAAACATCAGAATTTTGTAATATATGTTGTACAAGAGACATCTAAAAATAAAATACAGGATTTTTATTTAAGAATCGCGCTTATAAATTTTAAATATTAAAATATTACATGTGCTTCAGAATTTGACCAATGACGATAAATCATTTCAACAGGAAAGTTATCTACATGATATCCTTGAGCTTTTAGACCAAGTCTCAAAGCCGTAAAAAGAAGAACTAAACTTTGTCTATCCTTCACAAGAAAATCAGAGTGATCTAATTCTTTAATAACATCTAACCAAGACAATGATGGATTCTAAAATATATATTTATAACATAAAATTTACAAATAGTTCTAAATGATTATAAAATATGAGTTGAATAATTATTGTACCAAGTCTTTGATTGTTTGAACGAAAACTTCAACATTCCAAGTATTACAATTATTAGAAGTTTTATCGACATCTTGGTTTGTATGGTCTCCAGGCCAATATGTCAAAGTAGATTGAGTGTCAAGACCAGTATGTGTACGCATCATCATTGATATTACTTTAGCAATTGAGGAAGAGCCAAAAATAACTGAAGAACTACTTCCACCACTTACTGATAACAAGTTTCTACGACACTCTTCAAATGATGAGCAAATGGAGTAACCCATTTCCATAACTAAATCAGCTAAAGATGGATGCAACTAAAACATAATTGATGACATTTAACTTAAAATTCCATTCTTCATTTTTTACTTAAGTATTCATTGTTTAACATACATAAATATGGTTATATATTAAACAATTAAACTTCAGCATTTTTTAATAAAAAAAAAGTTGCAAAACAATACTAAAATGTTCACTAAAAAATCAAATATTATTACCATTGTATTAGAAATAGATGACATATCTTGATTTATTTTATCCATTGGACGATCTGGGTTGTCAGGATAAATTAAAGGAGCCAACAATACTGGAGCAACCTCAAGTGGAAAATCACGGCGCAAGTTTTGTAGTAACACTTCTTTAACTTCTTTACTTATACCTTAAATAAGAACAAAAATATTTACCAAAAACCTTTAACTTTATTTAAAAAACAATAAACATAAAATTTATACTGATAGATCATACCAAATTGATCATCTACAGCAAAAACGTGTCTTAAAATTAAATGTAAAACTTCAGGACTAGAATCATGCAATCCTCCTCCAGTAATTTGTTCGGAACTTGAGTCTGAGAAAATAAGTAAATATATTATTATATTAATGAATATTTAAGAAATTATTTAATTATATTTCTGTACCTGAATTAATATATGATTTGATTAGTTCTGGCAACTTTTGTTTGACAAATTGTAACGCAAAAGTTGAATAGTTTGCTGATTCCAAACAAACTAATCCAAACACAACTTCTTGTACAAGACTAAGATGCAATATTCTACTAAGTTGTATAAACAGTTGTATTGATGGCTTAAAAGGCTATACAAATGATTTAATAGAATGTCAATAATATTTAGTAGAATTATACTAATTACAATCAAATATTAATACAGTACAGTTACCTTTTGCAAATGAAGAGGATTGTCAAGGGCAAAACACAAAATTGATGTAAGTGAAGGTTTATTTAAAAGTGTTGTACACTGTTGGGCCAATAATTGAACTTGGTAATAATCTTTATGAGAAATATTCCGTGGACCTTCAATTTCTTTTAGATCAATATGAGAAAGAAGACAACGCAAAAGATGCCGATCTGCTTCAAATCCTTGGGATTGGATTGCCTTTAAACCAAACAAAATATTTACTAACAAATTAAATAAAACAATTATTATACTTTTTTTCATAATTTTACTATAAAATTAAGTATCCGAACAATTTTAAGTAGATATATCGATAAATGTATGTTTTTTAGTTTTGTTATTACATAAATATTTTATAAAAGTTATATGTCACCTTTAATTTTAAATATATTTCTTTATAAGTCTATATAGCCATATATTTTAACATACATTTATCGATAAAATATATGGCTATATTATATATATATATATATATTTAATATATTTAAAATTTAAGGTGACATATAATTTTTTTATAAAACATTTAAGTAATAACAAAACTATAGTTATAGTTATCAATTAATAAAATGAAAATAATATAAATATAGCTTAATAATTACACTAATAATCATTCCAATGACATATTATGATATAATTTGGATATATGAATCACTAAATAAATATTAATTAGTGTATTAGTATACCAATAGATATATATATATTATATAACTAAGCCTTCAGATGTTGATGGATTAATGTATGTTAATAGAAGGCCATTAATATAATTTAAATAACTTTTAAGATTTTTTTTATATTATAAGAATAATCATATTTACACCGAAATATAAATATTAACTAGTAATTATTTGATGTATCTATTCAATAAAAATGTATTTTGATACTTAATATATAAATTCAATAAAACCTAGTAACTAATACTGAAAATCACAAACAAAAACATCTTGTAATTTTTCGGAAATCAAATAATTTATTGATAATAATTTATTAAATAATGATTACAGTAATTATTTTTACTGTAAACACTTTAAAGAATTTTTTCTAATTTTTTCCTAGTATCAAATATCATATAACACCAATTAATAACTATAACATGTAAAATTAATAACTATAAAACTATAACTGTAACACTACCTATAATGTGTTTAAAAAAATGTATTTCATTTTAAATTATATAGTATCATATTTTTAAGTCAATGTAAAAGTGATTCAATTAGATTTATATAATATACCACTTTATACTAAAAATGAATTAATTTTTAATAAATTTAATAAATGTTACAACAAGCTAATCAATATTTAAAAGAATAATGAATTGCTATTTTATCAAACATATGGGTAAAAGCATTCAATTTAGCTTAATAAAAAGGAGGTTATTCATAAATAATAATCCATAAATACATCTAACCAGTACCTATTACTATTGTCTTCAATCCAAATCTACACTAAATTGATCAGATATTGATTAAAAGCATTCGAGAATGATTGATGTTGATGGTATTAAACGCATTCAAATGCCAAGCCTATCACTTATAACAATGAACTATAATGTGTGCAAGTACATTAAGATAAGACACATAAGTTATCATAATACAGTAACCATCGACTGCTATGTTAATCGAATAGTTTCTAATGGCTAAAATAAAAACTAAAAGTAAAACAAATAAATTAAATGCACAACTCACGTCGGATAACTCTTGAACACTGGACTTGAAGTTCTTTTTCGACAAATTAGCAACAAGATAGCTGATTTGCGACAGCGTATACGACAATGAATCCAGGTTCATAGTTCCATGAATGCCGATTCGAAAGCTTCAATATGCTTTGAAGCTTTCTTCTTTAGTGTAGAAGATTGAGACCACGACAGTATTGTGTCGTGAAGGGCGAAGGTATTGTTCCGTGACGCGCTGACGCGACAAGAACAGGCAGCAAAGTTTAGTTATAGAATTCGAGAACGCAATGTGATGCTCCATAAATCCAAGAAGCGCACTTTAAGGGGATGACGGCTATCCCGATTAATGGTGACCGAAGTTGGCCGCCCGGTGTCGGGTTGTAGGCGACAACGACGAGTAAGTACGTTCGTTCGACTAGGACGGGACAATTGTCCCGGTTGTGGATGTTACATGTTTCTAACCGACAACGAGTGGACACAATGGACAAAACTCATACGGATGCGATGGTACGATAAAAACGTAAGTGAAAAGAGTTACGGCAATTACGATAAAAAACAACAAAACGAACAAATCAAAACAAAAAAAAAACTCAAATATTCAGATGGAGGAATTGTTCAAAATATAAAGAACACAAAGAGAAGACAGACAAAATTGAAATGTTTTCAGTAAAGACGGAAATTATTTTCCAAGCATCAGCAACAGAATTGTCGCAGACTACAGTGTTGCCGGTCACACGGAAAATGCGACGAGTCTACCAACCAATTTTTAAACACGAAGACGTCTTTAAATACACAAAATACGTATAGCGTTCTACAGAGAATTTTATTTTCACTAAGATCCGGTTTTTAAAACATATTTATTCATCGAATAACAAGAGCTATTCGAAGATAAGAAAAAATATATAATTACTGGTTTTTCAATGTCAGAATAAGATTTATTCCACAAATTAACCGCCAAGTAGTTATTAGGTACTTTTTTGACCAAATAACAAGTTTTTTGACGAATAAATGTCTTATCATACATTAATTATCTTAAAATGATTCCGCGTCATGTTATTATATATGATGTATTTTGTTTTGTTATGTTTATGTTATGTTTTATTATATCAATAAAAAATTAAAAAAAATGAAATGATTACAAATGATGGATATGTTAAAAATATATGTCATGTTTAACCTACATATTATATATACACATCTATATGACGGGATTAATACGATATTACGTAATACTACTTAACCGTCTTACCGTTGCGGGCAAATATCTCTAACCGCCGCTACAGACCGCGTTCTGTGTTACCGATCATTGCAGCTAGGGACGTTGCTATACTATCGACACCAGTAAAGTATCGATACTTTTATTTCGATACAAGTACTTTTAGTATCGATACCATTACTTAGATACTTTACTCATATTAATAAAAAAGTACTGAATGAAAGATTGAATGGTATTGAAAATTGGTATCAAGTAGAATTATTTGAGTTATTTGAGCGTAGAGGGGGATTTTCCCACTCAATACCGAAACTGACTAGTTGATATTTAGTAGTATTTTTCGAAAATATCAGACCACAATCCACAATACAATGGGTTTCCTAGTACGTTAGATAAAACGCCCGTTTACTGAGAAGGCAAAAATATAAAATTTATATTTATATATGCGAATGCAATGCCGTGCCTAGCATAATCAGCACCCGGTGCCAAGAATAATTTCTAGTGCCCTCACCCCCTCTACCAAATATTTTTATACTTATAAAAAGTCTACATAACATTATTGGAGAACCGGAAACAGATTCATCAGATTTACCTTATTTTTCACATTAAACATTTTTGTCAACATGTACGATGTACAAACACTTCTAAAGATGATATGATAATATGTAAACAGGGAAAGAGCTTTTAACATAATTATGTTGAATTTTCAGTAAGATTACTTATGTAGATTATAAAAATGCGTTTGGCACCCCGGTGGTCAATGGCGCCCAGTGCACACGCACCTCTCGCACCCTGCCAAGGCCCAGCGTGAATGCATAGAAATATATGAATATTCTTATAACGATAGGAACAGATTTAATTTATCCTAATTTATCTTAATTTATTTTATTTAATTAAATAATATAATATAAAAAATAGGGTAACAGTTGATATTATGAGTAAGTGGAGCTACACACTGTATCTCCACAGTACACAGTATCGACATCAGCAGATATTGAATTATAAATATACAGCATCATTTGATATTATGGAATATTCTATTTTTAATTTTAATGATTCGATACGATACCTACTGTTATGGATACATTTGTTCCGATACTGTACTTATATCAATATTTGTATTCGATACTTGTTTTGATAATGAATATTGATACTTTCTTTCAACACCCTATTCCTAATTATAGCAACTAATGGTAGTTATCACATAATTTCAATTACCTATTTATAGAAATCGTCATTAGGGTCACAACCACGGTCTTAGAAATTTACTTATTACTTAGTTTCTAAGACCGTGGTCACAACTATGATAACGATTGAACTAAAACTGTTATCATTTTTTACCTATTAAGCCGTGAACATAGATAATAAAAAATTCCTTTATTATCTATGTCGTGAATCCTTTTTACTAAATGAACGTAAATATAACATTAATATTATGTTTAAGGTATGTGATCTACACATCCACTTATCAAAATGTTTTTGTTATTAACCTTTTTTGGTTATGTTGTTTTTTAAAAAAAATATTGATGATACAGGATAAGCTTTTTAAACTTTTTAGTTAATTAACTAGTTGTTTTTAGGATTCGCTATTGATGATAATATACGTCTGTATACATTATCTATGAATAATTGTTTTGTTTTTTATTCATTAAAAATATTTAATAAAAAAAACATTTATGTTTCATTAAAACTTATCCAATACATAGATATGAGGTGGCTTTAATGATGAATGAAAAACGATTAACAAATAGTTTTAAAAGTTACATTGGTTTGGATGATGATGAACAGGTAAAATAATCTTCATTTTTTTGATTATTCTAATTGAATCAATTATTACTGTCCTTTGGTCAGGATATGTACAATTTACCTATTATTAATATATATATATATATAATTTATATAGCTAATATTTTTTATATATTTTATATATTAAGCTACCAATTTCTTATAATGATTATAATTAATTCAATTTAAAATATGAAATGTTTGGATATTTATTTAATTTGTCGATATGCTCCTTAATAGATGATTAATAAATCTTTTAACTTTGAATATAATTAATCATGGTTTAAATTTCAATATCTATGTATATCATTTATTATTAATTAGAAAAATATAAGCATAGGTTATAATAATTAATTATTTATTGCTCAATATTTTATAAACATTCTTTTTTAAATGTTTTAAATGTATTGTATTCCTAAAACTTAACACTATATCATATCAATTGCTAGATATCTCTTGTTAATTATTCAAAATTAAAGTGTTATTAATTCATTTTTAGGTTTAGACTAACAAATTGATATACTTGATATTATTTTATCCAACACAAATTAATATAACTGTAACCTAAAAAATGAATTCAATTTTGTTATTTATTCATAGGTTTCAAGTTGTGATACATCGTTAATTGATCAAGAACTTTCACTAAAACTTCTTCCAGGTATTTAATATTAAATATAAATATATAAATATTTATAGTAAGAAAAAAATATGTATAACTAATTTTATTAAGATCATTTTAACCGATATATATTTCAATCAAAAGTTAATTGGATTTTAAATGAAATGTAAGTCTTAAAACATTATGTAGAGATAGTGATGCCCATCCTAATGTATTTACATATTCACATGGTATAACTTCAACCCGAAGAATAGATTTTTCCCTTCCCTATATTTCTACTGTTATTTTAGGAACTTTTTGTAACTCTTGAATAATTAAATCAACTTCAGAATGTTTTCGAATTGAACAAAAACTGCATTGGTTTTACATTTATATTGATATTTCTGTGATCAAAATTATAATGTGATTGTAAATTTACACCAAAAATATTATACATTAAAACTTAGCCAATTGTATGGTTAGAAGTTATATATATTTTTTTTCTATTGATAGTCAATATATCATATATATTTAAGCTAAGTCCTAGATGATCTCTATTCTGCTTGATTCTTTTCTTCAAGTAATTTATGATGAAAAGTAATTTTAGTGAATTTTACTCTTGTTGTTACATAACAGTATTTTGTTATAATATGAAAAATAAATAAGCCTTATTATTATTTTAATTTATAGGGGAAACAATAGTTGCTGAAGCTCAAAAGGTATTATTGTTTACTCCAGTAAATGAACAAAAAACTGGACTGTCAGGGGTTTTGTTTGTAACAAATTTCAGGCTTTCATTTGTTACTTCTCATGAAAAACATTTAGAAGTAAATTTAAATAGATAGTATATTTTTTCTTCAATATTTAAATGAATGTATTTGTTTCAGGAAACATTATATCAAGAAAATTTACTTTTAGGTCAATATGATGTATGTCATTCTAATATAGATATTATTTATTTATTAACGGGAGATAAAAAGAAAAGACTTATGACAGGTCATCATTTTAATGATAAAGTCAAAGGATTGCATATTTTATGTCAAGTAAAGGACACATCATTTCATTTTTTTTTTCAAAATACATAAATTAATATAAGTATTTATCGTAATAGAATATGAGAACTCTATCATATAGCTTTAAATTTTCATTACTTGGCCATGGAAAAACATTAGCAAATGCTTTATTACATCATGCGTTTCCAAAAAGACATCAGCTTTTATTTGCTTATGACTACAGGTAAAGTTTAATTATAAGGATAATACAATTAATTTGTAAGTTATTAATAACAATTTGAATTTTGGTAGTATTTGTTAAGTCTTGTTCTTCCTATTTAAGCAACAATATAGTGAGTACTTTATTATTTCCTAATAACTCTAAGGTTTTGGAACACAATTCAACAAGTTTAAGAAAATGTTGGTAGTAGTTATATCATTAATTGTGTGCTTATAGCAACTAAAGGATAAGTGATGGTATTGTCCAAGATAATGGTCAGTAATTTAATAATGGATGCACAAATTTACATAATGAAGAAAGCCAGGGGTGAAAGACAATCATGACGCACCTTGTTTATCTAGTAGTTCAATGTGCAAAATTTTAGGGGAAATACAACTTTATAAGTCAAGCTATAATTTACAATATTTTCTATCATCTTGGTGTCCACATTGAGATTCAAGTATTGAGAGAATCATTCTTTAAGTCTGGAAGAATATGTTGGTACAATATTTTAACAAATGCAAAGAAATGACTACTGATTATGTAAAAAAGTAATTTAAGTACTAATATATATTGGGTACTATAATTGGTTGTTTTCTATTTGTTTAAAATGTATTTAACATTCAGGAGGTTAACTTTGAGATAGCACTTGTATTTAATTATTATAGGTTGAATTGATTTATTTTGTATAAATTATAAATATTAATATATAAAAAGAAAAATTTACTTACAAATATTGAAAATTGCACTTAGTGTTTTTGTTCTAAATATTAAATTAATTTATTGATGAAATCAGGGTCAAATTTAGGGGAGGGTTGAGTGGGCTGCAGATACTCATCACATTTATCTACCCACCAGCACCCCTAAATTTTTGGTGCTCTCTTGAATTTTATGGTATTTAAAGAATACAGAAAATATTTTATTTATGTTTATGCATATTTATTAAAAAGTAATTAACTATATTTGGACATTTAAAATGTTATTTTTTTTAACTAATAATAGATGTATTTGCGTTTGTTGACAATGAACTTTGTTTTAGAATCTAGATAAAAGTTCTATTTGTTTAATTTTAATTGTTTGACATTATTATTTTTATTATTCATTATTTAATTACTTAAATGAACACACTTTAAAAAATTCATATTTTTATAAAGCAAATACTTATTATAATATTATAATGATTACTTATACTGTATTTGATAGTTTTTATGATTTTTTTATTATAATTAGTTAATTGTTACTACTACTAAATTTAGTATTAAATATTATTTAATAAATAAAAAATTTATTTTCTTGTTTATGAATAAGAGGTCCCCACAATGTATTCCACCCAGGAACCACCACATACCTAAATCTTCCCCATGGATGAAATTATTTTTTTTTTTAACTAGAATATACTTTTATATTATTAGGTATACGTTAAATATGACTATTATATTTATAAATACATTAAATTTATAGATTTTAAATAATAAATAACATATAGTATATATACTTTGTAATCTATTAGAAGTTACAATTGCTTAAAAGCTTTATATTTCATTTTTAGAGAGCCAAATATTCAGAGTAGGTATTCTACGCCAACATTTAGATGTCGAGATGATTGGGAAAAAGAACTTAGACGTACAAAATGTTTTGGTTGGACTTTAAATTCTTCTAATAATAATTTTCAATTATCTTCCAGGTAGGTCTAAATTAAATAAATAATCATTTATAAAATCTAAAAAGTATATTAAAATATTTGGTCAACAGTTTACCACAGTTCATTGTTATCGGATCTGCAGTTATTGATAACCATTTGCGAACAGCAATGGAACATTTTCGTGATGGTCGTTTACCAACTTGGTGTTGGAGCACTGTCAATGGGGCAACATTATCTCGAAAAGCAGATGTTATTGATTCATCAAATTTAACCCAAGAAAATGCTATGTTAGAAATAGTAAGGAAATCACATCCTGATCTTCAAAGGCCTTTTATAATGGATTTAACCAAGAATTTGCCATCACCAAAAGAAGTCAATCACAGCTTCATTAAATTACGAGAACTATGTGCTCCTGGTTTGTTCTTATAATATTATATTTATATTTTTTTTATTATTAAAACATTTAATTCTTTAAATAGAAAGTGCTAGACAGTTTTGGGTCCAAGATAATCATTTTTATTCACTTTTGGAAACAAGTAAATGGTTACAATATGTTTCAAGTTGTCTAAGTTCTGCATTAGAAACTGTTAATAAACTTAATAGTAATGAGTCAGTTGTATTACAAGGTATGTATTTAAAAATAATTATTATTTAACTTATAATATCTGATAATTTTCAGATACTTAGTAACTTTTTTAATTTAAAAGAAAAGTGGAAATTAATGTTTAATTTTGATCATCATGCGTTAATATTTTGTTTTAACTAACAAGTAAATTTGTTTGATATTCATATAAATAAATACAATCAGTACAACCAACAAAATATATTATATACTAACAGATTTTCTAAATTACAATTTTAATGCATAGTTTTATTGCAAATATTGTTATTAATATTTAAAATTTGATTTATAAAATGTTCTTAATTGCTTGAGTATTATAATTTATTTTAAATGAAACATTTTATACTTTAAATAACTTACAAATTTATTGCCATTAGTTAATGTATAATTTTATATAGATTAGGGTTATTATGAACTCTTTTTATATATATTTATTGATTCTAAAAATGTTTTGTTTCTGTTTTAGAACGAGATGGACGTGATTTATGTTGTGTGATTTCTAGTTTAGCACAACTTATGATTGATTCTTATTTTCGGTCTATTGTAGGATTACAAACATTGATCCAAAAAGAATGGGTTGTGATGGGCCATCCATTTTGTACAAGACTTGGTCATGTCAATGCTATTGATTCTGTTAAGGTATCACTTTTTCAATACAATTAATTATATTTAACAATAATAGTATGATTTTTTTAAATTTATTAATATTAAAATAATAACATAAATTTAGTGTAAACTAAATAAAATTTTTTTAACAATTTTTAAATTTAATTTTATAATTAAAAATAATTTATTTTTGGAATTATTGGAAGTATTTAAAGAAAAAAACATAGTTTAAATTACATTGAATGTTTAAATATTTTGTAATTTATATTCATTTTCGTAAAATACAGTCCAGTCAATCCATTCGTCTCTATCTTCATCTCCATGAATTTTATTTAAATCTTTTAAATAACTTTCCATTTCAATTATTAACATCTTTGGAATTCCTAAATCTTTAAAATCACATTCTTCATGGCCATTACATAGTAGCCTTGTAGCAATAGTACTTAAGCAAAGTTCTTTTAAAGCATACATTGGAGTTTTAATTTCAACTTTTATTAAAGAACTATAATTTTCTTTGTAATGAAACTCATTTTCTCCATTTGCTACTAAATATCTTTTTGTTATATGATCAAAAAATTTCCAGGTTGAATTAATTTCTTTGTTTTCAACATGATATTCAGGTTCATCGTAGAGTAGACAAGATTCAAACTCAAAAGTTTCATCATATTGTCCTTTTTTCCATAAACTAATATCTGATCCAATGCAGTTCACAAATACAACACCTCCTTCATCATTATCCATATTCTAAAACAAATTATTAATAGTTTTTGTTATATATTTAAATTATACTTTAATAAGTATTAAAATATCATATGCTATGTATTTTATGCCTTATAAGTGCAAATGAAGCAATTATAGGTAAATATATAAAATATTGTGTTAGCCAAAATAATTTTTTTTCATGTACTGTGAATTGTATTATTATTTCTTAATTACTAATTATAAGTTAGTATAATTGCTCAAAATTATTTATTTAGTATATTATATTTATATTATATTATATTATATTTTATAAGTTAACTGATTAACTTAACTATTCCATCAGATTCACAGTATCCACCTTTAATTTTAGGTGGTGTATTGCATTATCTTAAATACATATTTAATTATATTAGTCTTAATGGTAGAAATAATATTAAATCAGCATTATATTATCAACTTATTGCTAAAAGGTACTTTAAAATATTCAGAATAAATATTATGGAAGTAACAAATAATGAAAGTTCAAATTTTAATTGTCCTGTATCTATTTAATACACTTTAAAGTTGCATTATACTAACCAAATTACATTATAATTAATAAATACATTAAAATTAAATATATTTTTGAAAAAGATAACTTTATTTTTAAACACTTAAAATGAGTAATTTTGTAACTTTCTACCCATTAAACCTTATTAGTATTAGAAAGAATTAGTTCTTTTTAATCTTATGGGCTTATTTCCTAAAAATGTCTAAAATTTTCATAATTTTGAATGGTGTATATAAATTATTTTTATAGTAAATAATAAGGCTGGAAATAACTAGAATATTATATGAATCGATTATTGATGATAGGAGCCAAATCCAAAAATTGAAACTTTCAGGAAATTAAAAATAACTATTTTTCTCATACAATTTTGCGTAAAAAAAAAATATTTGAAATTTTCATGTACTATACTTATTTAAATTTGGGGAAACCAATTTTTCAAATTTTTTTTTAACTTGCATTGTGAGTTTAAATTAAACAAGTTTGACTCTTTTTATAAACAAATGAGTTACTTAATTATTTTCATAAATAAAATTACTAAATCATAACGGGGTTGTATGTAATATAGTGATGTAAACCAAAATACTCAACCGATTTATTTTAGTATGACTTAAAATATACAAGTTATTATAAGGAACTTTCTCAATTTTTATTTAATGTTATTGCATAACATCTTGTTCAAAATAAAACAATAACTATACATAAACATTAAAAATATTACAATTTCTCAGACCTAAATTATTTTACTTTAAAATCAACTTATTTTATTAAAAATTGTTATTATGAAAACAGTTTAATCAGCAAGATTTATATTTATTTATGAATGGGGTCAACTACAGTACTAAGCACTGTTCATAAATAAACTAAATGTTTGAATAGCCATAGTAAAATAAGTATCATACAAAGTTGACTTCATTTAAAAGTAAGTTATCCATTTAAAACTACAGAACATATTGTTAAAACAAGTAATTTTCCAAAAAATTGTGACTTACGCCTTTCATAAATAATCGATTCATATATAGTGAACATTTAATAAATTAAATATTTGAAAACATGCAAGCTATTATAATTTTCCAATAGGTAATATTTATAAAAATATATTAGAATATTCCATTCAATAACTTAATTAATATATTTTTTAAAAAATTAATTTTTTTTACTACTCACCTTGATTAAATTATAAACTTATTTTCAAAAAAATAACTACTGTAACTTCTTTTACAAACTTCTAGAAATCAGTTTTCATAATCAGTATCTTTTTTATTTTATAAATTATAATTAAAGAATGATGTATATTTATTAAACTACATTCACCATGAACTTTGATAAACTAAAACTATGAATTACGATACTTATATTTTGTATGATATTATTAATTTGTTGATTATGATGTAATTGTAATTTCAGTATTTATTTTGTGTCTTGTGACAAACTAAGTATTACATTCATATTATCTCTATTTAATAAATAATTATACATTTATGACGCATGTACATAGATAAGTCAGTGTCGCCACTGCTAACTTATATTTATTATGTATGATATAAATTAGGCACGTATGTATTGTATCAAACTTATTCAAGAGGATGTGATACCCCCCCCCCCCCCGATTTTTAGTGTAAAAACATGCCTACGCAAAATTACGATTACTCGTTTCCTAGTAGTTTAAGAGCAAAAGGACCTATAATAAGATATTAAAATATTAATATGCATATAATATATTATTTTATTATAATTTAACCTATCAGACATTTTTTTAGTATAATTATTTGTGTACACATTATAAGAAATAGTAATCTTAATCAATTATTAGTTCGTAAGCGCACGCGAAAATTATATGAATTTTGACTATTGTGGAGATATTATTGTAATCACCATCATATTATTTTTACATTATCCGCATTCTAAAGCCGGGTTCACATGGAGTCGTAAACTGGGCGAGAATATGGTTTTGCGCATGTCTCACGACTGCTTGAATAATTTACGATCCCTAGTTCACACATATCAATTGCAGATGCTCCTGATTTTTTAGTTATTTATTTTTTTCAATTCTAGATAATAAACTGATCTAATATTTTTAATCTTTTGGACTATTTCATGAATATCAAAACCATCGATACCCATTTCATCGTATATATTTTTTTTAACGCTCCATCTCTTGTATCAGTGTCTTTATACACTTCAGGATTTATTTTCCACAAGCATTCTGCATCGCGATACAAAACAACAAATTGAATTGTTTGTTTTGTATTCATTTTGTACATTGACATTACGCTGACATAGGAAATGTTTTTATTATATAAAAATAAAATGATTTATGACTTAACGGGTCGTGTTCACTCCAACATGCTGGAGTAAACACGACCGATCTATTTTTGTCTTTGGTCGTTGAGGAGTCCTACTATCACGATTAGCAATTCACACCAGGTAGTGATCACGACCAACCCTCCTAATAGTAGTATTCTCACTCAGTTTACGACTCCGTGTGAACCCGGCTCAAGATGGATGATGAAACAATAATGTTGATTATTTTTAGACCGTTTTGTCAACAGCACGATAACAACTATGAAAACTCTGTGTGCGTTCGTCACGTGCTTGCGCTGTGTAAAAACACCTAATCGCTTCCTATTAGTCATTGTAACCGTTTTGCTTTGGGTATAACGTCCTCTAAATTTAAAAGAATATTGAACTTTTATGCTTTTAACCAAAAGCGTACCAAGGCTCATGCCCGATTTTAAACACAATTTTTTAAATGTACACATTTTTTTTTAATCGAAACATTTCTGATTTTGAAAGGTAATTGGTAATAATTTAAAAAAAAAAAGATCATGTAATTAATCAGTAGTAAATTTTAATATTTATTATCTTATGTCATCTTCATCATATATTCGATGCTCATTAACAATGTATGTATATTTATATATTATAAATGCCTGAAAGACTCAAGTATAGTTCAGATAAATTAGAATAAAATATTCAATCATAGAAAATGGTTAAATGGAACGTTACATAAAACATTATATAAAAATTATTAATAATTAGTAGTTAACAATTATAAGTAGTATATATAACAAACTAATAACAATTTTTTTATAAATGCCTACTATTTTCACTAATTTTAATTAGATAGTTACTATAATGCTCTATGACGGAAGGAACAATATTTGTAGGTATATAAATTAAGCTCGCATTGTTTTCTAATTATTATAATAATAAAATTATGTTACATTTCAAATTAAATACCATGAAAAAAAACATTAATTACCACCACTGAATAAAAATTGAGTAGACTTGAGTCTACTCCACTGGCACACCACTGCATCTAACTGGGTAAGCCATTGATGCAATGTACCACGGATAGGTAATAATGAAGTGTATTACTATGGAAAATATGATTCAGTCATTTTGACTGTTCATATTTTTAAAATATTTGGGAAAATAATTGTCATAAATTTATAACCTATAGCCACTTTTGAAATTGAATTAATAATTAAACAAAATAAGATTATTATATGAAGATTCTAAATCAATAATAAATGTTATACGTATTAATACTATAGGTTACAATATACATAAATTTTTATTTTATATTTTCCAGTCACCACTATTGTTATTGTTTTTGGATTGTGTATGGCAATTGCTTCAACAATTTCCTACAGAATTTGAATTCACAGAGACATATTTGACTACTCTTTGGGATGCATCACATATTTCTATATTTGATACGTTTTTATTTGATTGTGAACAGGATCGTCATTATGCTACAAATGTTAGTATTTTTAATTTCCTCGTATATTTTTTAAACCAATGAATTATTATTAATTTAATATTTAGAATGAGTCAAGTCCATTAATCCTACGATCAATATGGGACTGGGAAGAACAGTTCTTAGATCGTGATTTAATTCAATTTCATAATCCACTTTACAATGCTTCAAAGGCTAAAAATGAATTTTTAAAAGTAGCTTCAGAAATTTCATCTCTAAATATTTGGACACAATGTTACTATAGATTTCTACCTACTTTAGAAATTTCAAACGGAGGAAAACCATTAGTAAGTACTTATTAAAAATGTTATTATTTCTTAATATTTTTAATATAAATGTCCATTTGTAGGAAGATTTTGCAGTCAGAACATTAATACATGCAAGTGATAAACATTCTAAACATACTCATGAAGTAAGTGCACCATCTAACATTGGATCATTTTTTCCATTTACACATTGGAGATCTAGTACTTCAGTTCCTCCTTCAACTTTAACAATAAGCTCTTTATCGTTAAATACTAGTGATTTCCAAATGGATACATCATTAGTTGAAATACCTGAACATCTATAAGAGTATAACAATTTTCCTTTTTTTTAATATATTTGTTTTATTTGTTTATGGCAGATTCACCTTGTATACTCATGTAAGACTAATTTTAACAAAATAGATATTCATATAAATTTCAAATTCCTAAATATTTTGAAAATCTAATTATTTAATTTCAAAACATTCTAAATAATAGCACTAACAGTTATTATATACTTACAATTTAGTAATATTGAATGTTGGAAATATTAATTATTTTTATTTAATGAATTAAAATGTTATATATGAATATAATTTATTCGATGATGTATATATTGTTACCCAAGTACTGTTATTAATGATAAAAATATTTTTATTTTGACAATCATTTTTTGACAGTTATAACTTTAAAATGTTTTATTTTTGTAAGATATTGTATTATTGTTAAGTTTTTTTTTTTTTTTTTTGAAAAAAGCTTTATATTTATTGGAATTAAAGTATTAGTACAAATGTGTATTAAAATCAAAATGTGATATATAATTAACAGCAACATTAAAAATTTAAATAAGTTTGATTTTTGAATAAATTATTTATTAATAATAGTTTGAGTAAAAACCATTTATTTTTCATACTTTTGGAGAAGTTATCTACAATACATTTTATGCCGTATTCATAAGATTGAAAATGTATCAAAAATATATATATATATAAAAAAAATATTAGACAAATTATTTTTTTAGATGTATTAACTGAGCTTTGCTTATAAGTGATAAACTATCCAGGGGAATAATACAAGTAATTAATCATTTTCTGATCAAATATTTAAATTGTTTTTTAGATTTATTTTCTATTTCAATTTTCTAATATAAAGCAATTTGGCACATATTAACAATAAAAAATAATTTAAATTTTAAAATTAAATAATATTATTTTATTTTTTTATTTTATTATTTCAAAGAAATTATAATCTTAAACAACAATTTTAATAAAACATTAATTAAAAATTACTTGATATTTATACATGTTTCATTTTTTTTTTTTTTTTTGTAGATTTAATTTCTTGATAATAATATATCAACTTAATCAGTATCCATTTGTTCATCTGATGATGCATCAGAATCTGAAGTTTCTGAACTAGTTTCATCAGTTAACATACTATCATCAGAGCTACTGTCTGAAGTCACAGACTTCAATAAATTGTCATTACAAATAACATTCCATTTTTTTAACTTTTTAATATCTGAAATGATAAAAATATATAATAAACTGAAAATAACATTTTTTCAGATACATTTCGTATAATAAAATACAACATATTATACTTGCCTAAGGAATAGAAGTCATTAAGTGTCAATGATTTAGAACCTTTTTCCACAATACCCCCGTAAATAAATAAAGTATTGTGTTTAAATGCTAATCCACTATGTGTCCTTGGAGATGGAGATTCTAAATCTATTGAACTTTGGGCAACCTCCGATTCTAGTTTATTTATTTGTTCTTTGACTGAAACTAATAATTATTTTTATGTCATATAAATCATATCAAGGCTAAGACTTGAAGCATAAATATGTTTTTAATTAGAAACACTGATTTTATTATAAGAATTATTCATCTTATATGTGAAAAAAAAATATATATTTAATTTGAAATTCATGTCCTTGCATAATACTTTATAACATTTACTATATTAATATTATTTATTTACTTAATCTCCAAGTTGGTATATTTTGCTCCATGTCCAACATAAACAGATCATTATAAAATGTACTAGTTAAATCATCTTCTCCCTGTTCTTCATCATAAACGCCACCAAATAAATAAGCTCTGTTGTGTCCTGGAATTGGTGTACCAGATAAACTACATCGAGCAGTAGGTAAAAAACCAGCTTGTTTTACTTTTGACCAGCGACAGTTTGAAAAATCTGTATCACCTTCTATTAAAATAAATATAAATATTCTGTTAAAAAAAATTAGGAAATAAAGCAAAGTGAAAAAACCTTTCTGACTTAATTAATCTAAAATTCAATTAATTTTAATAAATTTGAATTCAATTCAGTTCTGTAAATAAATCAGATATTTTAGAAATTGTTCAAAACTAATATTTTGTATACACCCATGTGTAAGAACTAAATTTATTGATTTTTATTTTAATTTAGTTTATAAAATATTTTGAGTGTATAAAACAAAATATTCTGTGGCCATTTATAATTCAAATGTGAAAATATTTTAGAAAATTACTTCCAATATAAGAAAAAAAAAAATAATGAATAAAATAAAATGTCTTATTTCAAAATTGGAAATAAAAGTCAAAAACCAATTTTGTGCATATGCAAATCTAAACATATTTGTTTTAATTAAAACGTTATATTACAAGTTTTACAAACAAAAAATAAAATAATTATAACAATGTTATGCACAGATTTTATATAAGAGTTGACTGCATGAAGAGTGGCCAAGAAATCATTATACAATAATTTGGCTGCCAAGTTGATAGATCTTTAGCTGTTATGTATTGTCTTCGAGGGTATACCACATATAGGTGATCATATAAATACTCATATTCATGTCAGAAAATTGATAGCCGTACACCTTTAAAACCATTCATCTACTGGCTAGAAACTTTAGGTCTCAAGCTCTGATACCAAATTTGTCACATATGTCATTCAACCATTTTATATTGTTAATTATTTATTATTATTAATTCTCATATTTTTAAATTTTTTGTTTTATATCCAATTTTCTTTTTTTTCTATTTTTGATAATATCTTTAACTTTATTATTTATGTACTGTAATTATTTTTTTTTTATATACTAAATAAATAAACTTCACAGTTCTCAATTTTATTATTATTAAATTATAATAAAATGAAAAACATGTCATTGATCATCAGGGTTTGTAAGTTCATAAACTAAAAACTATAAATAAGCTTGCAATAATGCACTAAAAAAAAAAATGTATAAATATTTTTTAAAATTATAAGAATTATTCATTCATATTTTTAAAAGTTATATTTTATTTATTTGATTACATTTTATTAAAATTATAATCAATGAACACAAGTTGCAATGAAAATAAATTGACAGATTGCAATGCTCACTTCAATAAGAGGAGAGTTATAGCAATGTGCAATAACATTGTTTCTGTGATACTGCTTTTAACTTGTAAAACCCAATGTCATACAAAAATAAAAATAATTAGATTTTGTAAATATGTTTGAAAAAGTAAATATGAATAAATTCAAGCATTTATTGTTCAATTTTTTTTTTTCAATTTCCACGAAGAAGCGATTTTGTGAATTTACATAAAATAATATGTGTTAATAACAAAAAAAAAAAAAAAACCAATTATATGCCAATATAAAACAAAACATGCTCTATTAAACTTCAGATTTTTATTAATAATATTATGAAACAAATTTGTATCTCACTTAGCATGTTTTCCATGTAGCAAAAAAAAATATATGAATGCATGAACTTACAAGCTCTGTTGATTATTATATTAACAGTACCATACATTTTAATATTATTTGGTTTATATAAACACATATAAGAATAAGTTTTCTCAATAGTAATAATAATAAAAAAATACTTACTTTCAGGAGTTAACATAAACATATCAATTAAAATAGTTCCTTTATCATAATCTTTTTTAATTTTTTCTTTGTAATAACCACCATACACAATAATTCTACCATCCTCCATGGCAAACATCTGACAACCTGATCTTGGTGATGGTGCTTGTCCTATAATATATCATATTATAAGCTTTTAAAATTTGTGCAAAAATGTTCTTCTTACCTGTGGTTTTAATAGTTTTCCACTTATAATCAGTTAAACTAAATGCATATAAATCATTAAAATATTGATAATTATGAGTATTATCCTGAAAGCCACCAAATAATATTAAATGACGTTTGTTGAGTACCATTCTATGACCACTACGTGCACAAGGCCCTCCTTGAGCCCTTAAAAAAAAAAATCAGTTAAAATATAAACCACTATCATATTTTAATCATTTTATATACAATTTTAAAATAAAATAAAACATAATTATATTTATTTAGATTATAAATGATTTTAAATTTATTTTTAGTAATAATAACAATATCAAATAACTTACATTATTTTCGTCCAAATTTTATTTTTCAGTCCAAAAACCCATAAATCATTATAATGATAAAATTGATATTCCGAAGGACTAGCAAATTCTCCTCCAAAAATCCACAACTGTCCATTGTCTGTAGCAATACTTACAGCAGAATGAGATGACCTTGAAGGCGGTGCACCAGGAGCATCCACTAATGTCCATGTATTATGACTTATATTGTAAAATATTAAATCATTGTACATAATGGTCTGAAAATATGAATAAATATTCCAGTTGAGTATAATAATAAAAATAATTATAACTTATTTTTTGTTTTCTAACATAATTTTCATATAAAAAAAAAAAAAAAATAAAAAAAATATATCAATAACAATAACAATTTTAATTTCTATAAAAATTACTAAATAGAACTGTCAATTACCTAAGTCTTAGCATATTATTGACTTGAGTTTCCCTAGTTAATACTAGAAATAATGTTCTATATTATTACTAACCATTAATACCACACCTAGTAATCATAATTTTGTTTTGCATAGCTTCATTTATAGAATTTCACTATTTAGTAATGCATAATGATGACTTTGCTTCTAAATTTAAATCTATCGTTCCACATATTAGTAACAAAATTTGATTCAAAAACATAAAATTATATAGTTCAATTGTTTACATATTGGACATTATCTTTTACCCTCCCACGCCTATAAATTAAACTTATGATTCACTTTTTGTATGCTTTATATGGAAGAAAGCATTTGCGATTTATCACATATACTTTTATATTGTATATATTGTTCTTCTCTCTCAACAAAATACATTTTAATTTAGGTAATTTTAGTTATGTCTCTCATTAAATGTTTTTTTCAATCTCTCATCTATCCTTAAATCTAACTTTGAACCGGTTGTTACTATTATTATTTCATTTATCCAGGAGGCTGGATTTTTTCCTCTCTATTTTTATATAACCCACTTACACTTATTATTATTGTGTTATTATTTTTATTTTGTTTTCTTAATTTGTTTAATGTATTGTAATTGATGAGCTATATTGTTATTAAAAGTTATAAAATAAATAAATAAATAATAATGGTGAATATTTTTATTTCTAACGTAAGTGTTTTATTTTAAAATATATTTTATTTTATTTTTATAAAATAATAGGTGTAATATACTTGTATTTAGCATTATTAAAATAAAATAAATCTCTAATCAAGTAAATATTTCAATTATTATCACATCACAAGTAATCAACATTTACCTAATTTTTCTTCAGCTATAGAGAAAACAATTGTACAATATTTGTTAATTATTTCTGTATACTATTGTTACATTACATCAGTGATGTCTAACCTAATCCTTGGTGGGCTACTTTGGGAAATAATTATCTTAGAGCTGACCACCCCTCTAAAGTATGAATAATATCAATAATAATGTTATTTTGTTACATATAGTAGGTATATAATATACTCGTAGGCAGTGCTGGATCACCCATTAGCCCGCCTTAGGGCTTCACTCATTTAAGGGGCCCTGTAGAGACAAAAAATTATATTTTTTTTACTAATTTATGGGAAAAAACTCGTTATGAAATAATGAGACAATAAGAAGGAATCGCTTAGGACCATGACATTTTTCTGTGTTAATGAGGTTTCCGTTTTGACGGAGTTAGTTAATTATATGTAATTAGAAACGGGACCAAAAAAATGTTCCGTAACACCGGAGTTTCCATTTTACCGAAGTTCTATTTTATATAGGTTTTACTGTAATTTTAAAAAAAATTGAAATAATATAATTAATTTTTTTTGTGAATAAAAAAATTTAATAAACACAATTTTATTTACTAATAACAGTCGGTTATTACTAAAGCTATTTATTTTAATTTTTGGATAGTGATGTAACAAACATTTTAATTGCCTAGTGGCCCACAAATGTTTAATCCTGCATTACTTGTTGGTACAAATTGAATTTGTTTTCAATTATATTGACTACTGAAAAGATAACAAATTGAGATAGACAATAAATATTATACACACTGTAGATAAACATTAATTAAATCAGTATGCTCTTTTAAGTGCACAGGTCATATCTTGATATTTTTATTTGAAAACGTTAGAAAATAAAATTAATACATTTTAAAAAAGTTGTATTTTATATTAATTTTACTTTTTTTTGCTATTTTTTTTAATTTAAAAAATTGTAACAGGCCACATTGCAATACTTTTATGAGCCGTAGGTTGAGCACCACTGTATTATATTATACCTAATATATTCTGAACCCTCTGATCTATAGTTCTCTGTCCTTTTACATGTTACTATTAGTAAATAAAAATTAAATTGAGGGTAAACAGTAAAATAAAATGGATGCTATAATACATTTTAAATTTAATTTAAAAATTATTAATTTTTATCTAAATGTTAATATAAAAGTTAAAGATATTTTAATTTTAAATGTCTTGTATTTCTAAGCATTACTATTGTTACTATTTAAATAAATAATAATATTGATTACATAGAACTAGTTTAGTCAGAAATTTGCCAAAGAGAGATGAGAGAAAGAAACTAGATAAAATAACAAATACATAGATTTAAATATATTTTATATAAAGTCTGGTCAGTATTAAATAATAATAAAATCACAAAGAGGAGGGCTATAGTTTTTATCTTTCCTTTTAAATTCATAAATGTCACATAGTTTTATATTTTAATGAATAATTCTATATTATTATATCCACAAAAATATGAGCACTTACGTTTTTTCCATTGTGAAATTCACCACCAAATAATATAATTTCATCTTTATCTGGATGCGGAACAAATGTAAAATTTGATCGGCGTGAAGGATTATCAATTTTTGTTTCTGTAACTTTAACTTTTGCTTTGCTTTTAGCTTCAATATGAGCCACAATAGTAGATACTTCTGGCTAATAAAAAAAAAAAAAAGCCTGTTAATTAAAATATATACATATAATAATGACATTAATAAAATAGATTAATTTTATTTATTACAGTACTTATACATATTTGTTTATTATAATTTATTTATTATGCAAAATACATACCTCTCCAATTCTTCCAATATCCTTTTTGATTCGCTGGGCAATCTTTTTTTCTCTTTTGGCAGTTGCTTTTTCAATGCGTGATGCACCTTTTTTTTTATTTTTACCCATAACTTCTATACGTATTTATACACCTTAAATATTATTTATTAATATTCACTAATATAATTAATACTCATAATGTATGATTATGTAATAAATGATTTAACAAAAATTAAAGTTGGTTAATTTTTTAACACCCAATTCATGATTTTATAATATAATCATCATCGACAAAATAAACAAAAATGTATTACCTACAAAATTGAACCAACAACTACACAAATTCAGTATATAAATATTTATATGCTAAAGTAATAATTAATTAAAAGTTAGTTAACATTTAGGTAAGCTAACACAAGATCAACAGTAAATTTAAACCACGTTGTTCCTTAATAGATATTAAATGTTTATATTACTTTTACAGCTGAAATGGAATTAGATAGGAAAATTGTTATCAATTTTCTTTGATATCATATTTAGTATGGGAAAATTGAAAGTCGGCGTTTCACTGAATTGTTTACTTTATGGCATTGGCTTACAGTTTAAAGTATTGATTAATATTTAACTGTTCACACATCTTATATCCTTTCGGTACAAAATTATTCAAAATATTTCGTACAACAAACGACCTTCTTAACTTCAATTTTTTTATATCCTTACAATAATTAGTTTTTTATTAAATTAATTAATAAAATATTATTTGGTTTTTGTTTATACATTTTATAGTTTTGTGCAATTACTTTTGCGTCTTTGACAAAACTTTATTTAATAACAAACTATAACTATGCATAATATTCCAATATGGCTTCATAAAATTCAAGATAAAGATAAAGTTCATCAATGGTAATATAACAATTTTTTATACCCAATTTAAATTCTTTGAATACCTACTTATTATTCTATAATTATTATTATAAGGATTATTTATAAATTACTGTTTATTTCTTCATTATGATAAACATTTTATTAAAAATGGTTTTTGTATGCATAGCTTAAAATAACATATTAGTGCTTTTTTTCATCAGGTTATATAATTGTTCATATTATATTTATAGGTGTGCTAACGGTGAGGGGAGGGTGCCTAGTGTATCCAGTTACTCCCCTTATTATTTTACATTAAACCTACAATTTAAGTTTAAGAGTAAAAGGCCTATATTTTGACTGATGTTTCTCAAATTAAATGTAATTTATTCTAAAATATCTGACATAAAAATTAATAATATTTCATAATAGTGGATTATATATTGTGGAAAAACATATAGTAACATAACAGCTACAATTGACTACAAAAGTATAAATTATAAATAATTTAAGCTATCTAAAAAAATATTTGGGATTCAAGCTGACTCAAACCTGGCAATATATTCATTGGGAATAATATACAAAAATATTAAACAAAATATTATAGTTAAGTTTATTTAATTAATTATACATTACAACTTATTTAATATACCAACAGATTTTGTTCATATAGGTCCCAAAATTATTGTATCTCTTGAAATACAGGTTTATGCATGCATATGATTATACTTAAAATAATTATTTAGGCAGTATCTTTCTAAGAAATGTAATATTGAATTTAATAAATTATACTAGAAGAAAGTATTCATGTACTAATGTCAATATTATTTTATTATTAATTTAGTGAAAATTATATAACAAAATAAATTTAAAATGTTGAATATTTTCAATACCTCTAATATAATTAAATGCTCTTGTTTCCTTAGCATTTACAGCTTATGCTTCAGCATTGATGGTACTCAACTATTTGCAACTGCAGGTCATGATGTACTCGTATATCGTTCTATTGATGGATATCTTTTACATAGTTTAAAAGGTAAATATATACTCTAGTTTTATCCTATATAATTTAATTTGATAAATTCATAATTTATATCCACTACAAACAATGATTTAATGTTAATTCAACTATAGTTTAAAATATATTCAAATGCATTTAAAAAACTATATGTATTTCATTTTCCTCCTTAATTTATTTTTTAATTTTTGGACAATAAACTAGTGTGTTAATTTTTTCTTTCAATTTTTTTTTATTTCACTTCACATAATTTAACATATAACATAAACTTTATTAGCAGATTTATATAATTAATTTGTAACATGCATTTTTTTTTTTTTTATATATTTTAGGACACAAGGAAAATGTTTTCTGTTTAGCAACTTCTAACAATGGCAAAATATTTGCTTCGGGTGCAGCAGATAAAACAGTTATTCTTTGGTCATCTAAATTTGAACCTGTTGGAAAATATAAGTAAATTATAAATAAGTATATTTTTATTTGTATAATCATTAACTATTTATTTTTATTTTTTGTTCAGTCACAATGACAGTGTACAGTGTATGGCTTTTAACTCAATTACTCATAATTTAGCAAGTTGCAGTTCTTTGGAGTTTGGCTTATATTCTTTGGAACAAAAATCTGTGCAAAAGTTCAAAAATCTGTATAAAATAAACACATGTGCATGGTCCACAGATGGTCAAACATTAGCACTTGGATGTGATAATGGAAATGTATCCTTACGTAATCGAAGTGGAGAGGAATTTGCAAATATCGAGCTCCCTGATGGACACTCAATTTGGGCAATAGTATGGTTATCATCTAGGTATTAAATATTAAAATACAACTTAGTATATAATTTGACTTATAAAATAATAAAAATTATGTACTTTTAGATTTAATGAAGAAGATATATTATGTATTGCTGATTGGGGTAGAAAATTATCATTTTACAATAAAAATGGGTTTGAAGTAATTAATCAAGCAATTCTATTTTTATAAATAATTAAAAATAACTAATGGTTTTACAGATTTTAAAGAGTAAAAACATTAATTTAGAAGCTTTGACTATGAAAACATTATGTAATGATTCTTACTTATTAATTGGAGGTTGTAAAGGAAAATGTTGCACTTTTTCTATTGATGGAATTAAGCTGAGTGATTTTGAAGACAAACATTGTTGGATTTGGGCTTCTGCTGTGCACCCACATTCAAAATTTATCGTAAGTTTATTTGTTTTTGTTATTTAAATGTTTTGAATAAAAATACACAATATTTTTATATTATGTCTATCAATATTATTGTAAAAAACGTATAAATGTATCTGGTGTATATATAATATAGAATTTAATGATCATATGAGTTTCCTAATTCTTAGTCCTAAGTAAATACTTATTTTTGGTAAATATGACAATGTTTATCCAAAATATTTCATGGCATATAATTATATTAAAATTTGGGAACCAAATACATAATAATTCAGCATTTTATGATCAACTGATAGTATGACAAACAATAAGTTTTCAGGTAGCATACTTCATGATTATCCATTTTAAAAATGTGTACTATAAAAAATTTAAAATATCTTGAAATTTTTATATATTTAAGTTAAATTAAATTTTCAAATAAATATAAAAAAATGCCTCTATGTTACACTATTATACTACTACTGTATATAACTGTCTTATACTGTTATACTATTTTATTATGCAAACATTTTTTTTTTTTTTTTTTTTACAAACTGTGCAACTATAAATTAAATATGTACAACATTCTCAATCCTTAATAAAAAATGATTACAATTTTTACAGCTTTCTTAATTTAGCTTTATTTATGGTATGAATATTATTTATGTTTAAATTTAATTATCTATTAATAGGCGTTAGGTTGTCAAGATGGGACATTAGCATATTACAAAATTGAATTTAGTGTAATACATGGACTTTATCAAGAAAAATATGCATTCAGGTATTTAAGTTACCATTTATGGTAACTGCACTATTACATGTATGAGGTTATGGTACACAAAATCTTAAAAACATATTTTCAATATTTTTATGAAATTAAAGTCACTTCTTATATTTAAATGGCACTTGTATTGTTTTTATTTTATTGACTAACAAAGTAATGCTTCATATTATGTTTTTTTTTTTTTTATAACACTTTGTGATGTATTTTTTTATTAACAGGGAAAATATGACTGATGTTGTTGTTCAAAATTTAGTAAATAATAATAAAGTACGAATCAAGTGCAGAGATTTAATTACAAAAATTGCAATTTATAAGGATCGCTTGGCTGTAAGTTTATATATAATGTATGAGTAAATATTTGAATTTTGTTAGTTATTTAGTATTATTAATAGAAAAATATAAATACAATATAGTGATATTATCCACTCATTGGGTATCTTCATTTTTTGTATACTTTAGATTTTAGCTCAGATAACTATTTCTATCATAAAATTCAACATTATTTATTTATCTACTTGGGCTCACTCTTATGTAGTTAATCTCAAATTATAGTGAATTTGTTCGTAAATACAATCAATGTACATGTAAAATGAATTCTAAAAGAAAACAATGTATATCAAAACAAAAATTGAAATACTAGGTATATTAAGTACGGGAAAATGTAACCTTTAGCTTAATTTTATTATTTAAGTTTACATTGAAAAGATATTATTTTAGCATATTTTTTAAAATTGGATAAAATATCATTGGCAATAAAAAAAAATAGTGAATCAGATGAAAGTATGATTTAAGTTAAATTTTACAGAGCTCTTTTTTGGTGGATGTACAAAAAATAAAAGTGAAAAAAGTATAATATAGATCTACATTAAACAATATTACATAATCACATTATACTTATACATTGTATATAATTTTATATATACACATAAGTTATTTTTTATTAAATAAAACATTTAAATTCATAATTGTATATTTTCAATTATTTTTTGAATAACAGCATCTCATTTAGTATCAATTAATGTGAATAATTGATACTCCACTATATTATATTACTTTACCTAATATATTTAAAAATGTATTTTCTATAAAAAGTAATTTATAAATGTTATTTCACATTTGTATAAAGTAATTATTATTATCTTTAACTTGTTATAATAATTATTTACAAATAATTATATAATATATATTATGTAAAATCAATTTTAGGTTCAATTACCAACAAAAATTGTTGTATATGAATCAACTTTAAATCAAATATCTGAAATGCACTATAGAATCAAAGAAAAAATTTCTGAAAATGCTATCTGTAATTTACTAGTTGTTTGTTCAAATAATTTAGTTTTATGTCAAGTAAGAAATAAATAATATTTATATTGATGATATATATATATATATATAATAATCATATTATATATCTTAGGAAACGAAGCTTCTATGCTTATCACTTGCTGGAGTTTATGTACGTGAATGGAGCATGAATTCCTTGGTAAAATACCTAAAAGTTATTGGTGGCACAGCTGGAAATGAACAAATTTTAGTTGGCTTGCACAATGGACAAGTATATTATCTATATTTTATACCAAATAATATATTTAATATTTGTAATAAATTGTACTACAGGTTTTGATGTTAAAAGTTAACAGTACAACAGTACAGCAACTATTTAATGTTAATAAAAGTATCCGTTGTTTTGATGTGAATATATCAATGGATAAAGCAGCTATTGTTGATGATGAGAACAAGTGTTCATTTTTTGATATGAAGTCAAAAAAACTACTATTTCAAGTAAGTATAATGAAATGCAACATCCCACTTAGCTTAAAAGTATATGTTTTAGGAACTTGATGTTACAAGTGTAGTTTGGAACTCAAAATTTTCTGACATGGCTTGCTTTTCTGGTAAAAATATATTCAATATCAAAATTAATGAATTTCCTGCTCATCAACAACGGATCATAGTGAGAAATATGTTTAAGCATTATATTTTATTTATATTCTAATTATTTGTCTTACATTTACAGGGCCATGTTATTGGTATGTGGGGCTCTAAGATATTTTCTCTTAATGACTCTGTAGTCTCTGTTATTGAAGTTGCTTTATCAGTTCCATTATATCAATATCTAGAGAAAAAGTGTTTTAGGTATGTTTTAATGTATACATTATTTCTATTGTTTAACATGAAAATTATTAATTGTTTTATTTTCTAGCAATGCATATAAAATTGCCTGTCTTAATGTTACTGACTCTGATTGGAAAATATTGGCTAGAGAAGCTTTAGAACATTTTAACCTTCTAATTGCCAAAAAAGCATTTGCACATATCAAAGAACTAAAATACTTAGAGCTCATTACACAATTTGAGGTTAATATTTTTTTAATATTCGATATAATTTAGTTGTTGTAGATTAAAAATCTAATATAAATCAAAATTTAAAGGATAAAGGATCACAAAATGATAAAGATAAACACTGTCTACTAGCTGATGTACTTGCTTATGAAGGAAAATTTAAAGAAGCTGCTAGAATTTATCAAAAATGGGGTTTTGATCATAAAGCTTTTACCATGTACACTGATTTAAGAATGTTTGATTTGGCACAAGTAGTGTACATTTTTTTTATTTACTACTGCACATTTAGTTGAGTAAATTGATAAAATTAGTTCAATTTTAGGAATTTATTGGATCAAACACTTCTGGAGAGAATAAAGAATTACTCATTAAACGAGCTGAATGGGCAATGAGTATTGATGAGCACAAAGTAGCTGCTGAACTTTATATTTCAGCTGGAGAATTAGACCTGTCTATTGATATTATGGTTCATAACTGTTGGACACAAATGTAATATTTGAATAATTTTATATAATATATGCATGTTAAAGTTACAACAGCTTGTGATTTTAAACATAGATCCATATAATAAACAAAAATAATTATAAAACTTTTTTAAAATATTTCTGTTCTTTGAGGTTTTCTTAGTTCCAAAATAATAATCACTTAAAGATATTTTACAAAATAATCTAGTATATTTGTACTTGAATAAAATTTAATTGAAATTTTAACTTACGAATTAATTGATGTAAGAGTAAATCATACTTGATTACTTAATTTACAAAATAAAATAGCACATTTTGCTTAATAACAATTAAATTTTGTTTTGTTTAAAATAAACTTTATTGCTCATATTTTATTTATTTATAATTATATAACAGTGTAGATAATTTTCAAAATGTTCTCAGGCTATTAGAACTCGGACGTCGTACTGATAAAGCCGAAGAAACTATTTTGAATAGAATTGGAGATGAACTTCGTAAGCTAGGTGATACAGAAAGTGCTGTTGAAATATATGCCAAAATGGGAAAAGATATGGGACCTGATATGGTTGCTTTACATGTAGAGGCTCATAATTGGGACCAAGCTTTCATATTAGTTGAAAAAAATCCAATATTCGCTCCACTTGTGTATTTACCATATGCTGAATGGCTAGCTGAAAACGATAATTTTGTTGAAGCACAAAAAGGTTTTATTTATAATTTGATTAAATATTAAACACATATATTTTTAAATATATTTTTGTATAGCATTTCTGAAAGGTGGAAAACCAGAAAGAGCATTTCAAGTATTAAAAATATTAACTGAAAATGCTGTTGATGAACAGCGTTTTCAAGATGCTGGTTATTATTATTGGTTATTAAGTAGACAGTATTTAAATATTGTTTCAAATGAGTAAATACCTATTCTTTAAATATGATTAGAATAAAAAAAATACTTTTTTATTTTATAATTATCAATTATAAAATTATTTTTCAGGGGTGACAAATCTACTGAAATTATAAATCAATTTTATTTATATGATAAATATGCTGCAATTTATTATGCCTACAATGCTATTCATCGTTATATGGTATATAAATCATATCAATTATTATTTGATATTTTAGTCTAATTAATTAATAACCTTCAGTTATGATTGATTTTAAATTTATTGCTGTATCGCTTCTTGATTGCTAATATTGTTTAAAATATAATCTTTTTTACTAAATTATTTTAGAATAACACATAAATAAATAAAATAGGATGGTTACAAGTTTTAATTCTCAATTCAGTTTAATCTTATATTTCATATAATCACAAATTGGAATTTCTCTTAATGGACCTCTTAAAATACTAAATTTTTTCACTATTTTTCTTTGTACAAATTTTAATTTTTAAGTAAAATAATAAACTATAAGAATTTTATAGTATAATTTTATATTAATTTTATAAAATTTATATAATTTTGCCCAATAATAGTGACTTGCAAGTTTTATTAATAACATTTTGAGAGACATTTAAGAACTTAACTGTGTGCTCCAAATCGATTCTTGTTTATATTTATTTCTAAATCTATTCGAAAGGTCAATAGTATTAATGAATTCCTTCATTGTTCATTATTATATAATATTTTAAAATTGTATGTTTGGCAGGAGGATCCATTTATGTCATATCAACCTGAAACTTTATTCAATATTTCAAGGTTTTTAATGAATGAAACAAAAAATATACATTTGAAAGGGATTTCAAAATTGTAAGTTGGTTAACTTTATTACATTTTTAGTAATATTTAAGATTAAATTACAATATTATTCATGATGTATAGTTAAGTTATTTTAAGTTAACTTTAAAATGATTGAGCATTTTAAAATTTTTAAATCCATAAGGTAAACATTTTCTTTAATTTTATATTTACTTTTAAAGTACTTCAACATATTAGAATTGTAATTTATGTATTACAACAGCTAATATATCTGAAAAAATAAATAAATTAATGCATAATTTGGAACATTATATATATTGTACAACCAGTTTTGAATTAAAAATTTGGCTATATCCCATTATGTGGGGTGTGATTTAGTATGAATATTTATTTAATTTAATATTAACAAATTTTTCAACTATCCAAATCAACATACTAATTATGTTTATATTCTTTTATGTTTAACTAAAGCGTCATATGAGAATAAGTAATAGGGTTCAATCCCAAAAATTATGCTATACAAACTTATAAATTAATACCCAGAAAATTTAAAAATAGTTAATATTAGGTTTATTTAAAAATAAATTATACTATGACTAAACTCAGATTTCACTGGCGGTGGTGGGTGGGTACCTCGAAATATATATTTTCAACATCCTTGTCAAAAATCTATGTGTCACTGTAAGACCCCAGGTTATGCAATTATTTATATTTCCACATATATTTTTTGACTTAGTATAGGCCATTAAAGCCCTTTGCCCTTATTTTTATTTTTTAGTTTCTCCTTATATACTATTTATACATTTTCGTTTTATTTATTTTTTATTTATAAGTAATGTATTATTTAATAAAATGTATTTTGTTTTAGTGCAATATTATATTCATTATCCAAACAAGCATTAAATATGAGAGCATTTAAGCTAGCAAGACAAATTTTAACAATAATACAAAAGTTAAGGATACCTACTAAATATCAAGTACATTTTTTTAGTTAGTTTTACCGAAATGAAATATATTATTTTTTTTATTTAATTAATTTAAGGATTATGTAGATCTTGCTTCTTTGAGTATCCGTGCAAAACCATTTCATGATAATGAAGATCTCTTATCAATGTGTTACCGTTGTTTAACTTATAATTCACCTGTTGTGCAAGCATGTGTAACATGTCATCATAAATTTATATTTTCATTTATTAAATTTGGTTTGTATTATTTATGATTATAATAATTTTATATATATATATAAAAAAAATGTTTTATAGGCTAAATTTAATATTATAAAAGCTTATTTTAATTTATTAGAAATTTTGCCACTTATTGAATTTCAATTGGAAGATGGCATTTCTGATTTAGATGCATTAAAATTAATACACAGTTCTAATCATGAAAAAAAATCTATAGAAAACCAAGATCCATCTCAAAATGTAAATACATTAATTTTAGATGAAGAAAGCCAAGATCAATCAATAGATCCATTTACTTATAAACTTATAAATGAGGTAATATCACAATTACTTTATTTATATGATTCATGTAGTTTTTTATAGAAAATGTATAACCATTTATACATTTTTAATGTAGGGAAAAAATGAAGAAAATACTTATCAACCAATAATAGTCAATAAAACCACATTACAATCAATGAATACCAACAGTATAATAGTGTGTAAATGGCCAAAGCCATTAAGTTATAAATATTACAGAAATCTATTACCTGGGTTTTTAGTAACTAACTGTGAAAAATGTTTTAAGGTAAATAAAATATTATATATATATTTCTATAAGATTTTTAAAGGTTTTTTTTTTCAGATGTTTCATTCCGATGAATACGAAGTAGAAGTACTAAGACAAGGTTATTGTCCATTTTGCAGAACAATGGATAGAAGAATAGTAAAATAAGGATTAAAAAAAAAAAAAAATGTAAATTAAATACAAATATATGTATTTCTTTTAAATTTTAAACTTCAGGTTTCTTGCTTTTACCCCCTAACTTCTTCAATGTCAATGCAGCTCTCTTTTGGGATTCTAAGATAGCACTAGCTCTTCTCAATGAAGCCTATAAATATTTGACAAATATTATACAAAATATTTCAAATAATATATATATAGTGTCTCAAAAAGAATGCAGGATTTAAATCTGCTATAAATTAAATTTATTTCTTTTAAAAACATAACAAATATATCATTCACATCAGGAAAAATCAAGGTTTAACAGTGAAAAACAATATCAGGCATATGACTCTCCCTACTAGCTCTACAAGTGATTATTCTTTCCATAAAATTTACCATCACGGGATAACTAATTGTTTTAGCCACACAACAAGATTAGTCTGTCTGGGAACTTCTCACATAGCAAAAGGATTGTTTTTCTCTTGAAGTGTAACAAGTTGCGCTGTCTTGTTGTAACCATACAAGAATACCTAATAAGCTCAGTAATTTTCTTTGACCTTATTTGGACCAAATGAACATTAAAAATGTTTGGTGTCCACTTAGATTTTGTGACTTGCGCAGTGTAATTTTTTCTTATGAGGATACACTGTCACGAGTTTACCAGAACAAAGGCTGAAATGTCTAAAAACTTAAACAAGAAATTTGTTAAGTCCTCAACGAACTTGATGATGGAGCAATGTGTGATCGAGCGATGGTAAATTTTATGGAAATAATAATCGCCTGTAGAACTAGTAAGGAGGGTCATATACCCGATATTATTTACCACTGTTAAACCTTAACTTTTCCTGAAGAGAATAATATATATTTGTTATATTTTTTTAAAGAAATAAATTTAATTTATAGCAGATTTAAATCCCACGTACTTTTTCAGTCACCTTATATATGTAAAATATGCATTAAATTACCTGGATCAAATCTTTTCTATATTTATTTCCAAGTAAATATCTCCGCAGTTTAAACAATGATCTTCTTGGACCACTGGTAAAGTTTACTTTGACAAGAGATTTTCCAGGTTTATTCTAAAAAAAAATAATAATAATATTGTGATAACTGTTTCAATCAGTTAAGAATGACCTTTTATATAATTAACCAATGCTTTTTATGTTTTTATTTTATTTAAAAAATTATGTTGTTAAATATTTAAAGATACCTAAATCTTAATAGTTACATTGTATAACATACATAAATAGTGCATCATAATATCTTATACTAAGCCATGAGTTACATTGTTATTAACTTCAAAATATTTTAGAGTTAGTGAAGCAATAATCATCAATTTACTGAAGATCACAAATAATAATTATATATATATACACCTTGATTTATAAAAAATATTCATAATTTATTTTAAATTATAAATTATAAACAGCTGCAAATAACGGGAGGGTTAGGAGTTCTAACTATCTCCCCTCAAAATGTTATAAGAAAATGACCTGACCTGCAATTTAATAGTAATTTCAGTTTCCCAAATGACTTACAAATAAAATATTGAAATATATTATATAACGATTAATAAAACACGATTTTTATCAATATTTTATATTTTACAAGCTCCATATTTTCACCAAAAGTTTATCAGTTTAACATTTAGGTTTACTTCAAAATAGTTCAGAGTTGGTGAAGCAATAATCATCATTTAAACTTTAGGCAATTTCCATGAACATGAAGTCAATATAAAAAAGTATTTTTTAAATTATGATTTAAAATTATCAGTTCAGTTTCAACAATCGTAGGTAAAGGTTGTGTTCTCATTGTATTAATATCGTAATCTAATATTTCATATTATGTCGTGCGTTAGTTGTAATAGTGTTTCTTCTTCTTCAGTTAATAATATTAAATGCTGTGTCGTAATATTTACCATCTTGAGTGTATTGATATAGGCTGCTCTCCAAAGAAACTTCAAAATTTAAGAATTAACAGGAACACATGGAAATGTGTCAAATGTTCTTTATCCAATATTACAGGAGGAAAAAATATTACTAACTCTTCTTCAGTTAAGGATGAATCTATAGATGACCTAAGTCTTGTTAAAACAGAGATAGCAATCATTTTATCGAAACTCGAAAATTTGGTTACTACGACTAACTTGATAGAAAAATCAATAACTTTTTGTTCAGATAAAATTTATGATTTTAATTCCAAACTAGATAGTGTAATTGATAAAGTAAATGATGTTGAATACCGTTTAAATGACATGGAAAACATGTATAAAAATTTGATAAATGATTTAGAATTATTAAAAAATAACTAATATATCTGATCAAAAGGACCTTGCTAATAATATCGAAATATCTGGTATTCCTTTCAGAGCCAATGAATCATATTAAACAAAGTAATTATCTGTCTTGGAAAAAAATTAAACGTGGAGATTAAAAATTTGGATTTATCGAAATTATATAGGCTGAAAAGTAATAAAGATAGCCAGGGAAAGATCATTGTTTATTTTAGTAATAAAAGATAATTAGTTATCTGGAATTAAAACTGCATATAAGTCAGGTAATCAGGTAATCAAGGCCAATCACATAAATTCAGTTTTCCCAGACACAAAAAATAAATGATAAATTAACAGTGGGAAATAAAAAATTATTCTAGTTATCAAAATTATTATCAAAGCTGTACGATTTCAAATATATCTGAGCTAACTCAACCGGAATTTTTATGAAATAAAATTAAAGTTCACATAGTTTTCGAGTCAACTCTATCAACCAACTTATTAAAATTGATATTGAAAAAAGTCATTCAACTGTATGATAGTGTAATAAAGAATCAATTATTGTTATTTTAGAATACTGTATATTATAATATGTTTAATGATTCATACCTTACAAAATATATGTGATGAAATTAAAGCTATAAATAGTGTTAAAACATAAGATATTAATTTTTTAAATGAGGTTAAATTTTATGAAAAAGGGTTTTCTATTTTTGCAATGAATATAATATTTAGGCTGTTAGAGTTAATAATATTTTGAGTAATTTTTTACCAATTAACTATGGAGTCCCGCAAGGTACAGTGTTAAGATCTATATTTTTTATAATCTATACAAATGGTTTATTTGACTTAAATTTAAATGCTAAAATAATAATTTTTGCTGATGATACCTAAATTTTAGTCAGTGGTGTCTCAAATAATATAATAAATATATTAGCTACACTTGTCTTAAAAACTATTAATAACTGGTTTGTAAATAATTTACTCAAATTCACTATTAAAAAATCAAAGTATGTTTTTTAAAATTTATAAAAATAAAAGTTTAATATACAATCCATTAGTATTACACAATACAAATTGTAATAGGTCCTTAGATTCCTGTAACTGTGATAAGTTTGAACATGTTGTATCAAATAAATACCTTAGGGTGATTTTTGATAGAAATTTGAGGTAGATTTTACATATTTATCATGTAGTTTGTACGATACAAAAATTGTATTATAAATTTAAATTGTTAAAAGACATCCTCAATATTAAAACATTATGTACAGTTTATTTAGCACTTGTACAATCTATTATAAGCTATGGCATTGTTGTTTGAGGAACTGCATCAAAGTTTGCTTTAAATCCACTTATTATTACATTAAACTCACTGTTGAGATCTACACTATTGAAATCGTACCATTTTAATCTAGGCGACCTTAACAACACATTTAATGTAAGAAACCACAATGGCTTATATATATGAAATATCCTTAAATATATTTTTAATTCAGATTTAAAAAATAATTACTCGTCACATAGCTATCGAACACGTCTTAAACAATCAGTAAATCTGAATATGCCAGTAACCCATAAAGGATTTGGTAGAAAAATGGTTAATAATGACAGTATTTGTTTACGAATTATGCTTAATATTAATTTAAAATCAAATAAAAATAAGTATCATTATAAAAAATATTTAAAATATCTGAATCTAAATCATATTATAAACAAAAACTTGAAATTGTGTTTTCTTTCTATTATATTTATCTATATGAAATATGTTTATATTTTGCTTATTATAATTGTTTTTATAATATAAGTATTATATGTATATTATAAATAATAAATGGTAATATGTTAGTTTTGTATTGAACTTGCTGCACCCACCACAAGTTATGCTTTTGGGGCGGCGATAAAATTGTTTTACTCTTAATTGTTGTTATATTTATGTATGTAAAATATTTTTTTTGACAATTAACTATTATATTATATTATAATTATAATATAAAGATTTAACACAACTACAGGAAATAATTTAAATGTTAATTTGACATGTTAATATTAAAATTATAAATGTAGAATTTAAACATATAATCAAATAGAATTTATTAGGTAAACATAGTCCATAAATACTTGAAAATGATATAACATTGCAATTCAAAAAGTCCCTAAGAAATTAAACCACACATAAACATATAATTATCATTGAAATATAATATATTAACTTAATTTTGTGTTTAAAATCTCAATCCAATAATTATCAATAATTTCATTAATATAAATCATCTAAATAATGTAGTCGTAGTAATTATGACTTATACAAAACAATCTAAATTTATCTAAAATACTAACAAAAATTAAAAAAAAAATTTATTTTTACTCACAGCCAACTTGCGTTTTTTAGTGATAACGGTGAATCCCTTGTTATTAGGAGCAGATTCAACCCCGATACTGTTGTCATGAACAAGACCATTGTAACGTTTTGAGGCCAAGTTTGTCAAGTTCATTGGTTCCTACAAATATAATTTATGTATAAGCAAGTTCCAAAATTAATTAGATTAAAAATAATTCTAACTTTGCTGAATGGTTTTTTAATGTTAGATTTCTTTGACAAGAAAGCATTATTGTTTCTAATGATCATCCAACTTAGATCGGCCGACATAATGAATAATCTGAAATGATAAAATTTATAAATATATAATAAATTTTTCAGTCTTGCAAAACAATTAAGAATAAAATGTGCCACATGGTTTCGTAAAAATGGATTTTTATCAACTCAAAATTCTTAAATAATTAGTATCTATGGAATATATGTATATGATAGTTAAACACAATAATAAATATAATTTACTTACATTTTATCCCAATTTGCAAAAAATTAAAATGTATAAAGTATCCGACCTACACTATAGTTAATTTTAACAAAAAAATTAACAATGCTACTAGTAGTCTCGAACTCTCTAAAGTAACCTCAAAAAATAACCAACCAACAACAACAAAACTAAATTGTAATCATATAATATGACTGTAATGTTTACAAAAGTGTTTAACCTGATTTATTGGTATTACTGAGTCTATAAACTTGATAATATCACAGATAGGGATGGGCATTCCAACTCATTCTGCTGAACTGAATCTTTCAACTCAGTTCAGTGTAATGAGTTAAATCAAAGAGTCGACTCTCGACTCTTGATTAGACTCACAATTTAATTATGACTATAAGCGTACAATGTTACGAATTTTTCTCAGAAAGTCAGAAATCTTGTTTTAAGAAAGAATAGAAATATTAATACCAAATCCGAGGGGAACTATTGTTTAAGTTGGTATTACATTTTCCGTTTGGATTCGCAAACCGTTATCAAGGGAGTCAAGAGTCGTGTATCTACAATAGCGCAGTTGTGAGTTATGAGTTTAACCATTGATTATAGAATAGAATATTCTATTCTATAATCAATGGTTTAACTGAGTCACTGAGTCACCAACTCTTGTAAAACTGATTCGACTCGTTCAGTTCATTTTTAAGAATTGACTTACTGAGTCGACTAACTCATGAACTACACATCCCTAGATAATATTAAATTTCCATATATTATATTAATCGGATTACACACCTGCAGTTGAAACAGTGATTTGACTGTACATTCGAAATAAATCGTGGAGTCATAGTCGAATGACATATAGAGAAATATAATATTATTCTATGGCTACGACAGATGATACTCCGATTCTTGGATTAAAGTGGGTTTAAAAAATAAAATAGTTAAAAAACGTAACTTATGGTGTAAACAATGGTTGTTAAAAAAAGTGAATATTCACACACATATTTGATAAACGAATTGAGAACTACTCCGAAAGATTTTATTAATTACATTTAACAAATATTTTCATAGCATAAACAAAAAAGTCATCCGAAGATGACAGGAAATCGCCTAGTTTCATAAGATTTTTAGGAGCTTTATAAACATTTTTATAAATTTCAATAACATTTAAAATTAAATATTAAAGACTTGCAGACAATAGTAGAATACATAAATCGATTGTGGAGAAGAGCATTGGAAACATGTAATTTGTACGACAACTACGTCACAGCGTCATATACGGTATATGAGATATATGATATATATAACCTACTCCTATTTTTCAATATTTTTTAAATGAGGCTACTTTTTTGGATGCTTATATGATAAATTAATAAGTTATTTCTAATAATAAATCTTATAACCACAGTATAATTGATTATAAATTATATAATATTTATAATCAATGACAAAATATATGAAACATTATTTCATATATTGTGTCATAACTTTCAGTACAAGCACCGTGTAGACAATCTTCATTGTGAATAGTTCTAAGTAGTGATAACAATTTTGATTACCCGCGATATTAATGATAATTGTATTTTTATTATCGAATTAAAACTTCTAATGTTATTTAAAACTCAATTACAACAATTTTACTTATAAAAATTAATGACAATTTGAACCATCATATTTTTAAACATGTCTCTTTCGGTAACATGTTTGTTAAAAAAACAAAACCGATTGCTTACTTTTCTGAGTGTAAGACACAGAAGTCAACGAAGGAATTTAGGTAAACCAATTACTGCTGCCCAAACGTTAGAGGAAAGACTAGAAGGTTAGTTAATATAAAGTTCTATAATGTTAATGATTTTCTTCAGGATTTATTTTTTATTATTTATTTTTAATTTGTTTCAGAAATGAATTTCAAAGATCCAAAAATTCATTTTAAAGTAGATATTGGATTGCCTCAGCCCCTTAAAGATAAAAAAAAAGAAACTGCTAAGCGAATTGAATATTTAAAAAATATAAAATGCAACGCAGAACTTGAAAAATTAGCTAGAGACAACGAATGTAAGTATTTATGGTACATTATTATTTATCAATAATAAGTCTTCTTAAATAGTTGATAGTTATATTATGAAAATAGAAGTTTTTTTTAAGAATTATTAAAAAAGTTGATGTATTGATATAATTGAAAAACATATAGATTTTTTTGCAGATATAATATTAAAAATCATAATTTATTTTTCTTCGAGATTCATATTTAAATGTGCAATTTAATTAAACTTACAATTATAATAACAGCATTGGAATAATTTATTTTGTTTTAACTGTTTGTTTTTTAAATTAAATATTTATTTATATTATATAACTTATAACTATATATTCTCATAAGATATTAGTATTAATTTATTGTATTATTATGTAAATTACTATTTTTTAGTCTTACATATTTTATCTGAAGTTTTCCAATTAAATAACTTATCCTTTTTAGCCTTTGTTTTATTTTAAAACAATAAAAAAGATCAATTTAATATTTTATTTATATATCAATCATACTACTTTTATTTCTATTTATTTGAAATTTAACTTAAAAAATGTTGATCCTATATGAAGTTATTTATACCTTATACAACAATGTACAAATTAAATTGTAATTATAATTTACACTAAGAACGCTTTTTATTTTATTTTTTTTATTCCTTAAAAAGCAACCTTTTTACACAAGATTGTTTTTTAGTATTAATATAGTATTTTTATATTTATTGAAGAATAATTTTGAGTTTTTATTATATTTAGTACCTGTATCACTGGAAGAAATATCAAATGATTGGTCAAAAACAAATGCACCATTGCATATTAAAAAAATAGCAGAATATTATGGTGTTTATGAACATTTATTTGGAGATGCATATTTTTTACCATACATTCAAATGAATATAAATTATCAACATGATTCCCAAGAAGTTCCTGTCTATCGAGGAAATATTATCAAACCTTATGAGGCAAAAATAATATATTAAATAATTGCATTGAATGTATTTTTAAATAACTTAATTTTAATAGGCTGTGAATAGTCCTAAAGTAGAGTTTGAAGCCTCAGAAAAGTCATTATGGACATTAATGCTTACAAATCCAGATGGTCATTTACAAAAAGAAAATTCTGAATATATCCATTGGCTAGTGTATGTATATCTAAGGTTTCTTTTAATTTAACAACAATACTAAAGTGATCAATTTAGTATTATATACAGTCAATAATTGTAATAACTAATATTAATCTGTTAATAGAGGAAATATACCGGGTGGAGATGTAACCAAAGGTGAAACTATTATTAGTTATTTACAACCATTTCCTGCAAGAGGAACAGGATACCAAAGAATGATTTTCGTTCTTTACCAACAAACCTGTGAAATAAATTTTTCTTTCATTAAGTCAGTTTCTGAAAAGTTAGTAATTATTTATTAATTTCTTTCTTAAATTATTGATAAAAATAAATAAATAATTTAAATGTATATAATTTCTCTTGGTTTGGAAAAATGCAAAAGTATTTATTTTTATTTATTTTTATATTAAATAAAACTCATATATTCCTTTAAATATAAATCAACATACAACATTTAGATCATATCATATTGTTACAATAAAATATATTTTTTTTAATGGTCGCATATGTCAAATACTAATAGTATTATTATTTTTTTCTTATAGAATAGATCTGGACAAAAGAACATTTAGTACTTTTAATTTTTATCAATCTAAACAAGATATCATAACACCTGCGGGATTAGCATTTTATCAAACAGATTGGGATAATTCATTGACAGAGTTTTATCACAATAAACTCATGATGCCTGAACCAATTTATGAATATGATTTTCCTTCTCCATACATTAAACCACAGAAATGGTTCCCCCTCAAAGAACCATTCAATTTGTAATATATTATTTCTTAGTTTAATGAGAATATTTATTAATACTTATTAATATGTTAGGTATATGGATAAATATCGAGATGAAAAACAAATAGCAAAAGAATTTTTGTTGAGAAAACTTAAAAAAACACATCCGTTTCAAAAACCTGAACCATCCCTCAAGTATCCATGTGCAGTTCCATTTAAGAAAAGTACTCCATCTTGGTTAAAACTAGAGATGAAAAAAGAACGTCTAAGATGGGGTCGTATAAATGATTATTAAATATATTATAAATAAAGTTAAAAATTTACATATTTGTATTATTGTTTTAATTTAATTACAGTAGATACACAATTAGTTTACAATATATTTTGTATAATTTTTTATTTAAACTTAAATTTTCAACCCTGATAGATTTTCTTCCAATTTCTTTTCATTGTCAAAATAACTTGAATTACCAAGTTTCATTTCTGGATTAAAGACATTCCTGAAAAAATTTTAAAACAAAAAACAAATTATTAATCAAACAATATTATTAGAGATTATATTTAAATAATAAAATATGAACTAACATTGGTGCTGACTTTAGTAGTTTAAACTTAGGTATTATTTCTGACTCACGTAACCATAAAGGACTGGTTAAAAGTTGACTTTTTAGATATTTTGAACTTTTATAGCATATATCTGAGCAAAATTTCTAAAAAAAAAATGTTAATTATTTATATATTATTACAATTATTATAATTTGAAATTGTTTGAAACTAAAATTGAAACAATTTTAAGTAAAACCAGCAGCTAATTGCTATTAAATAGTTGTTTGGCAATCTCTTAGAATGTTTTATCTTTATAAATCCACATGAAAAAAAAAATTAATCTAATTTTTTTTTGTGAGGAGTCATAATATATACGTTAATTTAGTTTTAAATTTAAGTGAAAATCGCATATTTATTCTTTTATTAAAGTTAATAAAACAACACATGTGAGAGTGTCCTCTAAACAAGTAATTATAAAATAACCAATTCTCAACAAGTACATCAAAATACATTTTTGTTGTCGATTTTCAGTAAATAAACTCTTCAATAATATATTCTATAAGATTTTTTAATTTATTTTAAGTTTGGAGTGATAACATAATAGGAGATTTAAATAAAGACAAAAATTAAAAACATTGAAATTACCATTCAAAATAATTAAACAAATATTTTCAAAATAAGTATTTAAAAATATGAAAAATAGTTTAAATAATACCTCAAATGTAAGTATATTAGTTTTTGATTTATTAAGTTTAACTTTTTGGTAAAAAATAATAAATCTTCAAGAATAACAGGTCTAAAACTCGATAAAAACTAATGAAAATTATAAAAAAATAATAGTGGCAAAGTGGTTTACTAGTCAGCCAACTCAAGATAAGTTACTTTTCTGCTACTAGTACTCAAATGATTAACAAATGGTAACCAAATAATTAATGATATGGCAAGCCTAACTAGTTATTTAACTTGAATATTATTGCCTCAGAACCTAAAATATCTTACATCTTTTAAAAAAATAAATAATTAAAAAAATGAAATATTTTAATTGTAAAACAAAAATATTAAAAAAACTTTATAAAAATAAATTTACCTTCCGTTCTGTAATATCGTAAACTTTGTTATTAATTATTTTATACTGCTGCGTTGGTATAGATGTCAAATGTTGATTGCAGAAAATATATCCACATTGTTTTAAAATAAATCTTTCTTCTACTATATCTTCATAGTGGCAAACATTAATTGATCGTAACTGGTAATAATAAATTATGCACAAACAATCAATATTGCATAATCCAAAGTAAAAATTACACTTATTATGTTATAAAATTAAATGGTAAAAATAAGAATTGATCTTTTAATATTATATATATACAGTAAAATCTACTTATAATGGATCCCCTATAACAGTGCTTCAAAACCTGGGGGCCGTGGTGATATAACTGGGAGGCCGTGAAATATTTATTTCGTTTAAAACTCTTAAAATCGAATTTAATGAAAAAGAATTCATTAAATTTTGGTTAAGACGATAGCAAGAGTATCCTGTAATTTAAAAATCGGCTTTGCTTATATTAATACCTTTCACATCAATATATATTTGTAAAACTAAATTTACAACTTAAAATTATAAAAAACAAACATAAATCATGCAATTCATAGCAGTCTTTAAATCAAACCTACATATTTCAGTTTTAAATATCACACATTATGTTATGCGAAAATATGCTTTATTATTATTATTATTATTTACCTAGTCTTTGTTTGAAATCAAATCAACGTTATTACTGAATATTTTTATATCATTATATAGTTATTACCAATTATTTTTTATTTATATATATCTTAAGTTTTATACAATAATAGGATTACATTTCAAAAATATATTAAAAAACATTTGTTTTCTATATATTTTAATAATTTATTTGTATGAAATAATAAATGTAAATTTAGTATATCATTAAGAATAAATAATTAATGATTTTGATTGAGGATGGTCTTGACAGTTTTACATTAAATTTAAGGGATCATACAACAAAAAAGGTTGAGAAGCACTGCCCTATAAGACCGAAATCAAAAAATAATCAAATTAAACCACAATCCTATTCCAAATAAATAATAATAAGACTACTTGAATGTAGAACCTCCATTAACAAGAAATGATAACATAATTACAAAAAAAAATAAAAAATCTCTTCAAGCCGAAAAATAAAATTTTTTAATAACATATTACTATATAGCAATAAAGTAAAATCTCAATGAAACGGACCCATATAAGACCAAAATACAAGACATTAAAATGATAATCTTGTACTTGGAAAAACTAGAAGTTTTCAACAACCACTGTTTTGAACGCTGAGTTATTGGAATTCACAATAAAAACTAGAAAGTAATCCACCCTTCTCTATTAAAAAAAAAAAACTCACAAATTATTTTCTAAATTATAAATGTTATATCTAACTTATGATAAAATAAAAATGTATGTATAATTTACTTAAAAAAATATTTTTGTTTTGAAATTATATATACATACATTAAATTTTAGTTTTTTAACAAAAATTTAATTTTCAATCTCTCAATCACGAAAAAATTTGTTGGCCTCAAATGATTTTCTAATAAGATTATAATCTATTGTATTCATTTTAATATTTTAATTAATTTTTTATATCACTTAAAACAAAAATTAATATTAATAATCAATATCATATTTATAATAGAAATAGTAATTATATTATTCTAATGTATACTTTGTCTAATATGATATCTTCTTCTAATCCACCGTCTATTAATTCAATCACTATATTTAATGCTATCTTCTCATACTTTTTTTTAAGGATATCAAGTGATTTAGATTTTCTAAAAATGAAGAGAAAACAAATCAAAATTTAACAATAATTTTAATAAGATATTTTAGTTATCTTAAAAAATTATTAGAAACTTACTGAATTTTTTTTTTTAAATTTACGTTGCGTTGTTTCAAACTTTCCATATTATTGTTATTATTATTATTAAACATCGAAATAGAACACTATCATTGTCTGTTTAAGCTTTTACTAGGTAATATTAATTAGTTTAATATGATGATATTAATTAACATAATAAGATAATAATCTTATATAAAAAAAAGTGACATTTCTTATCATACTCCAGGAGAAGTAAAGGTATCCGATAATAGAACTCAGTATGACCTTTTCTACAAAAAATCCCTATTTTTTTACATTGTCCACATTCTTGTTTCCAATTCGCTATTGGTCTTCCGTTATGACCGGTGTAGTGTAAACATTATCACTTATCATTTACTCCTTTGAATGCGAATTTCTCATATTATTATAAAATAATTTATTTTTTAAAATTAAATTTTATTTACATATAATACATATTATAATAAAATATTAATTTACATACACTAATCGAATAATCGAATAACTAGTAGTCGAAAATTAAATAATCGGATGGTTAGTACACGAAATCAATATAATCAAATGATTCATGAACTAGTTTCTGCTTGAACTAGTTGTATAAATGATCAAATGATTAACTATAAGCGAGAAATGCATTTTCAATCCAAATATTTATACGTAATATACCAATTAGTGTGGCGATTATCGATACTGGCTATAATAGCAATGATTAAAAATAAAATAATTTAATAATTCAATACTGATGGACAGTCGAATTCTTAATTTAGTAACCAATGGGCAAAAAGTAAAATTTTTCGAATAATTCATTTAATTTTCTTTTGATAAATATTTCTGGTACCATTAAATGGATTATTAAAGTCATTCGATTATTGTAAAGTGATGGAGTAACTATGACAATTTTTACGGGGGGGGGGGGGGAACTTTATTTTATGTTGATATACCGAAGACTTTTTGCACACTCTTAACCCTCCCAGTTCACGTATGACTAGCTGGTCTACTCGCATAAGTTGTTTATCTTTAATTGAAATGCACTTAATGTCAAGGGCGTATTTGAGTTGAAGCCATAGTGAGGGGGGGGGGGGGGGGGAAACACTAATTTTTCTTCAATACAATCTTAAAAATAATTTATAGTTCATTACCTACAGCTCATGTTCCTGTTATAATGATAACATATTATAAAGATAGAATAGTAATTTATATTCTTAATTATTTATACACATTTTTTAAATAAATCAATGTATTATATTTAAAAAAAATACGAACCATGGGGGGTGAATGCTCTTTTCGCTCTCCTCAAATACTTGCTTAATTTCCATAAATTCTACACAAATTGGCTGAAAACTTAAAAACTCGAATACCTATAGATTATGTGATTTTTTAAACTATGGCTGTATTTTTCCTACAAAAATACCCACCACCTGTGACTCGTCTTCCTGAAGGTGGGATGACCAACTTAACAATCGATTCCCCCGGTGCAACTAGGGTCACAGCTCCATTATAGACAGTCTAATCATTGATTATAGAATAGAATTCTATAATCAATGGTCTAATTAATCTATAAAATGTCAACACGGAACAGATAATGTTAAATCTATTCTATCGTATTAACTAATATTTATATTATTATTAAGGCCTCTAATGAAAACTATAAAATACATAAATTATAAATGTATATAATTTACTTATGCTCATTTATATAGATTGTAAATAAAGTTTTTTTTAACTGAAATAAAACAACATAAATGGTCATAAAAATATATTAATCAAGATTAATACATTACACATAATTAATAAAAATCATATTTTTTTTTTACTATCAATTATTTTCTGCTATATTTGCATTGATGAACAACATTTTATCCATTAACTCTTGATTTATTTGCGATCTTTTGATATAATACAGTGTTTGTAATTCAAGTGGTAATTTACTAGATGACCCACTGAGGGCATAAACAAAATGCTTTCTTGCAAGCCTTATTAAATTTTGACATTTTGATGACATCCGTGACCACCACAAAAGCGGACATTCTTCTAGACAAGGAGTTTGTTCAGATTCATATTGAGCAATTTCTAAATTAAGTCTATCTTCAAGTGACATATTTTCTTTATTAACAATAGGAGAACTCCTAACATTAGCAACACTTCCAAGTAGAAAACCAATACCTAAATTAACATCAAATTTTTAATTTTTAATACTTTTTTTTTGTAATTTTAAAATATGAATTATTATGATTACAAATCAATAATTTAATTATATAGGCTAACCTGATACTCTAGTTTTTTTGGGCATGTTTGTATCAATCTCAGAAGTATTTGGTTTAGCATCATACGTTACAGATCCTTCACTCTCAACCATTTTTACAAGTTCTTGTTTTATTGTCGGAAGATGCTCTTCACCTTCAATCATTGGAAAATCTTTAAATCTTGGATCTAATAATGTAGATATATGTAAAAATGTTTGTACATCGATATTATTATATCTAAAAATTAAAATAAATTATGTAAAAAATATTAAATATTAGTCTATACATTTTATTCTTACTTCCAATTAAGTTGGTTGGCAAAAGCATTTTTTAAATTAGAAGCAAGACATGAATCACTGGGTTTTGATTTTAAATGATGACTTGTTAATTGGTTGATTAAAGGTTTTAATAATGATATTAATGGTATTTTTTCTTCACTAAGAGTAGTAACAGTAACTTTCAAAGGTTCAAGAGTTGTAACTACATCTTCAATCACTGACCAATCTTTATCAGTCAATAACTCATGTGGAAAAAATCCAATATCCAAAGTACTGCATAATGTTTTTATGGTATCTTTTCGTTGAACAAAACGTTCTAAATAGTGATATGTTGTAGTCCAAATTTGAGGGTACTCTCGACTGAGAAATGAATTAAAAACTTGAACAACATTATCTTGAACAGTGACTGATGTTAAAGCATTATGATGGTGTAATTTAGCTGAGACTGTTCTGCATTTGGTTAAAACATCTAATACTTCTTCAGTTTCAAAGCATAATTTTGTACATAAATTCTATAAAAAAATTACATAGATGCTTTTAAGTAATTAGAATATATATATAAAAGTAGTCTCAATTTAAAATACGAACTTGTAGTTCATAAACAAGGCAGGGAATGAGAATAAAACCTTGAGTACGTAATGCTGCATCTAAATTATTATTTGTAAATGCTTTGATAACTGTTTTTACTTGATTAATATTAATATTCCAATTAACAAATAATGAACCCAAAATTCCACACCATTCATTAGGAGTTCTGTTAGGATTGCATAAAATTGTTGCTAGCTGTTTAATACACAGGCCTTCTTTATCCAACTATATATTATTAAAAAAAAAAATTAGTTTATATCATAAATTGTTCTCAATTTCAATTACCTGTTGAAAAAAAACACTAATTGTAATATAGTCATTTAAGCTGGAACATGTCCATTCTTCAATACCCAAAGCAAAAGTGCTACAACTGTTTGCAATACTATTAAGAACAGTAGCTCGAGTAGTTTCATAAATTCTAGGTATTATATCTTGTTCTAATTTATATTTTCCTGGGATTTCACATGGTGATCTCAATGTAGCAATTAGGCGCTGAAAACCTTTGCCTTCAACAATATCTGGTAAATGAAGATCAGTAATCACAAATTCAGTAATTGCATCAGACACAACTTTACTGATCATATCACATGACTATAAAACGAAGATTAGATTTTTAAAGTATAATTTGATTTCATAAAAATGATTCAACAATTTTAAAAATTGAAAATAAGACATATATATCATACTCACTGAATTATCAATATCTTGATAAAATACTGACATCGGAGGAGGGGTTTGTTCATTAACATTGGTAACATTTTCTCCATCAAAGTTTTCACTGATTTCTCCTTGTACATACACATCCTGTTGTTTTACCTTATTGTTAGACTTATTAATATCTACTTGGCCTTCTGATGTAGCCAACAACATAAGTTCATTTTTGACATGTCTTTTTTTAAGACTACAATCTTTTGATGAACCCATTTCCAATACCATCAATTCAGTTTTATGCCTACTTTGCAAATGTACTTTCAAATTTGTAGTATTACTTTTGTAAGCAAATTGTTTTTTACAAAGCATGCATATGATATGATCTTGTGTGAGTATAACACCAACTTCTGATGCAGGAAAACCAAAATATTTCCAATAAGGACTATGCATACGCTTTGGCACAACTAATTTTTGATAACTAACAGTTTCCACATTAGAACGATCGGGTTGTGTTTTTGTGTAAGGTCGTTTGGTTTTTCTTTTTTTGCCATCTGAAAAATAATCAATAATGAACACTTTGAAATAATATGATGAAGTAATAGTTTATATTTGTTTAGTAAAATAATCTAAATATTTAAACACTCCCATAGAATAAAAATTGTTTCATTTCAAAAAAATTCATATATAGAGCTTACTATTAGATGCTACAGTAGGAGTTTGTGATGTGGTTTGTAAGAATGGCTTTAAGTCAATTGAAATTTTATTATTTCGATTCATTACGTATTCGTACTTGCAGTTTGCCTCCAAAATTTACAATATGTTGACAATCGATAATGCGATAATTATTGTTTTTATCGAAATCAATTTTCTGGTGAGACAAAAGAAATCAACACAGGTAACACAACGGAAAAATCATAACATTCAACACTGGAGACAAACAAAAATCGATCGATGTTCCATGTTTGTATGCAAGATATCGTTTCCACACTTTAAAAATGGATGATATTTCAGTGTAGCCACATAATCAATACAGCAGAGCATGCGAATAAAATAAGATAAGATTTATCTTTAAATTATTAATAACGGACGTGTTTCTTTTTACAATGGACAAGGTAATGGTGTGTCCACCAACAAATTAAATGTTAATTTTATGATAGATTGTGTTATGAGCAGATTTTTACAATTACATTGATCTATTATTTATTTCTGATTTCTGAAACAGAATAATAACAATGCAAAATATTTATGACGAATATAATATATTATAAGTTCTGTGAGTTTATAACGTCAACTTTTATAAATATCGTGCATTTATAATGAGATATTAATACCAATATTAAGATAGTCGTCGATTATCAATAGAGTTCCCAAATTATTTCTGACACAAGCAACTAAATCAGTCCCTAACAGTCAGAAATAAATAGTTATATATGTAGATACGTTTTACTCAATTGATATTTTTATTCTTTTATTAAGAATATCTACACAAATCGTAGGATAATATAAAACGAATAGAATAAAATATTTTATAAGAACATAATAAATTGGACATATGCAAAACCATTAAGTACATTTAATAATCTAATTTAAAAAAGATTTTCATGGTTTTGAAATGATTATAATTTATAAAGGAGCAGGCACGTACACAAAAGAAAGGTTGTTTTAGATGTTCAACCGCTCTTGAAATTCAGAAAAATCATAACATGTTTTTATTGAGTAAAAGTGATATATAAATTATATAAAAATAAAAATGTTCAATTTAAAACCCTATCCAAAATATTTTTTAGTGTACAAAACTATAAACGAGTAACTACTAAATATGTTGAAGTATCTCTCAGATTATATATTATTGGTATGTACAACCATTTAACTTTCAAAATATGAATTCTATGAATAATCTCAAAAAAAAAAAAATACAATAATATTCCTTTTATTTTAAATTTAATATAATATTATAAATTAATGCAATAATTCTTGGTTTGTAATAATTATTAAAATAAATTTGAGCCTAACCTTTTACAATTCTTCATAGGAAAATCTTAGTTATACTATAATAGTATTTATAATCAATGGTTATATATTGCGAACCATAACATTGGTAGCTAATTTGAGTTTTTTTTTAAATCTTTTTACAGATGGCATTGATTCCATGGGACTCACTTTATAGTCAATTTTAAATATCATCGTATCAGGCTATACATTTAATAATCATTTTTTTAACTATTGATTAGTTACATAATTAATAAGACTAATTAATAGCTATTTAAGAAGAAATAATAACATTTATGCAAGGACAAATTTACAATAACTTGCAAAATAAAGTCCAAATATTAATAATATATTACTACTTACCTTTGTAGTAGTATGAAATAATTAATAACTAATGTAAATATTGATGATTTTTTTTTTAAGCTATATTAAATAATTAGTTATTACTATCACTTCATAATAAGATAATAACAATTTTAAAATTTTTATAACATGAATGAAAAAAATATATAGTGTACTAATGTTCTATTTAAAACCAAAAATTTGAAAACTAAATAATAATACATTAGTGCACTTTAAAACATAATTTAAGAATAAAAAAGAAATTCATTTTTTTTAAAAACAATATGGGTAAGGTATGGACTATTACTTATTTATTAATTATTTTTAAAATACTCTAATTGAAAACATAATTTATTATTTTAACATAATTTTCAGATTCAAAATACTTAAGAAAAACAAAAACTAATTTTAATATCTTTTAATATTAATTTAATCTATGTTCTTTCACTATAAAATAATTTATAAACCTTCATATAAAAATTAGAGGGATGTATATTATAACAATAATGAAACCTGTAAAATAATTATAGGTTAACATAACATTAAACATTGAATTATTATTTTAGGGTATTTTGCTAATTCAAAAAAGAAAAAAAAATTGCAATTTTACTCAGAAATAACCTCTTTATAACGTTGCATTATGAAAACTATTTCGTCTGAATGTAAAAAATACAAAATCCACAATATTATGTATAGAAATGTAAAATTAATAATTTTAAAATTCATATCGACCTTCCTTACTTCTATTAATATGATAGAAGAATATCAGAATGACAGTAATTAAATTTAAACAATAATGGTTAAATGAATAAATAACAGTCTAAATTATTATATTATTAAAACAAATATGTACAATAGGAAATGTTTGATAAATCAATGCACCTAGCATATAATAAATAAAATCCAGATGTATAAAAGAAAAAAAATACACATTAAATATAAACAACTTAGGTATACATAATAATTATTACCATTTTGTACATGATTTGTAAGACAGAACATTAAGTTAATCTTAGAATTTGTTCTGACCTGCAATTACATTGAATACAAGCAGATCTTGTGTATGCATAAAATAGTATACAGAAAATTTTGTATTAAGTGTTCATTTTAATAAACTAACAAATAATAAGACAAATATTTTATGTTTTAAAAGGAAAAGGATAATTTTTTAATATAAATAAAATATTACAAAAAAGTTTGAATCCAATCATTTTTTCTAACATTAGAAAGTCATTGTATAACCATGTATTTACTGTTTTAAATTAAAAATTAAATTTTTTTAAAACCAAAGCAGTTTAATCCATACACATATTTTAGTAATCTTATAACTTTCCTAAAATGAAATTAATAATATGACAAAAGAATATCATCTGAAATGAAAGACGACTTTTGCTATGTATTTTATTTAAACTTACTTTTAACTAGCCTTGATGTGGTTCTTGATATTATATAACACTGTAACACTGCATATTATTTTATAGCAAATTTACAAGAAATTAACAAAAATATCTATAACAAAGTAGGGTCTTCGGAAATATCAATATCAATATCCATTACTTTAAATCCATAGTCAATAAAATATTGCAATATATTTGATATGGTCATAAAGTGTTAGAACAAAAATAGATTGGTTTCTAATAAAACAATAGTTAATAGTTAATTAAATTCAAGTTTAATAAATTAATAAATTAAATAATAAAAGTGATCAGAAATTATCACAAGATCACCAATTCTAAGTAATCATTAATTTACATTATTATTTTATTACATTGTTCACTTTTGAATCCCTATATTTCCCTCCCCCCCAATATAGCTTTTTAAATTCTAGGAACACCAAGGAAAATTTTAGACTTTTAATTTCAAATTTGATTGTTATATTAAATTTACAATATTTTATTAATAACAATATTCAGCATTTTTATATTTATAAAAAAATAATTAAAAATTGTTATAAAATAACAATATATCCAATAATTTCCTTAAATTTCCAATATCCACTATAATAATGATAAATTAAAACAATAAATAGAAATTGAAATTATGATTTTAGAAAAATTCAATAGCTTGAGACAAATGATATTTATATTCAATGAAGTATTGTTGAAGACCCCTAATTCCAATAAGGAATAAACAATAACAAAATAATCATTATTCATATTTTCAACAATATTTCCATCATAATTTAGAGCCACAATGTAATATTAGTTTAAAAAAAGTAGAAAGATAATTATACATTTTATATAATTAGCTATAATTTACACTTTGTAGAACATATATCAGATGTAAATATAATCATATTTAAAAAATTACAAGAATACATATTTATGCAACAATAAATTGATTTAATAAATGCATTTTCTTCAATATAAGATTTTAATACAATAGACACTATTTGATAATCTTATACTAAGCAAGTCAAATTTTGTAGTTATAATTAAAATACCTTTATTTTTATTAATATAAATTTAATTCAGAATTAAAATGGATGTCTATTGCATTAAGATAATAACCTTTACATGACAAAAACATACAAATGATTATGATGAAAGTCCAGAAACCAAAATAATTTAAATATTAATAAAAATAGTTCAAATCCATACCAAGTCTTAATAATAAATTTTGCTGGTTAGAAATAACAATATATTTCATTATTAACTTTCTGAGTTATTTAAACTATAATAATCAATATTTAGCAAATTTTTATTTAATACATGATTTAAAGGAAACAAAATTAATGTAATTATCATTGTCAATATCTATCAGTCTTAAGTTCTAGATTAATAATTACAAAATTGCTTAGTGTCTTTTTTTTTTTTTAATTTTTTTTTTTTTTTACAAAGAATTAAAGTATAATAACGCTGAGATCTGACAGAAAACTGCATTAGTAGTTGGGACCTAAAATCTAAAATAGGGAGAGGTTAGTAACAATTTTTAAAGTAAAAAGTATATTACAATGTGAATATTTTAACTAAAATCAAACACAAATTACTCAAACTTAGTTATTAACTAACCATTAAAAAAAAAAAAAAAAAAGGTAATAAATTAATAAATTGAATTTAACCCATAACTAAGTAAATAAATAATAATATATATTATTAAATAGGTATATTCATTTGACTAAGAAAATATGTATTTTCTAAGTAATACAAATTTTAATTCACCAACCAAATAAATTAAATATACTTTAAATGAGGATAAATAATGTATAGTTAATATCAGTGATGGATCCTTTATTATACATATGACAAAAATATTATTAAGAAGTATGGTATGCAATACTGTACAAATGGAGTAAGTCGTTAAATATTCTATCATTTAATTTCTCTCAGAAAAAAAATTATTTTAAATATTTCTTATGTATGAAACAAAACAAACAATTTAATTAGTTAAATACTTTAAATATGAACATTTTGAGGTAGATAATTGTACATTATAGAATACAAGCCTAAATATTTAATTACACATTATATTAAAATAAATTATCCCAGAATGAGAATCTATTAAAATATTTTACGTATAAACAAAATTTTTCTGTAAAAATATATTTTGATATTATTATTATTTTTTACTATAATATATTTTAAGATAATTATAAATTTTTGTTTTTAGTAAATTACATCAATTAAAAAAATAAAAATCATTAGTTATCAGGCTAACCTTGTACATTATTCTAAGAAACTATTAGGAAATGTAATTTTACAAATTACATTAAACATTTAATAGGTAAATTTAAATATTTTTCAATTTTTTTTTGTATTAAATTCGTTGATTTTCTTTGAATTAAGTATTTAAACAACTATTACCTAGAACCAAATATTAAATGTCTTAATACTTCATAAAAAATATTTGACTACCATAAAAATTAAATAAATACTTATAATCAGTAAATATGCACACTAGTACACAAAAAAATGTTTAATTTTCTTTCAAGATATAATATAAATACTTTGTAACATAAATTTCATGTACAAGAATTATGTATCATCAATAAAATAATGTGCATGTGTTTTATTAATTATGTACAATAATATGTATTAATATTAAAATGTCCATGGAAATATATTAATTATTAAGATTGGCCTAAAAGGTGTGAGGCTTTAAATGTATGAAAAAATTAGACTATTGTAGTACTTGGTAGGTACCTGTATTTAAATTAATATAAAAAGTTCTGACAGCTATAATAAAACAAAATAACTTCAGCACTAGCACGATAAATAAAGAATACCAAATACCTAATAATTGGAACATAGTTTTGGTCTTGAGACCTTGAAACAAAATTATAAAAAATTTGTAAAAAAAATCAACATAACAAAAAAGTGTTGGTGGCCACTTTAGATAAAGTTGACAACTATTTAAATAACAAAAACACTTGCCATAGTATAATCAAGTTGTCCTTCCTTCATCTCCTTCATTCATAAATGAATTTTCTGATTTTAGTTTTTCTAAGGTCTTAATTTGTCGTTGCAAAAATAACACCCTAAAAACAAAAAATATAAAAATTTAAAACTGATCATTCTATAAGTAAAAGAAGAAACTCACTTGTGTTCTAATAAGGATGCTTGAACTTCAGTCAAACGAACAATAGACCGTGAATATTTGAGTTCAGCAGATACTCGTGAACAGTGTGCACTACCTAATAGATGGGCTTCTTCATTTAACTTTTGTGCCTAGAATTATATAACTATCATAATAAATATCAATTATTTATAAATGAAACATTTTAAAAATTACCTGTTTAGCTAAAATATCAGCTGGCCAAGATTTAACATGTGTTGTTAAATCATCACGTACAAAACGTGATAGCCCAGGTGAGGTTGCTGTGCCAATCTGTCTGTAGCTTATTACAGAGTTTGCTTGGGCCACTTGTTCTACATGGTTTGTTACAGGACTTCCTATTATTATTTTATATTTAGTAAATATATCCCATGTGAATATGAATATATTTAAAAAATGTAATTTAAATCAAAATCAATTTTAATATAGTTTATCAAGAAAGAATTTAAGATAAATCTGGAGTAGTCCTCATGTTTACAGGGCACCTAATTTAACCAGCCCTTTCATAATTTATTTTGAATAAATGATTAAAATATTAAGAATAGAAGAAATAGATCTGAATACAAAATTTTACTTAAATAATTTAAAGCGCAAAACTTCAACATAGCAAATAAGAATAACTAAATATTCTTACAAGTATATAGAAATACTATTAAAGCATTGTTTGGAGTGGCTTGGAAAATAGCTTGATCAAAAAAACCACACAACATAGGTGAAGAACATAATAAACCAGCTGTAATTGCAATGGTTAAAACAATATGTGAAGATGATGTTACAAAAAAGTTGGGACTTAATTCCTCTATCAAACAACACAATTAAGAGACAAATCGATAAAAAAATATTTTACAACAATTTATATATGAACTTATATTAACAAAACAATTTTCAATTCAAATTGATGAATCAGTAGATATTTAAAATAATGTACAACTAAAGGTTTTCATATGTTATCAAACTTTTAATGATTATAACAAAGAATTTTTATTTTGTAAACCTCTATAAACAACTGATTAGAGTATATTCAAAAAAGTTGATAATTCTTTTTTTAAAACTAATAATCTTAGAGTAATTGTTTTGAAGTATATGCTGATGGTGCCCTTTCTATGAGTGGAAGAAGAATTGGATTTTGTTAACGTGTGTAAGAAATTAATCCTAAAGTTATTATAATTCATTGGTTTTTACACCAAGGAAATTTAGCAACACATGCCATCCAAGGAATTATTTGTCCTTAAAGATGCAATTTCTATGGTTAATTTAATAAAATCAAGAGCTTTTAATTCCCGAATATTTAATGCAAAGAGCAATGAAATAGAGTCATTATACACATGTTTACTTTACCACTAATACCCATGTTGGCTTTCTCATGGAAAAAAAATTTAGTCTGGTTGTATCTCACTGCATACAAAAATCCATATTTTTTTCACAAAAAAAAAATACCACCTTGCCGAAAAATTATCCAACCCTGCCTGAGTAGCTAAACGAACCATTTTAAGTGACATTTTTGAATATTTAAATTAGTTAAATACAGAAATACAAGGTAAAAATTAAACACTAAATATTAAAATAACAAATGGTCAATATCGATGAGTAAATATTGTCATTTAAACTTAAATTATCACTTTGGCATGAAAAATTATCCTAAGAATAAATTGGTTCTTTTTCACTTTTAAATTAATTTTAGGAGGAATTTTTTGACCTTTTCATATAATTTAATTTTTAAAAAACGATTTTTCTATAATGAATCTTGCACAATTTTGGACCAACTCAAAAATAAACCAGGTATATTCAGACAAGCAGATAGTTTTATTACCAAATACAATAACATATATATGTGAAGCAGGATTTTCTCTGCATAAATGATAATAAAAACAAAGTATAGACAATGACTTGATCCACAACATATCAAATATGCCCTTGCAATAAAAAATTAACTAAATATTGAAAAAATAGTGGAAAGTATGCAACATCAGAATAGTCATAAATTTATTTATTTAAGAATAATTTCACTCCATTCAAAAAATGTAAGTGAATAGTAAATAGATATAATTAATTTTTTTTTTTAAATACAAATTTAAAACAATTATAAATTTGTATACCAATTTAATGCATATAAATATAAAAAACAAAATAAACTTAACAAATATTCATAGCTAGAGCTCAGATTTATATGCATTTAAAAAGTGTCAATATGATACAAACAAAATGGCTAAATATGCAATTATATGCATTATGTTACATTATAAAAGGTGTTTTTTTTTTTAAAAAAAAACCATACTTTTATATCAAATAAAATTCTAAATATGTTTTCAAAAATAAAAATAAATGATAATATCCACTGCTTTATGTTTCAAATCATATAAATCAATCTATATTTTTTAGGAAGTTTAAAAACGAGAATACAAATAAAAATACAAAAAAAATAAAAATAAATATTTTAGATTTTATAATCATTTTAAATCATTTGAAATTACCTACTTTCAAAAAACTAATAGAAAACTAAAAAAATAAAAAAAAAATAAAACAAATCTTTTAAAATAATATTTTTGAAACTTAATACCTATTATATTTATTGATGCTCTATTCGAGGCGATTACAAAATATACTGTAAATTAAAATAGTTAATTTATTAAAAACCCATTAAATATGCATGTTATATGCATTTATGAACAAATATACAACAAGCCTCAAAATATACAATATAAAATATGGTCTGATATGAATCGTGGACATTTTAAACCTCCATAGACGTGCATACACTTAGTACAAACATATAAATCCAGGCTCTATTAATAGCTTTATATCAATGAAAAATGGTATTTCTATATTTTAAGTTTTTTTTTCTTTAGTGAGATTGGTAAGCAAGTATAACTGGGTCGCATGTAAATTAATATTTAAATCTAAGGGTCACAGTGAAAATAGTTTGGGAACCGCTTTTAATAGTTCTTCTATAATAAATATTTAAAAAGACTCCCAAATGAGTCTCAAGATTTTATATTAATATATTTTAAAATATTATGAGTTTAATGTGATTTTTTTTTCCAGTAACCAAGCATTAAAAATAATTTTATGTACGATTCCAAAATGTTGAAAACACACTATTTATTATAATTTAGACATAATTTTTGTTTTTGAATAATAAATAAAATACCTTTATTAGCTTCTTGGGTATTATTAGTTTCTGTACTTGTTGGAGTAGGTGGACCTCGATCAATTACATTATTGGTTGTTGAAGATTCAACTAAATTCTGAGTTACATTGGATAAAGGAGGCGTTGTTGATCCAGCATCAACATTTGTTTTTTCACAAGGTTCACTGCTAGCTTCGACTCCTTTTGCCTAAATTAATCATAAAAAATGTAAAAAAAAATGTAAAATTAAGTGTTTATGCAAAAACCATTAGTGTTCCATTAAAGGCAACCAAAAAGTGAAATAATATTATAATGAAAAAAAAAAAATAAGTAATTTAATTCCATTGATAGAACACTATTTTCTGTTTGAATAAATACTTGGGATTGAGGAGTAGAAGAATTATGCCTCTGTGTAGGTACATTTGATAGTTGAAAAGACTTTACAGAAGTAGGAGTACTGTCGCCACTGCATAATTCCATATCTTGTGTTTGAGAAGAATCGCCTAATTATATTCATAATAACATAATAAATTTAATTTCTTTAAATATAATACTTATTATAAGGCATAAGAATTAAATTTATAAAAAAGTTTTTTCTCTTAAAAATCACTGTATTCTTATGGGCTAATCACAATTTTATAATGTGTGGCTAAATGTTAATACATTTATTTAAATTGTGAAAATAGATTTCTAAAAATAAAAAATATTGTTAATAGTTTTAATCAGATTAGATAAGAATGCTTTATTTTTAAAAATATATTTTTTTATTTTTTTAGCAGAAAACTTAATTTATAACATAATCTACTACTAGTTAGAAAATATATAAATAAATTTTTAGTATATTTTTTAAAATTTATAATATAGAGGTGATAATTATTTCATAGCAGTTTCTAAAGATAAACAGGAATAAACATTTATTAAGTACCTATCGATTACTTAATAAGTAAATTTAATAATTTAATTAAATCAGATTACTTTAAGAGCTTACTAACTTAGATCTTTTTGCAAGTAGTTTGATTAGAAAAAAAAATATGTACATGAAACAAAACAATTTCTGATTAAAATGTTATTTTATAGCAAATTAAGAGATGAGAATTAAAGCTAAAAATAAAAATTATTAAATAAAATTAGTATTGAAAGTTATGCAAAGTTCATATAGAGATGATAAAATTAAAACATTTAAGAACTATAATTTTTTTCCAACAAATTGATGATTTTAAAAACAAAGTTGAGTCTTAAGCAGAGTCTGTTAACATCACAAGGTTTTGGTTTTGTTGTTGTTTTGGTGAACATTGCCACCATGCATAGACAATATTTTGAAAATAAACAACAGATAATAATTTTCGGGATTACATAAATAGAACCAGTATAATGACTTATATAAATATATTTGTTTTTTTGTAATTATAAATTAACTATCAATTTTATTTAGTATAAATTGGTCAATTGTATGAATGATGTATTTTTGAAATGTTTGACAAATGTTTTTGATTTAAATTTTTTAAGATATTATTTATATTTCTTTATATACATAATATATATATATATATAATTTATCTTTACATGTTATACTTTCAATAAACAAGAAAAAGGCATAATTATAAAACTAGGAATGAATCTGGAGGTGGGACAGAATTATAACAAATTGCCTGAATTTTATTCATTTTTTTTACAAAACTAGGAATGGACATGTTTGGTTTTTTCAAAATAAAAAGTTGAGTATGTGTTTCTGTGTAGTCTATAAGGACCCAGTATTATAATTATAATATAATAAATATATGCAGTTACTTAAGGCTGACTTAAATGTATTTAAAATAAACCTCAAGAAGTACATATAGATGATATAATAAATGTTAAATATATACATTTTTAACTTACAGGAATTAATTATAGTTGGCACATCTTGTTCAAGCCTGTCTATATTACATTCTGACACATGATGAGATTGAGAAACATTTATTGGAAGATTATTACTTCGCATTTGGTTCCAATAAGCATCTTTTTGGTGATGAGTTTGTCTACTAGTACAATTAGCTTGTTGTTGAGAGGATTGTTGTGGAACTTTGTTCACATGATTGCTCATTGATGATGATCTCATCATAGAGTTATTGGAATGTTTGTCTATACCACAACATATTCACATTGTAAGATAAATTAATTTAATGGATACTAAATTATAATTGTAATTCAAACCATGGTGGTATTGCGTTCGAGAAGGTTGAGATGCAGGATAAGCTTCTAACCATTCTCTTGGCTGATCCCATTGTGACACTTCAGTTTTACAATTATAATAGTATTTCTTGCCTGAAGAACTTGTATGTTCGGACCAATCACCAACTTTTGTGACGGATGAACTTCCACCAGAACGGGATTCACGGTTATTACTACTGCTGCTGCTACTCTAAATACAAAAAAAAAAAAAAAAAAAATGTAACTAAAAATACCATAAATAAAAGAATATCATCTTAACTTTAGATGCCAACTATTCACTAAAATGCATGAAACATAATAAAGTGCTATGCTTTTTTTGTATTATTTTATTTTTCAATTAATATATTAAGTAGGCATGGCCGATACCACCTTTTACCAATACCCAATATACCGATACCCGATATTATAATCATTAGTAGTTTTTGCGGTATCAGTTTTGAAAATAAACCAATACCGATATTTCCGATACCACCAATATCGGCTGATACCAAGAATCGGTTCTAGGATCGGCCCACCCCTAATATTAAGTAACTATAACTTCAAATATGGGTTTTATATAAGCCATAATATATTTTTAATATTGAACAATATATAATTCTTACTTAGAAACCCATATAAGTTGATTGTTTCTTATAAACAAACATAAACGAATAGGAATAAAAGTAACAAAAATGAAGATAAAATTATTAAGTCATTGTAAAAATTTCCAGAATAGTTAAATTTGTGCATTTTTTATATTTTTGTGTGTTAAAGAATGAAGAACCAACTTATTATAAACGGAACTAATTTTAGATTAATTTATATATTTTATATTTAATATTTACTTGACAAGAGCTATGAACTACTTTACGTTGACCAGATTCTCTTGAATCTCTGGAATCCCTGGAATTTGACCATTTTACTGAATGAACAACCATTTTCTATAATATAGACATTTATTATAAAAAAATTATAGTCAATCATCATTCAAATATTAAATTACTTCTGGACTAATCCTGTCATGGTTTGTCCTATATTCATCTCTACTTCGTCTATCCTTTGGAGACCTACTATAATCTGAAAATGAAATAAAAAAAGTATACATTAGTAGTTAAATTATACAATTTCATTATAGTGTATAATTTAATATATCAATATTAACCAATGGAAATTAATTTACACAAGATAAAACAAGAATTTCACGTCTGAGATGGGAGGATGTAGTAAGAAATTATGTGAAAGTGTTAGAAGGAGTTGACTGGAGAATACAGGCAGCGGATAGAAAATTGGAGGCAAGGATGTATGTCGGATTAATCTTAGTGGCCGAGTTTACTGAAGAAGAAGAAGAATAATAAAAAAAACAAGATAAATACAATCTTATGAACTTAAAAGAATATATTTTTAATCAATCACAGAAATATAAGCAAATTTTTTTTTAGGCAATTTTCTGTATACATTTACTCAAGAAATATTTCAAATGACAAATAATAATCAAATTGAATCAATTAATATAAAATAAATAATAAAGATTTTAAGAATATAGATATTAATTAAGATTAAATATTTATTTAGAAACTATCTCAATGTATGAGACACACAATTTTAAGATTCATAATTAATCATAATCTGTGCTTAATCTATCCTTCTTTTATTGAAAATGAAGTTGTATGTTTAAAGTTTTATAAATAAAATTTTAAAAAAAACATACCAGAATATTTATCACTATTTCTAGATTTATAGTCTCGAGAATCTCTCTCCTTATCTCTGTGACTTTTTTGGGAGTGATATGAACTTTTACTAGAATATGATCGATCTCTTGATGGGCTCCCTCTTCCAGGACTTGCATATGAGGTACCATTACCTCTAACACTTCCATATTTTTGATCACTACTTGAATTTTTTGACACTAAATATTTGGAATTCTGTAATATAAATATTAGTATTTAATATATAACAAATACTACATAAAATAATTATGAATGAACAAAAACATTATCATACACAATTATTTATACTTATTTTTTTAAATGTAAACAAATTATAAGCATTACAATTATATCATAAATAAGTAATATTTTAATAGTACAATTTTATTAATATTACAATTACATTAAAAAAAAGTAAACAATTTTAAATTAAAGTATCAGCAGTAACTTTATTATTTAACAAAATTTGTCTCAAATGATATAAAAAATGATTTCAAACTTAAATGTAAGTAAGACAACTCTAAAAATATATAATTCAATTTTTAAATTCATTATTGTGGCAACTGATTTTAAAAAGTTAAAAAAATAAAATAATTACAAGCTCTAAGAAATTAATTATCATAAGAAATACTTTCTAAAAAGCCAATAATTTATAAACTATATCCTTTAACATAATTAGAAATGCATTTACTAAATATTAAATCATAGCATTAATAATACATATGATTTATTATAATATTTATATGGAATTATATCATAAATGTAAAAATGTATTTATCACAGTTTGGTAATTTCATTTTGATTTAAACTTAATATGCAAAAAAAAAAAAATAAATAAAAAAATAATTTTATATTCGGAATATTCTTTATTTCAATACCAAAATATACTTTCAAATGTTTACATCATACAAATATGAGTTTTGAATTTCCAGAAATTATTATCAAAAAAATGATTTTTGAAGAAATTAAATATTAAAATAAATTGCAATACTTTAAGCTGTTGGTAGAGATAACTTTTTTTATAAAAAAAATTAATTAATTTCATTTAACTTAGGAAGCTTGTAATTATTAAATAAAATAAAATCTTAATAAAATTTGTATTTATGTTATTTAACTCTTTAATTACTTTTATGACATAAATATATCATTAATATATTATAACTTATAAAATAAAATAATACTATTAACGAAAATACTATAAACCAAAAGTTTTAACATTTAATTTTTATAGTATCCAATATTTTAAAGGACATAGTTGTATACCAATATAATTATCATAATATACAATATTTACCTGATACTGATGGGACGGGTTCTTGTCATAATACCTGAAATGAAAGTCCAATGTTAACATTAAAGTCGATATTTAAATAATAAAGAATTACGTTACATACGTAATTTTTAAGTAGGCCTTACCCATCACTAATCCTTTGAAGTTTCCTCGCATGCATTACCATCAATGCCGATTATCTTAAAAAATTTACCGCCCGGCAATGGAATTTATCGTAAACGATAAATATAGGCGGACGTGTCAGTGGTTTTTGGGCTTCATTTGACGTAAGAATATTAAACGAGAGCAGACGCCATCAAATGGGACCAATAGCAAAATGTAATAAAATGGAGTGAAAAGGAAAAAACATTTAGATGGAGTGAAGATGCTGTCAGGAGAGTGGAGGGGGCTTGTCATCCATCGGGAAGGTACGTAAGGCCATTGGTTGGTTGTATAAACAGCTGACTTATATTTACAGTGCAAACAATAAATAATGAAATAATAAACTATAATAATTAGTATAATTATTATTTTACTTTAGATTTCAGATTAAGGAGAAATTGAATTTAAATAATTTCATAAATTTTAATTCGATCATTTCCAAAATTAAAATTAAAATATTGACGATATCAAATTTATGATTATTATCGTTCAGTTTGCAACCATGCTATACTTTTGTAATTTTTGTTTATGCAAAATTCGTCCTTGAAAAAATGGCATTCATTTGATTAAAATAGTAAATAAATATTCATAAAATTGAATTTAATGTTTTGGTAAATTTAACAAAATATTATTATTGATCAGTAGTTTTACTGTTTATTGTATTGGTCAACATTTATTATAAAAAATATGGTAGATGTACCAGTTCAAGATATGATAAAAAATTCATTTTCATTACATAACAAGAATGGCTACAAATCCGGAAAAACGTAATTCTATTAATTATAATTATATCAATGAATATACATTATTAAATGATTAAATCTAATTTTTATTCCATCAGGTACAATTTATTCAATTATTTTTCGAATATTGAAGATTCACATTCAAAATATCTTCATTATCAAATAACTAAACCATTATCTGTTCAAGTAAGAATGTTATAGAAAATTGGTATTATGCTTTTCATAGATGTTAATTAATCATATTTATTTCAAATTTCAATAAATACGTATTTGAATATAGGAATTTTGATTAAGTTTTTTAAGAAATAATTTTTAGAGAATTTTCAGAGACCAAAAATGAGCGTATAGGTGCTAGCGTTCATTGTCTTATTTTGAGAGATGGAATATATTTAAAATCATTATGATTGTTATTATTATTGTGACTTATAATTGTTAATATTAGTTTTATTACAAGTTGTATGATAATATTTCTGGAAGTTCTACAAATATTTTGTTTACAATTATTTCATAGACCATTAACTAGAATATATATTTAAAATGGTATTATATCAAAGACTTGAGATTGTTATTGCTGATTCGAAAAATAAGTTTTTGATTATTTTTGTACATAAATATGTGCACATTCATTATATCCTAGTATTTTGAGTACTGAATTTTCATGGGCACTTTTAAAGACAAGTGGTGAACACAAAATTACATTCCTTGGTATTATATTATTATTTAATTTATAAGATCTCTGATTTTTCAGAGATTTTAAAACCTAGGATTAAGTGCAGTTAGATGAAATGGAAAGAAGTATTGGGCGTTTCATACGATAAGAAAATTCTAATGAGGCTAAGGCTGAAAAGTAAATTTTACAGAAGTGTTGTGAAACTAAATATATATATTATATGGTTCAGAATGTTGGGCAATCGACAGGAGAATAGAACACTGTATGAGTGTTGTGCAAATGAAAATGCTTAGATGGATGAGTGGTGTGACAAGATAAGATGTTCTAGGCAAAGCAACTGAACTAGCTGGAGTATGTGTTCGACGCCACTGATGTGAGAGATAGTATTAATGTAGCATCTATAGTGGACAAGATGATAGGAAGCAAATGCAGTCACAGTTATGATAGTGAAAATTAAAGAGAAAAATGGTAGAAGACCAAAAAAGTGATGGTTGGATATGAATGAGAATGATATGAGGGCCTTTGGTGTGTGTGTAGGGGATATAAAAAATCGAGACGAGTGGAGGTTTCAGACAAGAGTGACTGACCCCTAATAGTTGGAAGAAAAACTAAGAAGAAGAAGTATAAAATTTCTAATTTTTAAAGTAATTTTGTTAAAGTCGAAAATATTTTAAAAATGTATTATTTTTATAATAAAACTCCATGATTAATAATCTAACCTTAACCAAATAATAATTGTAACTGTAAAATTTGATATTAACAAACAGTTAATATCATTGTACGTGATCTTTTGTTTGGATTCTCATTTTACTATTAGTTATACATAAGAGGGACGGATATCATAATTCATTGTTCTTTTTGAAAGTTAATCCTTAGTAAAGCACTTAAGGTAAAAGTATACCCCAACTGTTTTGATCATATAATAAACAAATATAAATGTTTCTTCTAGCTTTCTTAAAGTAAACTATTTAATTAAGACAATAATTTTCACATCATATCTTTTTACATTTCAGTTTTTCAGATAGGCTTTTCACATCAAATGTTTATACCATGTTTATGTTTGATATTTAATTGTTTTCTATTTATTTTCAATAATAATAATTCTTTTTATTTTTTTTACTATTTTTCATAATAAATAAACCTTTTATAACTGAAATACATTAATCCCAAGTGAGTAAATATCTTGTTAATATTAAAAATATACATTTCTAAGGATTAAGGGATAGTTTATAGAACTTTCAAATGTGTTAAAATATTCTTTCGATGATAATTCTAAGAATATATGTAATAGAATTTTAACAAATAACCACTATACCAACAAATAATATCTGTACAATTTTACGTCCAATTATATCAAATTTAAAGTATTGTATGATTTTACTAAAATTAAATTTCCTCATATAATTTTTATTTATTTATTATGTCCCAATCAGCTTTTTACAAAAAAAAAAAAAAAAATTTGTTTAATTATGAATAAATATTTTACCAATTTTTAGTATCTTTTATAAGGTTTATTTTTAACTTATTTTTTATTTTTTATGTTGCCTTATAATTATTTTATATTAATCAATTATGTGTAAACTATTTTGGTTTCCTATTTTTACATAAAATGTAGAATTTTCATTATTATGAATCTATTGACTTTTGTAAATATGTTAAATCATTTTAATTATGTATCAATTTTACTGTAGGATTCAATATTAACACAGAAGTCAAGTCCAACGCCTGTTAGATTTAGCCCTCGTATGGGTTCTAATGCTATTAATTATGCACGTTCATCTGCAACTAATCGTGTATTAATTACACCTAATATGTCACCAATTAGCAGCTCTAATGTTGATCAATCTATTTCAAAAATCAATGCAATGTTCCCTACAGCTTCAGAATCCCATATTAAAGATTTATTGAACAAGTAATACAATATTTTATTTATATTATATCTATTCAAACTATGCATAACATGTTAATTTATTGTAAAACTGTTTTAGATATCATAACAGAGAAGCTGTTGTTATTAGTGCTTTGCAAGTAGAAAAACATCCAATTGCAACTCCAGGTCCCTATACTCCACCATCAGTTAGTCGTCATTACATGTTACAGGCTAATTCATCACCTGTGGTTAGCCCTCAACCTAAACCATCACATTATTCACCCAAGATGAAGTTGAGGTAATATTTTTTTTTTTTTATGTTAAAGATGTAATAGAAATTTATGATTTAATATTATCAAATAAATATATGCATATATTTATATGTATATGAATAGTAATTAAAGATATTATTGAATGTATTTATCCTAAATTTTTCATAGTTTGTAACATTGAAAATATATGTGTTTAATTCTTAATTTTCTTGAACAATATTTACTGTTGATAAATGTTTAAAATTTCTTAAAAAAAATATGATTCACAATTATAAATATTTATAAATGTACTTAATGTATGTAATTGTTTATTTTTGAAAGTAGATGTTGAAATGAATGTGTAGAACCATGCCTATAATATCCCTTAATTGAATTGATTTTTTTTTTTTTTTTTTAATGTATCAACTACTAGTATTTATTATTTATAAATAAAGGTGTGTGTGTGTGTGTATTTTATAAATTTAAATAATATATAAACAAACCTGAATTTGATGTGATTGTTGTGAGCATTTAATTTTGAATTTTTTTGCCTTTATTTTATTTTTTATTTTTTATTTTTATTTTTAGCATGTATTGTTTCAGTATATTTAGTTAAATTGATAATTGTCTAATGTAATTAGACAATAGAAAATATTTTTTGTTGGCGAAATTTTACAATGATGGATATATATTTTAGCATGATCAGTGAGTATCTTATTCTTATCTAAAATTATTATGAATATACATTTTTCATGTTATTAACTTAAAAAAAAATAAAAAAAACTTTTATATATGTTTATCTAGATATCTGAAAAGTGTATTTCCTGTAGTAGAAGAAACTGTTCTACTAGATACATTATGTAGTGCTGATAATAATGTTAATCAAGCCACTGAAACTTTGTTGACTATGGGGTTCAATAAGCAACATAATATTACTAACATAGTGCCCAGATTACCTAGAGTTACATTAACTAATAGTGAAAATGATTATGATGAAGACGATATGTTTTGGTTAAGAAGAAAAGCTTGTAATAATTTTGATAAATCGAAATCTACTTGTTCATCATGGCCAATTTCATCTGTTGTAATAACAACACCAACTAAGAAGATAAATGCAGATGAACAAAAAAAAAGTAAAAAAAAAAAAGATAAACTAAATATAATAATCATTATTAGTAATCTATTTTTTTTTTTTTTTCTTTTTAGTTCAAGAAAGATTACATAAAAAATTTGATGATCAAGAAGAAAAAATTATAATTTTTGCCTTAGAAAGTACTGATTATAATGAAATTTTGGCTGATCAAATTCTGAAGAACTATTTAGATAACGAATTTAAAATAACCAAAGATGAAAATGATGGGTAATATATAAAACAAATATTTTAATATTTTATTAATTGAAGTTATGGTTTTAAGGTTTATAGTACAAACAAAACTTAATGCTAACTTGATGGCAAATGTCTATGTACTAATACTATTATAATTGTATAAACTATCTTAGACTGATCAATTTGTACTCCTTTGCTTAAATTAATTTTTTGAATTCAATACTACATTAACTTATAATGTATTTGAACAATACACCAATTTCAGTAATTATTCCTAGCACTACTGTAGACTTATGTCTTTTTTTCTATTTATATTTTATTAATAAATGTGCATTATAAGTTCAATTTTGGAATTTAATCAATACCGCCGTTTTAAACTGTCAATTTTATATCATTCTTTTTCCTTTTAGTTATATTTTGTAAAGGATTTTAATCTGTTAAATTAAGCTAATGTTTATTCATTTTTGCTTTAAAATAAATATAGTAAATTAGATATGTACATTATTCTTATTTTTCCACTTTATATGTAATAGAAACTTCTTTATGTTCAACTTCCTCCTGCGAATTAAAAAAAATGTATGACCATAAAGAACATTATTAATAGGGCTCGGAATTTAACGCACTTAAAAATTACTAAATGCACTTATGCGCTTAAAAAAGAACAAATATGCTTTAAAAATATGCACTTAATTTTTTTTTTTTAATGCAAATATTTTCATAAATAAAGATATTTTACTAAATAGACTTGTACATAACAACACTACAAATGTTATTATTATATTATACTTAGATAAACATAATTTCTAAGTATAAATATATAAGATAAAATAAAATAAAATAAATAGCTTGAAATTTGAAATTTTCTTTCAAATTGTTCCCAATAAATTATATATCTATCTGTAAATCATAAATATAAATTAGAAAAAACATTTTGAATCTAATTCATAAGTAAAAAATATATTTTGTTTTTATATATTGTTTTTTTTATATATAGTCAATGTGAATGGAATTTGAAATGTGTATCTCACATAAAATAGATTTCTTAAATAAGGATTCAGGAGGGGGTGATCACTCCCTTCACCCCCTCACCCTAAAATATGCTCATGTGTCTACCTGTAGTGTTCTAAAACAGCACATACGATAGACCGAAATTAATTTGTTTCGGGAATACTAACACCGGACCACGACGGAAATGTGCAGAGATTCGGGCGACGCAGACCGCCCAGCACATAACTTGCTCCTGGGATCCTGGTACAAATACGCCCACTTCCTCCCACTGAACACAATGTAATAATAATTACAACATATATATAATTGTTATGTATAAAATATGTAATACATTTTACCTGCAAAACTTGCTTTGAACCACTAAATATTTTTTAATATTTTCAAAAGTTAAGGGGTCGCCGATTATCCAATTAATGCAATCAACAATAATCATTAGTTTGTTACGATTAAATATAAATAAAACTGGATATTTTGTGTCAACCTGGGATTTGAGAATCATGATAGGTACAGAATCTTATGAAAACTTTCAAAATAAATATTTTATTATTGATAACAAATTTTACTATCAATTCATCAGTAATCATCAAATATGCTCTAAAAAATAGCAATATTAAGAAATATCCACTTTAAATTGCTAAACCACTAAATATGCCAAAATATGCATTATACATTTTTAATATGTTTTTTGTTGTGCCATGAAAATAAGTTCAAGCTTACTTAGTAATAAATTTATTAGCCCAATAAAAACATGTAAATGCAACATCTTCCGAGCCCTAATTATTAGATTACTTTATAAATATTATATATTAGTATATACTATATATATTTTTGGTATTTATTTTAGTATTTTCAAAAATGAAAACTGTTCTAAAGAAGTAACTGATAATAGTATTATATTATGCAAAAATAATACTAATGATACTAATGACTCAAAAACTGTCACTGAAAATTCTTACTGGTAAGAAAATGGTATTTTGTACTATAATTTTAGAACCCATACTTAGCAAATAAACATATCACAATATACATTAATTTAACTTTGGAATAAGTATATTTAATATTAGGCTTCTTCAACTATATATTTAGAGTATCGATATTGTTTGATTTTCCACGATTTCGAAAAAAAATTATTTATATTCCAATTTAAAAGTATCTATATTACTTTGGGTATTAGTTTATAATTAACCATTATTAATAATTATAAATTAATCCATTCATTTTAAGAAAACAATAACAATGTTAACAAATTAAATTAAATTTAAGTCATAAACAATGCTAACATAACATTAACTGATTTCAGTATAAATACTACTATTTACTTCTTTGTGTCACTGATAAAATTAATTAGTGGCGTACATTCAATTTTGTTCTGGGGGAATTTAACAAAAATAATCGTTAATTTGTTTTTTCATTTCACAGATAAATAACTGCTATAAATAGATATTATTTTATATAACTTTTTTACTAATTTACAGTTTACTTTTACATTACATTAAATTAAAAATTATTTAATTATTATAATATTTATATAGTTGTATATTTTAAGTTCAAAGCGTAATAATGAAACTACGAATATATTACACGTCATTAATAATAAAAAAATTTCTTTTTTTTTGGCCCTGGGGAGGGTTGAACCCGGAAACCACCCCGTATGTACGTCACTGAAATTAATTATTTTTCTGTTGTCCTGTACTATTCTTAACCTAATTTTAATATAAATATAACCCATGAATTGACAATATATTATTTATTATAATATTCAAAAGTGAAAAGTATATTCCATTATCGAAATATTTAGAATATTGATATCGTTGAAGAAGTCTATTATTAATGGCATTTAAATTTATAAACTAAATCAGTATTCAGTCATTATCAAGGCTTGTGACTTTAAGCATTTGCACATTAGTTGTGAAAATGCATATTGAAATTCTGATTAGATACAAATTTGATTGTATGCAGATTACATATATAAACATTATGTTGCAGAAGATTTCATATTTAGTTATTTTTTTTTATGAATTCGCATATTTTAGGTTTACTTATATACTATTATAACTTATATGCATGTTTCATAGATTTAATGAAACTTTTATTACAAATTTATAGTTTAACAAAAAGTATTAGATACATGACAACTAAAATTCTACATTTTATATAATTTGAAAAAATTAATTCATTGATGGCTATTTTATTATTGCTCTCAATTCACTTTGATGATATTATAATCTATTGTACTAGTGAACGCCGACTAATTAATTTTTAACTAAATTTACCAAAGTATTATTATTAGTGGTTGGATTTTAATGCCTTAAAAAGTACTTTAAAATGCCTTAGAAAAAATGCAATTATGACCTAAAAAATGTAATTAATGTAAAAATACGGACATTATTTTCATATTTTTCTTTGAGGGGATTGCAACCATGATTTTCTTTCTCTTTCTATCACACGTGCAATATGGGAATTTAGACGTGTTTTATTTCCAACGTACCGATTATATATACCGACATAGATTGATCTATTGATTCGATAAGGATTTTGAAAACTGATTTAAATTCGTCATAATGGCGAATTCTTTAGATCGACTTTCCCACTTTTTTGATTTAGTCTTCCGAAATTTCACAAAATCGGATTACACAAATTGGAAACATAAAAATTAATTTTTTGGTATGTTTAGTACAAAATGCAAAAAATATGAGAAAGTCGAAAAGTCGATCTAAAGAAAACTTTACGACAAATTCAAATCAGTTTTCAAAATCTTTATAGCCTTAATAGATTGATCGATATGTTGGTAATAGAAAACGTCTAAATCCCTATATTACGCGTGCGATTGAAAGAAAGAAAATCATGGCTTGCTATCGAAGAAAAATATTGAATACTAAACAATTTTTTAATTTTTTCCAAAAATGCTAAATTTTTTAAAAAAAAAGTGTAAAAGTAGTGAAAATACCAAGAATGAAGGAAATACGACAAAAAATGTAAAATAAAAATTGAATTGTATGAATCTACACCACTTGTGACATTTTTACCAAATTGAGTATTACGTAAGAATATAGAAGAATATAGAAAAAAATAATACATTTTGCATTGAAATCCGCGCTAATTAATATTGTACCATGATATAAAATGATTGTTGTTAATGGTTTTACTCTAGATCAGCAGTTTTTAACCTGTGGTCTGTGGCCCTCTAGGAGTCCGCTATACTCATGTCGGGGGTCCTCGACAACCTTAAAGCAACATACGTCAATACGTGACATGATATTATAATATATTTTTCTTTCATATATTTTTTATCATATAAAAGATAGATCTTATAAACAATGCTCAAAAACTCGTGTTTCAAGTATAACACCAACCATCGCATTAAGTAAATGAAAATTAAACTCTAAGAATATTAAAAAAAAATTTAATTAAAATCAACTGAAAAATTAAGTGTGATCAAAATAATTGTAAATATGTATGTTTTGTTATGTTTACTAATATAATTTATTATATAAAATAATTATTATTATTTTGGTTTTAATAACATGAGATGTTTTGTAATAAAAATTGGTAAGGGGGTCCACAATTTCTAAAAATCATTCATCAGGAGTCTGTGATCCACGATAGGTTAAGAACTGCTGCTCTAGATAGTTAAAGTTTTATGAAGATTGTATAGTTTTTATAGCAAAAAGACACAACAATGTACAAGTATTCAATGGTTTTTTTTTTTTTTTTTTTAATTTCATTTTTATTATTTTTCTCATGCCCAATTTGTTAACTGTATTTTATTCAACAAACTGCAGATTTTTGCATATTTTCCAAATTCTTACTGCATATTATGATGTTTGTTTTTAACACATATTTGAGTGCGTACTTTTTAGCCCATAAATTTCCATGCTTTTGTCATAATATATATTTATTATTTACTAAAATTATGTATAAGGTGACATATGCTTAGCAACATCCAATTATATATATAATTATTGATATTTTACAATTAACAGTTTTAACCTATATTAATTTGATTTGGTTAAGATACATATTGTATTCTATACTATTTACAATAACCAGTAATATTTTATTTTAAATATAATATTCATTGTCTTACTTTTAATAGAAAATTATTTACTTTTATTGGTTTTAGTGAAATGAATGTTGATGGTCAGACAACCATGTCTAATAGTACAAAAATAAGTTTGGCTAAAGGTCCAAACAAAGACCTTTTAAGGTGAGTTGATAGTAAATTAATATCAATATTTAATAATATATTGTAAGTAATTTTTGTTTTAGCAAAAAGATATCTCAGAAATATGACTTAACAGAAAAAAATAAAGCCAAAGGACCAAATAAATCATTTTTTAGTAGAATTCATTCCTTAGCAAAAGGACCAAATAGCGAATTGAAAAAAGGACCTTCTAAAGGATTAGCCAAGGGAAGTATTTTTCAACGATTATTCAAGAAATAATTCATGTCATCCATATTTTATAAGTATATATTAATTCTTAATTGATTATTTTAGATTATTTATGAGTGTATTCATTTAAATTGTAAGCAATCATTAATTGAGACTACAATAATATTCTTTTGTTACTGTGTTGATAAATTATTAGATAGATTATGTTTATTTATTTGAATTATAATACAATTTTCTTGATGTAGAAACTGTATAATATATTTCTTATTACTGTTATTTTTATATTTAATTTAAGAAAACAATATCAGTATCTTAATAACATTAGTATTAATAAATTCTCTTTTGATAATATTTGAGATTAAAAATTCCATTACAATAATAATTCTAAACTATGTCTTACTAAATAACTAATATTGTTTAATGAAAATTTGTTTAAATATCCCGATTCGTCAGCATTTCATTTTGTAATGCATATAAATTATTTTTTGTGATTTCACAGTTTTTAATATTTTTTCTAATAATCATATGAAAAATTGTAATTTTATGAATTTTCGATAAAAATAATGTAGCCAATTTTATGTATTTTATTTTTTCTTATCAAAAAGAAGTAATTAAATGGTCTTATTTTCGTTTTAATGAGTAATTGAAAGGACGCCTCTCAGTTTTTTGGTGAGTGGGTGAGTATCAACAAAATATACTTGCTTCTGAAAATTTTTGAGTTCGCCACTCCACTGTATGTATGAGGAACTTTGTATTACATTTTCAAGACTTTTTATCAAACCACAATAATGTTAATTATTTGAAAAACTGTTGAGAAATTAAAAAAAATGACCCTCCTAAAGTATTAACTAGAACCAGAGTTGGGCATTATTTGAATAAAAAATTATTCTTCATTGATTTATTCTTATTTTTATTTATTATTTTAATTTGTATTATTATTCGTTACTCATTATTGAGAGATTTTTATTTACTATATTTTATTCATTATTTAGTTATTCGTTATTCATTATTCGTTATTCCCTATAATCATATAAATAATACATTTAAATCCAAAATAACGATGTATAGTGATAATATACTTATTATTTAGACTTAAATAATATATATAAAGGTAATACATATTAATATATATAATAATTGACAAAAATAAATTAATTATACTTTTATATTTAATATCATTATTTATTTAATATTATTCATGATTTTAACGAATAAATTTATTCTGAATAATTGTTTTATTAACAAATAAAACTATTCAGAATAATTTTATTCTTTATTCATAAATAAATTAGTTATTCAGGCTTTTATTTTTTATTCATTATTTTGATTTGTTTTTGCCCAACTCTGACTAGAACCCATTTCCTACATTTTAATTGGTGAAGATAAATCCTGGTCAAATATATAGACAAAAACATATGATAAAACCAATGCACCAAGCATAAATAAATTTTCATACTCTTCAATTGTATTTTCATTTTTCACATTTTAATTAAAAAAATAACACAAATACCGATTATGTCTAAATTGCTCGAACTTGAGTAATTTGAAATGACTGATCGGTGAAAATTAAAATTTTATAATTTTGTAACGTTTGACTCTCCTCTATGTGTCGGATTGTCAAGGTATACGTATATATATATATATATATATATATATTTCCAAGTATATTAGACAGTGTTTTTATATAAATAGATGATAATAATATTTATTTTTATTTTTTATAAATAAAATTACAAATATGACACAAACATATATAGCATTTATATGAAGATATATTACTGATTAATTTAGTTTTAAATATGTTGAATGATTGATGGAGAACAGTTCCTCCCAAACCGCAAGAGCTGTTTGGCTTGTTCGCGGCAAAAGTGGCGGGCGGCTGAACCAGTGGTGGGATGTCCTGAATTGAGTTGGTAATATAAAAAAAATAAAACACAACTGGCAGCGGCACTGTGGATGGCGGCTAATATTCTAATTGCTAGGGAAGTTGACGACGTCACAGTTGATGAAGCTTAACTGGCAAGTTGTCAGTTTACTTAACTACGGGGAACTATGTAACATACAGTGAAATACAACGAATTATATTCTATATGCATAGTACCCATAAAAGTTCATCTGAACAACTGCGAGAGAGGTGATTTTGAGTTTATTCGGCCGGGTATTTAAGCGTGTCAGATCTGGATTTGTATAGCAGAGTGTAGATTAGCGATGTTTTTGGTTTTTCTTAGTTTTCTTTTAAATTGAAGATGTATTGTGACGCGGAGTAGTTTCGAGAAGTGCTTACAGATATATATTGATGATTTTTTAGCAGTGGAGATCACGAAATTAATTTGATAGATTAGAAAATGTAAAAGGAAGTTCGGAAAGAAAATCGTTAGTGAAAAAAGAGCGCTCTATATTGGGTATTAAATGACGCGAAAGGTACGACGCGCCGCGCATATCAAAGAGAGCGGGTTCGTTGGTGTCAGTTGCATAATTGGACACCACTAGGTGGCGACACATACGTGGTTCACGCTACAATTTTAAAATTAACTTGTTTGGTGTGGGCAGGAAAAATGAAACACAAACCATATGTTTGGACTTACTTTGTTCCCTAAATGTTCAATTTTAACTAAACTCTGTATGGACATTTTTTTTGTGTTTTGTTATTTCAAAATAGTTGAATTTTTAGTTTGTTTTGTTTCTGTATCATGTCTATGAGGATGTGGCAACATTTCCAAGTGCGGTTATAGTCTGTACAATAAATATATGAATACTTTCTGTGTAATAATATTTATGATCATACAAACAATATTTGAGCCTATATTTTAAAAATTGATCAATCAATTATGAGACACTATATTTTACTTTGAACATATGAAAAATATTATCATAAAGGTAGATTTTTGAATTTTTATTTTCTAAAAATGTATTATTAATTATGAAAACATAAAATTATTAATACTCTTCCTTTAATTTCAACTCATTATTTTCAGTAACAATAAACCTAGGAAAAAAATTTATTTTATCTTCATCAAGTTTTTCTACATCAAAATCTATTTGTGTTGCCAAGTATTTTAAAGTACCTATAAATAAAAAAAAATAATTAAATATAATTACATTAAATAACTTTATACTTTAGTCAAGATTTAAAGTTACCTCTGATATTACTTCGTATTTCTGCAGGAACTTTCTTACATATCCACCAATTAAATATAGTAGAAATGACTTTACTATTAGCTCCTGGATACAATTTATTAGTTATTTCATTCCAATTTATATCTGACCAATACTTAACATTTTTTTGCAACAATCTAAAAACAAGTTAAATTAATAAACAATTAAATTAAATTAATTAATAAATAAATGGTAGGTATTTAAGTTGTCAAAATTTTAATGTTAAGATTAAATATACAAATTAGGTAATATATTCTAATTATAAAAACCCCGACAATCTGTTTAAATAATTTATATTTTATTAATATACTGTCAAAATCACAAATATTTTACCAATTAAAACAAAAGTCATAATTATGATAAAATTGATTTTTATATATTGATTCTAAAACTAATATGGATTTCTAATAAATTCTTGTAATTATATAAATATAGGGAAAAATAAACTTACAACTTTAATAAATTTAATTTAAATGTTGAATAACATATGGGTTGTTTACAAAACAACATGGTTGATAAAAACTTCCATTGAACTCTAACTTTTTCATCACTAATAGGTACACTAAAATTTTTAGCAACTTTAATCCATGTTGGTTTTTTAATTTTTAAATTTTCTAAATCGGTCCAATTTGTGGTGTTTGTTTCTAATAATATTTTTGAAAATAATTCTTGCCGTTTTTCAATGTTCCAAATAATGCGTTCTAAAAATAAAACATTAATAAAATAAGAAGTTTAAAAAAAATATGTTATGTGATAAATTTGCTACATAAGAAACAATAAGTGTTGATATGACGTAATATGATAATCATATTCACAAATAAATTCATAAGCATACTGCTGCCTTTCCACGCCTACATAGTTCAATAAAATATTCTTAAAATAATTAAAAAATATTCAATGAGCCATCGGTGAAGGACTTGGTCAAAATATTAAAGGAAGGGAAGCCCTTAAACAACAATGACTATCTCCACTAATGGCTGATATCCAAAAAAAGATCTTCAATAGACAAATCCATTGCTCAAGTAAACTTCCGATACACAAAGAAAATAATAATCTGGTTAAAGCTGTTTTTAAATTTTCATTGTCATCACAGTATGACAAGTCCACTTTGAGTTTTCACATACTCTACAAACGTGGTCACAAACACTCACTAAAATTACTATTTTCATAATTTCTCCAAAAACTGTTAGAAGTCAATGTTAAATAAACGTTGCTATTCCTTGCTACTGATACAACGACCTATACCAGGGATGTGTAACTAAAACAAGAAGGCCAAATTTCAGAATTTTTAAATTTGGCGGGCTAGAGTTAAGAAAGCAAAAATGAAAAAAAAGTCATAAAAATTGACAATTAGCATTTATTTTAAATAATTTAATTGTACAACTGAACCAATACAATAAAATAAATGCCTAATATTTATAACTATGCTTATATATGCTATACTGATATAGAAATATATTATAATTATATTTAGACATTTAATGATTTAGCTGCAATTCAATACTAAAGAAAAATGTAATATTTACATTTTACGATCAAGGTGAAAAAATTAAATACTTATAATAAACACTAAAATATAATGAAGTGATTTGAAAATGTAGTAAGGGCCAGATAAAAATTTTTCTTTAACGCTTTTCATTTTCATCATTCATATCCCAATTTTTATATTAAAAGAATTAAAAAACCTTTTCCACATATCTTCAGAATTGCTATTCATAAATCTTAATAAATTTTCATGTATTAAAGAAAACAAAATTGATTAACAAAAAAAATTAAAATAAGATCATCGAATCAAATTATATATTTATTTATTTATTTATTTTATTTCAAAAACAATTATATTATTTCTGTACTTTACTATTAAGAAAAAAAACAACCGATCCAAACTAAAATTTTCCTGTTTTAGTTATACCACATTAAATTTCTTTAAAGAAAATCTATATATCTGCGTTATAAAATAATGCGGATACATATTAATTGATTATATTTTATAGGTATTATCAAAGAAGTCTATGAGAAAAAATTATTAATGATTTGTGATTTTTAAGAGTTAAATCCTGACAATTTTCTATAAAATAGCATCCCTGAATCATTTAATAATATGATTTATTCTATTAATAAATATATGTACGTAAAATATTTTAACTTACCTTTACATGAAGGATGCAATTTTATGAAATTCGATCTTCTGATAAGTTGTTGTTTAGTTCTATTTAAAAGCAAATTTAGAACTGTATACTTGTTTCTAACAGCAACGCAATTGTTAACTTGCATTATTAATCTGTCTTCTACTTCTCTAAAACTATGAACCAAATAATCATCAAATATTTCATAAGAAAAGCATTGCCAAATTTATATTAAAAACATAACAAAAATTACTTTATTTTAAATAATACTGTAGGTTCTATCTAATAATTCAAGTTTGTTAATATGATAAATAGTTGTGAGATGTATAATTTCACCTACATTTTAGAATAAAAATTATTTTTAAAAACAATAAAATCTTAGAAATATTAGTACATTTATTATTAAACATTTTACTATTTATGTAATAAATAAAAAAAAAATATTTATCATTTAGTTCTATGAATTATTAATAAAGTTTTAAAACCGTTTAAGATGAAAAGTTGCTTTGAAATGTTTATTAGTTTAAAGAAGATTAAGCTTAAATTAATTAAAAACAAATTTTTCATTAGAATGGAAACATAAAAAGAGAAAATGCCCATTGAAATTGCAATACAAAATTAACTAGTGATAATCTTATATAATTAAAAAAAATATTTGTCATAAAACCATTAGAATGTAAAATAATAATTTAATACTAATATTAATACATTCTAATAAATATTCTTTTAAAAATTATACAAAATATTTTATTAAAATTAAAAGTATGAAATATTAATTTATGAACAAAGCAAAATACTTACTAATTTTTCTATTATAATTTATTTCTGTAGTAAAATTGAATTATTATTTTTAATTTTAATAATTATTTAAAGTACCTTAATAAATCGAAAATTATACTGGTAATAAAAATAATATGAAGATTACAATTTTATAAAAAACATCATATTTTTATGTTCTCCCGAACATAATATTCATTAGTGCAAAAGAAATTATTATCCCTGAATTTATTATTATTCTTTTTTATTATTTGTTTCCATGGCACGTGCGTCTATGAGATTAAAATGCATTAATGTTACCGCACATTCTAACATTAAAATTTGGCGTGCCCATTCTTCTACGAAATATCAACCCACCATGATACTGTAACAGTAACTGGCGTTCAGTGAAAGTTGAAGAGCAACAATTGAAGCTACAGTTTTAAATGGAAAGTTTAAAGGTAAAGATGTACTGTTTCCTTGCATCCCAATGATTCCAACAGATATGTCTTTCGAATTCAAACTTTGCAGTTTCTAGTGCGACTCGCCTTTGCAATGACCATCAACAAAACACAAAAACATTATAAAGAGTGTGGACTGAATTTGGAAAATATATGCTTCTCACATGGACAGCTGTATGTGACATGATTACGCATTGGAAAACCTTCTAATTTATTTGTGTACGCACCAGAAGGAAAAACAAAAATTATGTTGTTCCAACTTCAATAAATATCATTTAATTACTTGAATTGTCAGACTTTTCTCGATTAAATGAATAAAATGACACAACGATAAACTAAATTGAATATCGTTGTAAGATTATTATGTAGTATATTTTAACCATTACCTATCTACATGTATAAAAATATACTACTAGAATAGTCACTAGCATAATCACAGGTAATGAATTTAATACACAGTTTGAGACATATTAGAGGTAGAATTTTTAATGGGCTACGAAGTACATGGATTCAGCTAATATAAATATATATACAGTAGAAGCGGCTTATAAGGAACATTTTTGGACCAAGGTGAAACGTGTCTGATTGTTTCTTATAAGTGATTTGTTTTATTTATTATAAAAAAAATGATCTATTGTGAAAAAAATGTATATGCTTAGTAAAATATGCATTTATCGTAGTCCATTGTTTTGTGTCAGGTAACTTAATGATCATAGTATTGTAATAATGTTGTCCATGCCTTTTTCATCCCCACGGGATGCTCTCCTTAACTTCTATAATTTTTTAAATTTTTTACTATCCCCAATGCCTTGCTTTTTTCTTTTTCATTGTCCGTGATAGCATGTTAAATTGTTCGAGGATTCATAACTGCATTACAGATCTTTTCTTTTGTTGGTATCTCAGCAACATCGAGGTGTAAGTCCACATTGATTCAATCTTTGTATACGTCTTCTGAGAGTTTGACTAGTTTTGAATAACCAATGTGTTGTTTTAATAAGTCAATTTTATTTCCAATGTTTTAATATAGGGCTGATCCATCCCTAGACATTTTGTTTCAATTATCCGTGATCTTAATAAACAGCTTCTACTGTATATATATACAATGTATTTTTTACTAAAAAAAATTTTATTTATGTGAACTTTCAAGTGTTCAAACTAGAGACATTCCCAAAAAGTTATAAATATATAAGGTTCTATAATTATAGTAGTAAATCATATAACTAGTATATTTACCTTTGTTTGTCTATTATTCTTTTATCAAACAAAACAACAAATCTATTATAAACAGAATATAGTAATCGATTTGGAAGTTCAACTGATATATAGCGAATAAATGATAATCTTTCACTACTATGTAAGGCTATGTCCAAGCCATTAGGTAAAAATGGTCGAACATCTGAAATTTTGTACTCCTGAAATGCATAAAAATAACATTTAAATTGAAATTTGCTAAAGCCTTTGAAACCATGGATAAATTATAACAAAATAAGAGATATTGAAGAAAGAATGAAGTATGAGAACACCAAGGATAATCATGGAATACAGAAATATAAATAATTTAAGAATAAAATGTATAAAGAAGTATTTGAAAGCAAAAAATAGAAGTGCCAAGAAATGGAACAATTACTTAGGAAAAAAAGCATTTAACATTAAAAAGTTCTTCAAAAAAAAAAACCAAATTAAACAGCAAAAGCAAAATAAGAGACATAGATCTAGACGTTCTACAGTTTCAGTCCAAAGGTTCTTGCGTCCTTTTTTTTTTTTATATATATATATATATAGTATATTTTTCTGTTAATATTTACATGTTGCTCTACTCTGTCATACGAAATAAATAATAGAGACATAATTTTTAAAATAATTAAGTGGTAGAACAAAAAGGATCAATTGTATAGGTATTTACAATAACAAAATTCTAGATACTGAAGTGTTGGTAGCATAATTTATAGGTTGATTTTTTAAATAAAAAAGATTATTCAATCTTGTGTTTGTTAGAGAAGCTTGGAATGTTAGTCGATTTAGAAAATTATAATATTGATACCTAAAAAAATAATGGCTAATAAATTAAATTAATGCAGAACAATAATTTTAATGGTTAGGTGGGTGAAAAAATAATATCCTTTATAAAAATTTTTAACGATACTGGACTCTTACCAATAATAAGCACGATTTGAAAAAAAAACAATGTGAGATGCTTCCGTAATATCATTTAATTACAAAGTGGCAAAAAACTAATCAGTTATGAATTTCCAAAAACTAAACCGAATCTATAGAATAAATATCCAAACAGGAAATTTACTGCTTGAACAAAAGGAACATTTTAAATATCTAGGCAGTTCACTTAACCAAGACAGCAGATGCATCATAAAAATAAGATACAGAATTACACAGGCAAATTAGCATTTATGAATTAAAGAAAATTGTTATGTTCCAATAAAATGGGTAATAGGGTAAGGAAATGCTTCACAAACGTTTATGTATAGAATGCAATATGTGGCTACGAAATGTGGATGCTAAATAAGGCAAAACAATAATTCCTCAAAAACCTTTGAAATGTGGTGTTGGGAAAGGATGTTGGGAGTGAGTTGGATAGAATACTGTACAAAAAAAGCATACTAAGTGAAACAAATTAATGCAAAGAGATACTTAAAACCATCAAAGAAAGACGATATAATATTATTAGTCACATATTGAGGAATAAACACAAACTAGCTTATAAAATAATATAATGGAAAATTAAAGGTAAGTGAGACCAGGGATATTCATGAACTTATTTTATTGAACAAATTAACTTCGATTTTAGACTATTAAACTACACAGAACTGAAGAGGTAAGCTGGAAATAGGGAAGTCTTGAGCACACATTCGATTGAAAACTAACCATGAGTTTTAATACGAGAAGAAAAACAATTAAATAATTATAATATAATTTATATTAAATAAAGTAATTTATAAATAAAGATACAAACCTGTTGAAATTTCAACCAATACTTTTTAATCAGATTATCCTCATCTTCATTAAATACACCTAATTTAATGGAAGGATTGAGTTCCTTAATTTTTTCAATAATTTTATTTTTTGGAAACTTGGACAACGTAGTCTCCACATAATGAATTTTATTTTCTTTACTTTTATTTGGAACTACTATGTGTAAATTTTCTACAATCTAAATTTAATAAATAAGAAATTAAATTAGTATAATATTCCACAAGTTAATTCAAAAGATACCATTCACTTTTGAATGAAATACAAAATGATAGAATTTTAAGTAGGACTATATTATAGAATATATGTACAATAATATAGTATACCTTTAGATTTTTCTGTTTTTCAACACATTTTTCAAGTACTTTTTTTCCAATAATTTTTAGAAGTATAATTTCAGACGGTAAAACACACACACATCTTTTAATCAATATTTTTTTCATTTCTGAAGTAAAATATTTAACTATTAAATCAAAATGAGGATGACTATTTAATGATGTTTCATTATTAATTATGTCATTGATCAATTTGGATTTATCTAATGGAACTTGGGTTTCAGTAGTAGATGATGAATTTTCTATGCTATGTAAATTAATAGCACTCTGAAAAGCTTCAAATTCAATATTTTCCTGAGTATCATGATTAACTGTTGTATTATCAGCATTTGAAATTATTTGTGAATTATTTTCAGTATCTATTGAAACTGTATCATTACTTTGATTATCATTAGATTTATTGGCATTTTGATCAGAACTATTACCATCACTAATAGTTATGTTTTGTTGGAGTAATTTTATATCCTTAACAATATTTGTAAATTCATCTATTATTTTGTTAGTTGAATTATTATTGTATTTCTTTTTTTTACCAGACAATTTAAAAAATATATCATTCAACAATTTTCTTTTTTTCTTTGTGAAATCTACAGAACTTAAACTTTTATCATGTTTCCTCTTCTTCATAGTTTTATTTAAATCAAAATTTACATTACTAGTGCTAGTTATATTATCTGATAATTTATTTGGCGATTTATGATTTTGGTCTTCTTTTTTTTTATTCAATAACTCATTAGATTCAATATTAGAAGTATCATCTATAAATCCTTCAACATTTTCATCAAAAATCATTTTTTCTGCATTAATAGTAGTGAAATCTGTTAAACCTATATCATTACTATGCTCCTTATTTTTTTTATGCTTCTTTGATTTAAAACTTTCATCATTTATACTTAAAGTATCATCCAGAGTT